TCCTTCTTTTCTTTACAGGCAACTTCCCAAATCTGTTTAACAACACTATAAGAAGCGTACAAATAAACATCCTTAATTTTGAATTTAAAGTGCAGAAACTGTTTACGTGCATGTCATACATAAACTTTGTTATCGTTTCGTTTTTGTCCAGTTTATTTAAAGGTCCAGATAATAACAAGACTAGATTTGCTTAGTTGAGCTTGGCTAAGGGCGAATCCGGGGGGGGGGGGGGGGGGGGGACAACAGGGGCCATGCCCCAAAGGGTTCGTTTTTTGGGGGGATGGGGGGTGGGGCATGGCCCCTGTTGCCCCCCCCCCCCAAAAAAAAAACCGAACCCTTTTTTTTTTTAAGTGACGTCGCAATCAAGGCAGGCACTGTGTACGCCACCATCTTTTCCTCAAAAAAGCGGGCCCTAGAGCCCACGCCTTAATTTTTTGCACCCTATTTTTGGGGACCAACATTTTTTGGCCCCCCCCCCCCCAAAAAAAAATGTGTTCTGGGTCCACCCTTGAGCTTGGCAAGAACATCTCACATACTCAGTGACTCAGTCAGTCAATCCGTCAGTCAGTTACTTCGTCAGTCACACAGCAATAGGATGACCATTTCTGACCAGGGCAAAAACTATTCGAATATTCGGTTGATGATCTAATATTTGGTATATTCGGGACAGCCCTACTGACAATCACTGTATCATTTTAGATACGTGTATGCTCCACTGTATCAATCATTCCTTTAAAGGTACTCGTCTATAGGTTTTCTGATGTCAAACCGCCTATTGATGGCTTACTGATATATACCTTGCATTTATTCTCCAAGTTGCAACATCACAGTCCACATCACATATAGGTTAAAGCAGCAAAAGTGCTCAAAGTCTAAAGAAGGGTGCTGAACAACTAACCTGATGAACTTCCTGTTAGCTCGGTGGTCGAGTGGTAAGACATCTGCACTAGAAGGCAGGAGGTCGTGGGTTCGAGTCCCACCCGAGTGATTTTTCCAACTTTCACTCGGGAGGTAACACACTGAGTATACAGTATTTATACGTCGGTGAAGGGCAAAACCTAATTTGATTAACCTGATGAACTTTTAGCTCAGTGAACGCTGTATGTTCCGAGAAAACAATATTCTAGGATCTCGATTTCAAATCAATTTCATTTCATTTCAATTTTGAATTGGACCTGAATTCAGTGTCTGAGACACGTTCTCACTGAGCCAATTGCAGTACGCGATGTTGTGCACTGAACCGATGAATTATATCAGCCGTGAATAACGATGCGTCTTTAGATGCATCATTGGAAAGGCCTTCTTTCATGGATTTCTTCAAAATGACAGCTTGCCAGAAAGAATCATTTCTCAGGGAGTTTAGTCCTATTACTATCTTTAAACCAAGTATGTTTTTCAACAATAATTACATCAGTTAGTTTTTGGAAAGCTGCAAATGATGGACTGAACCCTTTTAATTAAAAAATTTCTACTTCGGTTTGTTTCGTGAAAATGAATAAATTGCACTGCAAATTGCTTATAGGTCCAAAAAAATAAGTTCTGCTTTCGGTTTCCCTACCTACCCTATTCTGACAGCCCCTACCCTAATTTTTTTTATGGGAAAAATGAGAAAACAACATCCCAGACCATCAATTTCTACCTTTTACCCTTGACTACATGCAGATGCCTCCATATGATTGTACACGAAAAGAATTGGCCCAAAAAAAAAAAAATTCCCTACCTACCTACCCTATTTTCAAATGCCATATATTACGGAAGCAGAACTATTTTATTTTGTTTGGCCTTACTGACTGAATTGACCTGAAATATACAAAATCACACATTTTAGAGGATCTAATGTTTCGGTCCTAGCAGTAATATTTGTCAAAGGCAGACTTCAGGTTTTTTTCCTCAAACTTTTTTTCCTTGTAACACGACCTCATGTTTGTTGCTAACGGTAAAGCCACTCCAAGTCCGTGCATTACATCGGACATAAATTATTTATCAACCAGCAAATCCATGGAGACCAAAATGCCATTTGTGAATGCAGCCCCAGAAATCCCCGGATCTCCCCGCCTGACTTTGCATACCTCTCATGCCAAACACCACGCATAAAGAGCCTTTTATTTTTAATGAAAATAAGTCCGCAAACTATTTGGCTTGCATGTGTTTGACAAACACAAATGCTAAATTAATGCACGCGCTGCTTGTTTGTCCCAGCTTGCGTTACTATAATGCATACAAATATTGTCACAGTTTGTGCTACAATTTTGCCCGCAAAACAGTGAATGAATGAACAAGGAGGTTGTTGGTGATCCCTTTTGAATTTTTCAAAATATTTCTGACTTAATTTTAATTCATGGTGTTTAATTTGCCATCCTTTTCTTATTTTGATTTGAATATCTGGAAAAATGCAGAACACACCTGCTATATACAATTTGACTGTAAAATTTTGCAAAATTGGAAATATTTTCATATACCATAATGTACTCAACAGTAACAAATGTTGCCTGTGAAATTTGCATACTGATTGCCACTTTGTAAACCGAATACTGGCCCACTGACCGACATGTTTGTATCTTACATGCATATAAACCGCGGCGCTTTTTCCTCACTCCTGTCCTCATCTGATACAAGGGCAGTCACGCGTAAAATCCCCCACGGCAAAATACGCGTAAAACCTCCTTCAAGCATTTTGAAGTTGGAAACGTCGTCCCACCTCATTTCACGTCACAGAGATGCAAGGCAACTCTCTTTTTTTGTCAGGGGGGGGGGGGAGGGGAATGGGAGTAGGGCTTACGTTATTTGCACGTCAGCAGTTGCTGTCGTTGACATGTATATGTCAAAGGTTGGAGTGTTTTCTAGAACACTCTACAGGGTTGGAAAAATACGGAAAAGATGTGCACTGTACAAGTACATAAACATGCTGCAAAGATGTTAAGTACACAGTTTTGAGTTGATTTTTTGGTGGTGGTGTTGTTTCTATCACTTTCAGTCTTCACAGATTTTCAAGAAACCAAACTCTGCAAATGCTCATTTTATACTAAAATATTTATAAAAATCACCCTAAAAACAAGTATCCTTGGAACAAGAAATGAACTTATATTATCCCTTGAACCAAAAAAAATGGTTCATTAATTAGAATATTAGAAATGAAGAAATTATTTCCAAAACGTGATGTATCCATAAAGTGAAAAAATGTGTACAGTTATTTAAACTTGTAGAACATGCAAGAGTATATAACAGCTGTTTCTAAACTACTTAAATTGTATTCAAGTATCTAACAGTCATCACAACCTACTTTGCGCAACCAGAAGAGGGCGGGATTCTAACGGGGAACAAAAGGTGTTTTTCACATTTTCGAAACGAACTGTTCAAATATTCAGTTTGATATTTATAGAATTTCTTAGTTCACGTGGCATCAGTATCAATATTCACAAACGAAACAAAAAGAATATTCTTACTTGCATGCACAATATTTTTGTACAAGTTTTTCTAAATCCTTGTCGATATCGGGTTCCATTTTTATGCTGGCTAGCTATTCCACAAAATGAACTTTACAGAAAGCCGAAATCCTAATCACTTTAAAGGTAGATCATTTGCAGCTTTCCAAAAAGTAACTGACCAAATTATTTTTTTTAAAGCTTACTTGGTTTAAAGATGGGAATGGCAATAAACTCTCTGTGAATTTTTTCCTTCTGGCATGCTGTCATTTTGAAGAAAACAATAAAAGAAGGTCATTTCCAAAGATGAGTCAAGTGACGCATGTTTGGAAATTTCTGTAAGTAATTGGTTTGTAATTGGGGGAATCCGTGAACTGGTGCGCGCAATCATTGACACAACGCACACATGCGCGTGGTGGCTATTATTCATCGGTTCAGTGCGTGACATGCCGTAGCTGCAATTGGCTGAATAAGAACCTGTTCCAGATGCTGATTTCGAGCAGGATTCAAAATATGACTCGGCAACTTTTGAATTGAAATGGAGATCCTAGAATATTGTTTTCTCAGAATTTTCAGCATTCACAGAGTTAAAACTTCATCATGTAAGTTGTTAAGCACCCGTCTTTAGATTTTGAGCACTGTGATTGCTTCAAACAAAACAAATGACAAATGATCGACTCTACCTTTAAGCGTGTCATGATAGACCTATTTAGCTCCTCAAGCATTATGTTAAGTCCCTCACTGACGCAGTCATGATCACCGCCGTTTCCGTGGTTTAATCAACCGTAATTTAATAGAGCCCCTTGTCATATATCTTGTTCTCCGTCCTGATCATTTTGCCGCCGGCTAGTCGATTTTTGTTCCTATTACTGCCACGCCGATTGATGGCCGTGTGGCACTCCTAAGCCATTTCCATCTCATTATCCCATTTATCAAATTTAGTCCCTTGCACAATGTTGTCTACAACAACAAAAGTCATGCTTTGGTACAAACAAGACTGGAAAATTTCATTGTGCCAAGCTGCTTTTTCATGGCTATTTTTTTCTTAAGCTTAGGGCTTTATATTTTCCAACAACCTACTGGTATTTGATTATTTTAACTCAGACTTTATCGCATATTGGAATATTTAAAATGCACTGATCAAATTGGACATGCGGCAGCCTAACTTGGCCACTTATTTGGATTTGCTTGCTTCTGCGGTTGTCCAAAATTGACAAAGATCTTATTAAAGTAATGTAAAGAAGAGGTAGCCAGATGGCTAATAGTTGACAAATTTAATGAAGAAATGTGAGAAGAAATGTGAGAAGATGTGTCTCACAGAGGCTCTCAAATTAAGCGCAAAATGAAAGTTCATTTAAAATCTTCAATTGTTTATGTGCATTGGGGAGTCTGTCGGGGAGTCAGTCAGTCAGTCAGTCAGCAACCCAGTCAGAAGGAATATATGTCCCTTTTATGGTCCAACAAAACTACTCCGGATGTACATGTACATGGGGAGATTTGAAATGGACCATGACTTGCTGTGAACTTCTCATTGTGGTAGTTCATCAGATCTTTCTTCTGCTTTTGTTCTGTACACAGGTCCAAGTTGGCAAGACGCGAGAGGGTCATCCCGTGGTGGGTTACATCGCAGTCACACAACTCCAAGCTGCACAAGGTAATGTTCATTATATATGCTCATTATGTGCACCCATCAATTGCCCCCTCCCCTCGGGCTACCTCACCCAAGATGTTGGAATTGTCACTTTTAGGAGGCCAAATCATCTCCCCTGGGAGAAAATGTAAGTGACAATATCCGAGATGCACTAGTTGCCTGTCCATCTACATCTAGTGCTCCAGTGTTGCCAACGGTAAAAATTTTCATGAGTGACCAAAATCACCCTGGGGCTTGAAAACAACAAACTGACCAAACCCTGACCTAAGACCTGGGGCCAGGGGGGGGGGGGTGGAGGAAGGGGGGGGGGCACATTTGATCGGTGCATTACATGACTGTATGGATGTCTACATGTATAAGCTCACGCTGCATAATTTTGTGCAGTGCATCGTTAACCCAATGCATCCCTCAGGCCCTACACCAAACTTTGACTATGGTACAGTTTTCAGGAGGTCACATGTTTGAACAAGTACATTAACAAATTTGGGGATTGCTAACATATATAGCTGGCTAGCTCATTTGGTAGAAAGCTGGTATAATATTCCGGAGGTGGCAATTAAGTTCTTTGTTTTAACGTAGTATCATTAAATATCTTCTTTCTTGTGTGTGTGGGGGGTCTTCTGCAAGTAAATTGACTGAATCATTAGGGTCTTTGTGGTTGGAGGATATTCATGGTTGTCTCATTATACTATACAATACTATTTTATTTCTCGGGAATAATCAACAAATACATGTACACAAATGACCAAAGTTACAATGAACACCTAAAACGAAAGCTTTAGATACAAAAACAAACAAAAACAAAATACCATTCAGCTCCCGAAGGATTTCCCAAAATAAACATTGTTTCTGTCGAGGGGTTCTCCAAGCTGAATGGTATACATGAAAACAACAAGCAATAAATATAAAATGAAGTTTTTAACTATAGTGATTATTCAAACATTTTGTCTTGAAAGTTTTCTCGTTGTTTATTGCTCATTTATATCCCATAATGCCCGTATCTCCTGAACCACCCACACATCAACCATGCTACTCTATAACAAAAACTGTCCTCATTACCGTCTCCAACCACTCTGTTTGATGAAGGAAGATATTTGCTGACATTTATGAATCGGGACAATTGTCACTAGGGCTGTGCATTGGAATCGAGTACCCGAGTACCCGACCGCTGATGTCAGGAATCAGTTCCAGATTGTGGGATCGAGTACCCATAACCAGCTTCTCAAATTACTTCAATAGTAGCTTGTCAGGCAATGAAAAAGAAAAGTGTTGAATGTCATTTGTGGGGAATTTTCAAAAGGAAGACCAGGCTTCATGGAAAAACGAAACAGGTTTCACGTTTTTGACGCTCGCGGAAGTTGCAGGTTTCACCAGAAAGTTATAATTTAAGCTCACTGTACACATCTTGCTGCATTGATGGTCAGAGGTGATCGTGGGGATCTTTATAAATGCACAATCTGAACAGCAACTTCTGAGATTTGAATTTTGGGTTGGGTGTCTTTAACCGGTACCCATGTTGTTGTTTTTTCAATTTGATACCTGGTTCCCATACTACCCGTAATTTTCACTCCTTATTTTCACTCATCAGGTACAAGCAAAAACCAATGTTTTTTTTTCTCAACAATCTGTGAGCTTGCTCCACACATTCACTTAGTCTTTTAAAAAACTTAAAAGTCTTAAGTTTTAAAGCCATAGCTTTTTTCTAGGTTTGTTGATTTCATAAAAGGCGAACAGCTTTGTCAAAGGTTCTATTGTTTAGATGATCAATATCTGTTAGTGCAAAGTTGCAATTTTGAGTGATTTTTTTTGGGGGGGAAGGGCAAAAGCAAAATGTGTTAATGGGTTAGGTTTTATAATTTTGAGGTCAAACAGTTGTATATGTAGCTTGGTTTTCATTTGTTCATTTTGCAATGTTAACATGTAAAACATAGAAAAGTTTAATATCCTTCCTCTTTATAAAAAGGCTACATGTGTGCACTGCGTGGTTAAATAAATGTAATGTTCTGTAACTGGAGTAAAATCTGAAATTCTAGAGTGTCAGCGAAGAGAAGCTGGCATAGATTTATATTCATCAATACGATGACATTTCGAAAGTGGGTACAACACAAAGAAACAGATTACTGCTGGAATTGCCTAGTAGAGAAGGAATTACAAATGTTGTATCGTTTTTCCAGAATCTTTTGGCAGCTGGATGAATGGACGAATGGCGCAAGGCATGGCAGCCGAAATTGTTAGATTGATTCCTTGTCATTTTTTAATGTTTCTTCCGGAAGGCATATAGTCTAGATAGTGCAGAAGTTATTACTGACTGTGCTGCCGCCAACCCGCAGGTGTTTCAGTAATTCATGCTTAGCGTTGCAGAGTGCATGCCGCACAAGAAATATTGAACTAATTCCAGGGAAATTCACGGGAACATCTGTCAGACCGTAGGGATGTGTTAGCAATGCTTGTTCATTGCTAACACAATGAGAGTCACTTGCGGTGAATAAGTGTCTCTCACAAACTTACAGCAGATTGACACTCTTATAAATGGATGGATAGCTCAAATTTCCTGAAACATCAATCAATGATTCTAGGTAGGTCACGTCTCATTGTGTTTTGAGGAAGGATCTTATCAATTTAAAGCCCAAAACCAGTCTCTTGACTGAAGTTTTCGTGTTAATTAAATTAATAAATGCCGTCAGATCAGAGAACTGTCAAGAATTTCTATTTTCGCTTTCCCATCCACTGCGTTTTCTGAGCACCTGTTAAGTAGGAAGTACTTACCGTTACATTATAAGACTAACGGCAGTTGTCATTCCCACAGGATGTGTCGTTTTCAAGAAATAAAGAGGAATTGGAGCCCTGTACGAACAAATGAAAAGTTCTCAGAAATTTTGGTCGTGCACCACTGTACCCCGTGCAACTGGTACGAGCCCTACACAAGACATTGACACCCATCTGCGCATGCTCAACAAATAGACGGGTATCTCAAAGGGCCCGTTCGAGTATGCAGGGCCAAGTCATGAAATATGGGACTCGAGTCGGACTCGTGTCTGAGTCCGAGTCATGAGTCATACAAGTCTGCAATAAGGGTTCTCAAAAGTATATTAAAAATGACCGTGTGGTTACGTACATGATGTGATTGCCTACGTAGGTAAGGTGGTATCATCAGGATTCATCTATGTACAGAAGCTGAGCTATCTGCCCGGGAGAGGCCAAAGATATTTTAAAGGGAAAATACAACATTTGCAAACATCAATAAATAAAACTACCAAATCATTTTGAAATACCTAGCTGGACTGTTAGTGAATGACAGTGTAAAGCATCCTGTAAAATCATGGCACCTGGTATACTGTCATTTTCAAGAAAAGTGATATTTTTGTATCAATTTCCAACGCTGATCGGCCGATCAGCGTTGGAAACAACTGGCTTTTTTTTCAAATACTGGCCCCAATTGACCATCGCACTTGTTTGCAATCGTTTACAAACCTATGAACGGGTATGAGCCAGCTAGACTGGTTCCCTGACCTTACAAGTCACCAATGTATATGTAAACTGCTCTGTTTCTTCTTATATGGAGTCAGGGAACCAGACTACAGGAAAATGATCGTTTTTCTTGGTTTTTATAGCATTTTCGAACCCCAAACCTCAAAAAAAGTCAGTGTGACTATATTTGCTATATATTTCAAACCCCCCCCCCCATTCCATCCATTTCTGAAAATTACAGCAAAAGCAAATGATGTATATTCCCTTTAAGAAGTAATACGATTGGGTCAACAGTGTTGTGTGTTATTAATTATCCTGCGTACACGAGCGAAACATGATGGAAACTTGGGAGCCCCCGGCAAGGATTGATGCAAAAGTAAATAGATATGGTATTGCACAAGCAACTAGAGAATTGAAAACATGGTGCAGCCCAGATTAGTTGTTAATCCACTAACCCAAAATTAAATCAAAACGGGACAGTCAGAAACTTATAGGTGGTTTGACAATTTATCAGTCACAGAATGTTAGTATTAATGTTTTTTCTTATAAAGCCAGTATGATCAAAAAGTGCGGATGGGAATCTTCAAAATGTAAGCTTGTAAAAGGAGACCCCATTACACTACAGCTTTAGGGATAATTTACATATATGTTCACGTAAATTGTTTATGCAAAATATGTGTAAAACTTAAAAGGCATACAAGATCATTTGTATTTATCCCAAAAGTAACCTACACAATTTTTATCAAAAGTTTTATACTTGGATTAGAGATGGTAACGGTACCAAACACCCTGTGAAATAATTCCATCTGACTTGCTGTCATTTAGAAGAAATTAAGAAATGTAGGCTTTTTCCAACACTCAGTCAACCGACTGATTTCTGGAATAAAGAGTGCTTATTGACAAAATCTTGTTTTGGATCAGAAGATTGAGCTTTGGTTTTCACTGTTTACTCAAACAGTAAAAATTAGCTGAAAATTCAACAGGTTAGACTTTGAACATTCTTCTTTGGATTTTGAGTGGTGTTATTAATGGAAACGAACAAAATGCATGATCCTTATATGCCTTTAATTGTTGAACAAAACAGTGCATATAGGACAAGCACTGACAGAATAACATGGAGAGCCTCACGCCGTTCAACAGCTACATCTACTACATGTGGATAAAGAGAAATGCATTGGTACAGCGCTATCCCACCCACACATCCTAATGAATGAGAAGAACACACCTAATTGCCAGGATGCAATCTACTAATGGCATATGAATCTCCCTGTTGCTCTAGTAATAGGTTGCAATTTACTGCTTTTTAGGAGCAGACAGTAAGGAATTCTATTCCCAAAGTGCATGTAATTTGCGTGGGATTTTTGTTTCTGTATGATAAAACAAAATTTTACGCTTGTGTTGAAATTCTGTCTTTCATTTACCTTGTAATGATATTTACAGCAATGCAGATGTACTGTAACTTCATGAATGCAAATGTATCAATGGAGTTATATGCAAATTAAGTCCCTGTCAAATTATTGATTCGTTGAAAGTTTGTCATGTGACCCTCCATTGTTATATCCATTCATTTGTAGCTTAGTTTCGTATTGTCCTGTGAAAAAAATACTTGAATTGACAAACATTCATCTCTACTTCGGTTCACTTGTTCAATATTACAAAATAGTACTATTTGTGATAGATAATTTATTTTTGAGTAATCATTGTCCAGCCTCCATTAATTTCCTTCAATTTTTTTTTAAGGACTAAAGTGTGTTAAAGGTAGAGAGGACCATTTGCAGCTATCCAAAAGTAACGGACCAGATTATTTTTTAAAAGCTCACTTGGTTTCAAGATAGTAATGGCACTAAACTCCCTGTGAAATTATTCCTTCTGGCATGCTGTCATTTGGAAGAAAACAACAGAAGAAGGTCATTTCCAAAGATGTGTCAAGTGACACATTTTTGGAAATTTTCATGAATACCACATTTAGTTTGTTTTGTAATTGGGCAAATTTTTGAATGGGTGTGCACAAGTGTTCAGACGATTATTTGTGAGAATCCTCGGTTCAGTGTGTGACATCACGTAGCTGCCCTTGGCTGAATGAGAATCAAATTCCGGAATGCTGATTTCAGAATTGTGTCACGAGAGGGCGCAATTCAAAATTTGACTCGGCAACTGTTGATTTGAAATCAAGATCCAGAATATTGTGGGGGGGGTTTTCTTCAAAATATACAGCATCCAGAGAGCTAAAACTTCATCAGATTAGTTGTTAAACACCCATATTTAGTTTTGAGCACTTTTGTTGCTTCAAACAAAACCAAAAAAAATGCACAAATGACAAATGGTCGATTGTACCGGTACCTTAAATGCATGTAGTTTCTTACATTTAGGATAATTTTCTATTGATTCTTTGCTCAAAAAGGTTACCTTCATTGCTGAAGCAATGTTTTGCTGTAAGCCATGCTAATTATTCCCAAAATACGCCACAATTAAAATAAAAATCCCAAAACCTAGTCACGACTCGGAAGCCTCATCTAATCTCACTCCAGCGCCATTCCGGTCCTTGTGTAAACCTCTACAGCAAATAACCTTGGTCCTGATAGCTTCTCCGCCCTGTAACTGTGACCAAACAAAATTGAAATTATCTACCCAGTTCTATGTTGATACAGTAAACGCAACGTTGACAGTTACGGCAATAACCTAATTACATTATCCAGGGCTACCGTACGCGTGTGCTGTTATTAAATACCGGCTACCAAGCTCTAGAGAAGAGTGTGTTTCTTTTTCATTAGTATGGGAACTGTGTTCTCAGGGTTTTGAGGAGAATTTTGTTACCGTGAATTCACCTGGATTTCGTCAAGGAATGAGTTGATTTTAGTGTCCAATGAAAATATCAGAGTGCGCTTGTTTTGCATCAGTTGATGTGTTGTGGCAATTAAACTGCTTCAATGTTCACAGCAAAAAGCCAATTTGAAACTACACAGTACAAATATGTGTGTAATATGTAATGTTAGCTGAATTAATTAATGAGATATAAGTGCTGTAAGCAACAGTTTGGGATGTTCAGCATTTTGATTTTTGATTTTCAGTACGTACTAATAAAAATCTGTGAAGTTTCTTGCAAGAACTTAATGAAATAACTATGTTAACTTGTGGTAGATATATAGGTTCACTCTATTAAAACACCAATGACATTTTACAAAAAGGAACTTTGACGTTATGGAAACGTACTGCTTTTTGTTGTTACGGATAATACATATAAAGTTACTGACATTACCTGTCTGAAATCAACTTCAAACACGTGAATCATGGTATTCTAAAGTTCTGTGAGATATTTTCATAAAATATGAACCTTTCTCTCTGCCTTAAAAACAAAAACTCACGATAACATTTGCATTTTTCATATCTGCTCAAATCCATTTATGCTGCATGACCGAATCTGATCGACAATGAGAATACAATACTTGTTAGTTTTTTTTTTCATCGCAATATTCTGCCGAAACACCTGAGCATTATTACTCAGAATTCTTCTTTTTTTTCCCCTGCTGCCCGTCTCTGTTTGGACCTCCTAGAAACCAATATCCGCTCGGGCCAGCTGGATTGCATTCTCAACTGGCTGAGCAGTTTCCATAGCAACACTCACACGGAATACCTGGAGTTGGTGGCTTTCGATCTGCTGTGCGGCAACTTCAATTTTGACAACATGTCACCAGGTAAGAGCTATGCTCCTTTTCATCAATACTTATCCTCTGAGATCCTTCAAATTCCTAACAAGAAGGTTGGTTGGATTTTGCCGGATTGAAGAAGATACAACCCAGCCATCAAATACATAATTTGTGGCTAATCGTCCTTAAGCGCAGCGGAGGCTGAATTACGAAGGACACAGCTTCAACGTGGTCGAGACGAAGGCATTTACATGGGGCTTATGATGGCTTTGAAAGTTCAAGTATTATACAGTTCAATGACCTAACAGTTTGTTATCCTAATGAGAAAATTCCGAAAGCTGCCATTTGTTTCCCACATGGAAGGTGGAAAATTTTGGTGAATTCTTGAGGGTTAAGAAAAGCCCCATCCTTTCTACCTAGTTTCAGTGAAAGGCATAGGATCATTTACTTTCTATGCATTTTTTTCCTTTCCAATAATGACACCACTTAAAATCCAAGGAAGAATGTTCAAAACCTATATAACCTGTTGAAGTTTCAGCTCAGTGGATTTTACACTGAAAAACTATGCCCAAACTTTTGATCACAAAATATAGTTTCAGCTACATAACTCTTTATTTCCAGAAATCTGTCAATTGGCTGATTGTTGGAAATCACCTACATTTCTTGATTTCTTCTTAATAACAGCAACCCAGGTGGAATTAAGATTTTTGTTAATGATTTGTTAAGTTTATTTTGGGATAAACGAAATGATCCTATGTGCCTTTAACTTGGGAAACCCAACAATTACAAATAACGTGCTAGCTCATGAGTTAATGAGTACCCTATAGTGCCAGTGAGGTGTGCCATGCTATTCTGTGTTCGCATGCAATTAATCACCCTTTCGTCATTAGAACCACATTATAAATACACACTGGAGCAACCCTTCATTATATAAAATGGTCGTTATATTAATTATATTTCCTGCTCAGTGTTCAATCAATGCCTAGCTTTGGTGCCTAATTGAGTTTAGAATGAGCCATCATTGTCGGAGAGGTGTGCGAGTTGCCACAGTGAGTCATGTTGTAATTAAAGACATGTTTACGGAGGTAGAAAGAGCAAGGACTTAATTAATGAGGGCATTGGGATTATGTAACACCGGTAGAGGGCGGCAGATATGTTACAAGAGCTTAGTGAAGACTATGATGGTGGGGGGGGGGCGCCTTGTGCCATCAGTTTGCATTGTTGTCATTAATAAGTTCATTGATGAACATACCTTTGCATCGTTCCCAGCCACTCTGAAAATCAGGGGAAACCTTGAAAATGATTTCCATTTTTTCCAGTTAGGGGAGAACTCAAGGAATATTGGGGAAAAAAATTAAGGGAAATACAAACTCAGGGAATTTGACAGTGACCCAGAAGGAAAGGTTTTCACCAGTTTGGCGTATGTGCGTCTTGTGCCAGTCTGTGTTCAAGTTGCATCCTTTGACTGACTGGCTATGTTGGCTTTTTAGTGTTAATTAATTAATGCTGTGTGAATATACTGCTGCAACCACCTCTTGATTTCCCAGCAACCTCGTTATAGTGAAAATATTTCTCATGGAATTTTGGGATATTTCTCAGGGAAATATCAGGGAATTTTGTTTTTATAAAGTGCTGGGAACCCTGCTCTTTCGTACACAACTAGGCCAAGTACGGCATAAACAACACCATCAATCTTAGCAATTAATGTATAGAGAATCTCATTCTAGTCAGAGGACATCATTAAGATATACAAGATGATCAGTAAAATGTTGCATATGATGACCTGTACTTTTATGTTAAAAAGATACAGCTACATGTGAAATTGTACATACCACAAACTACATTAGAAAGACGCTGCATTTTATTTTTAGATTGTCTCAGGTGTAAAGCTGATGCAAGCAATCCAATTACTTTAATGTCCTTATCCTCGAGTCATGAGTACTGTTGTATCATGTTTCCTGTTCTGAACCATGTCTTGACCGCGAACATGAATTTAGGGAGTCACGTTGTTTCCTGGGAATTCTCAGCACCAAATTGTAAGCAAAAATACGGTGTATATACAAGCATTACATTCACTGTGTGGACTTCGGAACAGAAGATGTCCACATAAACCTGGTTGTAGTGACATTGTGTGGACTTGCCTGTGTCCACACAGTGTTTCCCCCTCTCTGGAAAACAGGATTAGAGGCATTTTGGGGTTAGGTTTATCTGTGGAGAAACACTAAAGGGAATCATCTACAGGAAAAAAATGGGTTGAAAGAGTTTTCACAGTGTGAGTAACATGGGTTTTTTTCACAGGTTTTTCTTAACTACATGTACATGAAAACAAAAGAATGTCCACACTACGTATGTAACGTAAACTTGTGTGTTTGGTCAGGTTTAATTACCGTACATGGTCAGGGGCGTAGCCAGGGTTTTGTTTTCCCACTGCAGAAAGATTTTTTGCCCCGATTTTGTATTTATAATCCATTTTGCCGTCCTAATTTCATTCTATCAAAGTCGCGATTTTGGCTTTAAAATCTCTCCACGCGCCCGTTGCACTCTGCCACTCTGCAACCCCTGGCTACGCTGCTGTACTTGGTTCAAAATTTGAGACAGATATATATTTGGAAATATTACTTTACGCCTGTTTAATATGTTTTGGGAAAACCTCAGAAAAAAATTCTAGTGTTGAAAAATTATGCATGTTTGTCCGTCTCCCAACCCATTACATGAACTTAGACATTTACAAGAACGGTACACACATCAAAATCGTAACTGTCTTCTTATATCAGACATGCCTTGTGAGTTATGTTCTTAGTAGTTATCAAATGATAAAACATAAGGAAGGACATTTGTCGGTTTAATTATCGCGTTGGTGCCATCATCTTTTTTTAAAATTAATTTGTCCAGACAGCCAATTTTCTACGCTATCAGCTGACTAAACAGCGTGATAATCTCGTGGGAAAGATTCCATAAAACCAGCGCTTGGTAATTTGCCGCTACCATCATATAAAATTAATCATTTCATTTTTTTCCCCTTTTATGGCTGTAATGTACCGCTAAATGCCTTGGGATGTTGATAACTAGGAGGACATTGTGTATTGGGCCGTGTCATATTTCCTCCGAGAAACGCAAATATTGAGCTGTGTTTCCCTGGATAGTTTTCATTGAAGGCAAGCTTGGCAAATGTTGGCAAACCCTGTTGAGGTCTGGCCAGCCCGGGGCATTTTCCTTGTATAATTTCCTGTCCAAAAGTTTACATTGTGTTGTCAACGGATGAACTCGATATGTCTTGTGAGGCGTCTTCGGTTCAAAGGAATTTCAGAGGGGAATGAGTGGGAAATTTTGACAGACAAAAATAACACACTGAGGGTTTGAATGCATGCATGGACTTCGAATTGAAAGGAATTGACGTTATTTGTGAAGAAAGTGTTGCAAGGTGATTATGAATGACAGCTTCTGGATGTATGAATTGTTGTATGCATTGCAGGTGATATGCCAGACTGGAGCCATCCTGTATTCCTTATATACCACGACCCGTGTAGACAGAGGCCGGGACTAGACCGAGCCTGGACTGTTGGCACCATACTCAGGAAGAAGCGTCTTCAAGACGAAGAGGTTTGCACACCAGAGGGCTTACAGAGGTAGGTCCTCACCCTTCCCCCCCCCCCCCCTCTCTCTCTCTCTCTCACCCCTCCCCCTCCTGTCTCCCCCTTGGTCGCATGGACTCCGTGTGCACAAGTACCCCCTCAATGGTTACAAAGGGAGAGTTGGGGGAGACTGCTGGGAGGGACATTGGAATGCATTGCTGACGGTGCCTGATGCTCACGCGAAGACGCTTTTGGTTTGTGCACATTCAGAATAATATATGCATGTTATACGCACGCAGTGCGTCACTCCCATTGAGCTCTTGACATCCTAACAAACATGTGATCTTCTGTTGTACATTGGGAGCTCCATCCAATCTTTTTACAAATAAGTATCTATTGCCTAATTTTCAGTGCTCTAGAGGATCCTCAACAGCGAGGCAACTATCTTGAGGATGCTGAGGTCTTTGAGGCTGGAGGTGAGGCTGTCCGATGGGGAGCCTCGGATAGCAGTCACTATGAGGGAGTCGGCAGGCGGAGGGTAGATTATATCCTGTATAGCAACCATAGGACACATATGCAACAGGTAGGACATGTTGAGGTTCATTGATGAGGTTTGAGGTTTGTGAGGTTAAACAACTGGGAACCTCAGATAGTAGTCACAACAAAGATTTAGCAGACGGAGGGTAGATTATGTCCTGTATAGCAACCATAAGACACGCATGCAATAGTGTAGGAACATTGCTGAGGCTTGAGGTTTAATGTCTCAAAGATGAGTTTTAGTGTGAGGTTGTCTGATTGGGAAGATCAGTTCCATATTTCTTGAAATCAACAACGCTGCCCCAAAAAATAGCTATCTAACAAGAAATTAGGACAATTAATGACTAAATGCAACACATTTAACAGGCAAGTCATGTTGAGGTTTGAGGTATTATGTAAGGCTGTCTCAAAGATGAGGTTTAGTGTGAGGTTGTCTGATTGGGAACCTCATAGCAGTCTGATATTTGAACTATTTGCCTTTCCTCCACAGCTCTGTGAAGAGTACAGCTTTGTCAGTCAGCTAGCCACGTTGACCGATCACGTTCCCCTCAGCATGACGTTTTCCACGGCCATCGGTCCCGGGGCGATGCAGGAATGGCCCCAAGCTGTGACACCAGACAGTAATGGTTCTCATTCCTGTAAGATCATGTATGAAACCACTGTCTGATAATTGATGGTAGGCCACTAACCAAAGAGATACTTGTTTGTCATTGTCATCCATTCCAGAATTCGACAACATAGGAGTTCTTTTAATTTTCTGTTCAGCGTTTGTCTAATGTTGGGTTTTTAATATGTAGAAGTTAGGGGCTCCGTGCACAAGTACCCCTTCAACGGCCAGGAAAGGAGAGTTGGGGATGACCTAGACTGGTTCCCGGTCCATCCACTACGTATTTCGAATGATCCAAAGTTATTGGGGGCAGGAATTAGTTTGGGAGACCATCGCAAGTTAAATTCGAACGTATTCGCGCGCCGACGACGCCTGACGCTCACGCGCGAAGACCCTATGGCTTAGCTTTGTGGACATTCAGGATAAAGAAGTTGTGCGTTCTTCGCGCGCGAACCAGTACAGTGCGCACACGCGGTGTCCCGTCTATGGGCTCTCAAAAGTGGTAAAAACGCGCCCTCTTTTGTTGGCGCACGGAGCCTATAGTACATGTGGCAGTTCACAGTAAACGGCAAAGCTAGTTTAGTTTGGACAGAAATTTTGATTAAGAAGAAAAGTCAATAGATTCTTTCATGTCTGCCCCATAAATATTGTTTAATGTGCGCCTGGTAAATATTTATTTTACTGGCCTTTAATGGGGTACTTATTGAAATCCATTTACTATCACTAAAGCCAACATGCACTATGTGAAGGCTACATCATTTGAGATTTGATAAGTGCTTTCATTTTTTTCCCCTTCAGAACCTGCTGTGCAGATCCACGCTTTTAAAGGTCCATTAGTTCAAATGAGTTTCTCCATGGAAACCCTTCCGATTATCTCGCCAGGCAGACTGTGGAGCTCCATTGGGGTAATTTTGTCGGCTGTTTGTTTCACTCTTTGAGGGATTCCTGACTGCCGTTTCCAAGGTTTTTGCATCATTACTACTAGTGCTGGCGTTGTGACTTCAAAGCTTTGTGTGTTTTTTCCCAGCTACATGGTTTCTGACTAGCGCCTTTGCAATTTCTAAGAAATTGTCATAGTGGGAAAATGCCATCTTGTGGAGGTGGCTAGTTTAGATGGCAGAGCACGAGTACGGTGTTTCAGAGATTGCTGGTTCGAACCCAACTTTGAACAGTCTCAGCACAGAACAGTAGCATGTGTTATTTACTTATTTTAAGTTACATTTACTACCTAACTTGACACAACCTAGAATTTTTTTTTGGAAAGAATGGTGCTTTCTGACGCCACTTTTTTTTCATCATGTATGATCTCAATGAAGGTCAGTCATTGCAAAAATGTTGAAAACGCATGACTCTGGGACTAAGAAACATTTCCAATTTTGTTAGGAATTACTTTGAAAATGCACTCGACTCTCCATAGACTTTCTACACAACCAAAGAAGTGGCGTCTGGATACTACATTCTTTCCCAATTTGGTGGGGTTTTTTTTTGGGGGGGGGGGGTTGAGAAATCTTACATTTATTTTGTTGAGTCTTTTTAAAGACATAATGCAATTTATATGATTTGGTAACAAACTTTTGTTGGCTCATCCAGTTACCTTTAATGCAATTTTATGAACTTGTATGCACTCCCTAAACCACACCTTGTTATCCGTCAGTGTGTTTTTGTGTGACATTTGCCCCGAGCTAAGGCAAACATTTGATGAACGATCAAAGTGTTAACCCAAAGTGTTAACTATACTAAACCTTTAGGGTGTACGTGTATCTGATGTAGAAGTCTCATAACAGAGTGTCTCTGTTCCCTGTTGATGTTCTGTGTTCCTGGGATGCCTTTGACTTCTCCTGTCAACACAGGGAGAATCTTTACGTTTGTTTAACTGATAAGCAAATTTAAACAGAGAGATTGGGTTTGTTTGGATGGGGCGTCAAAAAGTAATTTGGGGTTTGTCAAGCCAGCGCTAGCGTCTAGGGGTCTGAAGGCTTCATCCCAAAAATTTGTTTCATGCTTCCTTAACAGTTTGAGGAAACTACCCCAAATTCAAGCTTTTTTTTTTTCAAACATGATGGCAAAGTCAGGCATGCAACTTTTCCTTGGATCATTTGATTTCCTTGTTTTTCATTTCTCACTTTAATTCTATTAAAAATTGAAAAACACTGTACAAAGTCTTGTAAAGATTGGAGTTTCCTCTTTTTTGTTACAAGTTGCATGCCTGCAAAGTAATGAGAGGAGTCTGTGAAAATATCAAAGAAAGCTCTTGATCCTCCCTGTAGTTTTGATGTAGAATGGTGTCTCGAGATTATCACAGTACAAATTGTTGTTCAGAAGTAAAAAAAGAAATCACCAAATGACCCCAAATATCATGCAACTATGGGAGGAAATAACTGCATTATATTTGGAGGGGGGGGCGGCTAAAAGTCCTTACTTGCAGCTGAGAAGCTGAATTGCGAAGGACACAGCTACAACGTGGTCGAGCCGAAGGCATGTAAAGGCGCCTTAGGCAGCCACCATAGGACCCATGTCTGATCACGGAGCACAGCCAGAGATTGAAAGTGTTGATTTTTGCGGAGGGAGGAAAACCATAGAGCCCGCAGATAAACTTTTGTGGCACAGGAGAGAATCAACACACATCTCTACTCACATATGACCCGAGCCAGGAATCGAACCCGGGCCACAGTGGTGAGAGGCGAGCACTTTACGCACTAGCCACCCGTGGCCTTGTTAATTGTAATTGTCCGTCAGTGTTTTTTCCAAGTTTTCATTTTACTTTGGAATTCTGTTGTGACATTTTCAACATTTTCAAATATCAAATGATTTTCAGGTGGATGGCTGAAAAAAAAATCCCAATTTTTTTTTCATGAAGACAGTATCTGTCTTCAGAGTAGGTAAGTTAAAGTAATTAGAGTTTACATTTAATAGCACTCTCTTGTTGATACTAATTCATTTTTTCCCCATGTATTTTTAAATTTGTTTAAATAGGGTTTGGTTAGGCCAAATAAATAAATTTAAAAAAAACATGTTTAGCGTCCCAATCCGCTTCTTTTTTTGTTAATTAAAAGAAGAAAAAAAATTAATGATAAATTTTAAACAGTGAAATCATTTTGGCCTCTTTGTCTGTTGCATCTAGCCCATATAAAGCTGGTATGTCATTTCCTGAGTCCAACTGGTGGCCATTTTAAAAAGAAGTCGTTTTGGAAAATGGTTCGGGCGGCCATTTTGGAGGGGGAAAAAGGGCCTCCTCCTTTTTTTTCAAAAAGGCAGGACGTTAAACATGTATTTTTTACTTGGCCTTACCTTACTGTTTAAACTTTTCTTTTCTCATTTTATTTTCTTGAATTAATCAGTCTGCTGTTTTTTTTTTATATCTTTCCATAATTTCCCACGTAAAATTGAGAATTTGGTGCAATTTGACAAACTAATAGAATTTGTGTGTGTGTGTGTGTGTCTTTTAGGTGTGATTGTCGTGAAATCTTTGGTTCACTATAGTCTTTAAGAAAATGAAAAACCAAAGATATTCAGATATGGTATATCATAGTTTGTAATGCATATTAAAAAGTAGCGTGTTAATCAGAAAATTTAACATCAAAAGTACTTCATTTTCTGAAGTAGTTAAATTATCAAAGTTTTAAATCATTTTTTTTAATTGATTATTTTTGGCTTTGAATTGATTTGTTATTGTTTCCATTTTACTTGTTTACATTTTAATTAACAAAAATGTAATTGTTTATTAATACAGTGCACAATGTTGATCTATGGATTTTTTTTCCTTTCACGTTAAATTGTTTAGTGATTTTTGTTGTCTCTGTAATTAAAGGAGACATTGATTTGTTGCTGATAACCTTTCTAATTTATTAATCAAATTATTTATTGCTTTAAGTATTTGTGAGTTAAACTAATACATTATTGACAGCTTTTATTTTGTTGGTTAACTAAAATGTTTATTCCTATTCATTTTCAAGGTGAAGGATTTTAATTGTTTACTAAAAGTTTGATTGAATTTTCAAGTTCAAAATTCATTCCAAAGATATGTCTGAAGTTTTGTATATATTTTTATCCTTTTTATCTGTACATGTATTCAGTATTTCAACTCTTTAACAATGACTGTGTGCAATATCTAAGTCTGTCCGACACTATACGGTGTACATTGTGCAATGTTTCTGTGAGAAAAATATCATTTTCTGAACTGTCTACATATCCAGTTGCTTGATGTCTTTTTTCAGTCGTCTTTGTGTCATTCTCATGAGCGCCCTCGTATGTCGGGAAGATGCTCAACTCGTCTTCTCAACTAATTAGTAATAACATTGCATTCATTATTGTGACTACATTGACTTTTATTCATTTCAGTAAAAAAATTAGCAAAATAAAATTTCAGGTGTTCGAAGAAATAACTTTCCAATATGCACATACTTCATGATCAATTGTTTACACATCGTCGCAGAGCTGACATACCGGCGAATCGACCTTTTTGGCGTTTTTGAGATTTTGTTATTTTGGGGGTTTATAAAGGTTGCTCCTTCAAGTATTTATGCCAAAATTCCTTATTCTTGTCTGGATTTTGAGATTCGGAGCCCCCCCCCCCCCCCCCAGTCATGACATAGTGACGAATAAAGAATTTCGCTAATGTAAGGTATGCGTTCAAAGTACCCAAAAATATTTGTCAGTTTTTCAGATTGCGCGTGCGTGCGCAATCCGACAAACTGAAGAATAGCATACAAACAGTGTGAAGAACAACCAGCTATTAGAGATTTTTGTAATTTGACAAACTGACGAATACGTTTACGATCAAATAAAATTATATCGCTCAACTTCTCCAATTAAATAAGTAACCTGATGGATACTACGTTTCCTATTTTATTTCGAATATACACCAAAAGGGTTATTATCGAAACATAAAGGGTAAAATACAATGCCCAAAAAATTGTCCAACTATTACTCGAAACAGGCTTTTCGCTTATTCGTCGGTATGTCAGCTCTGCGACGTCATATATCTGTCATTCAAGTCTTCAGCCGATTGTTCATCATATTGAAAAAAAACAATGGATGTCCAAAAAAATTTATACAGCTACAGATTTTTCCGTTAAATAAAACAAGTCTTCAGCTTATTGTTCATCATATTGGAAAAAACAAAGGATGTCCAAAAAAATTTATACAGCTACAGATTTTTCTGTTAAATAAAAAACATATTTCAAAAAATTATACTTACAGCTTTTTTGTAATGAACTAAAAATTCATACATGTACACTAAAGGCACATACAAGTAATCACAAATTTTATTTAAAAGTATTGATCGAGATGTTTAATGTCATCAAATCTAATTAGAGCAAACATAGTGTGGCTTTTTTTCTTCAAATGTTAACATAAAATCACTAGTAAAATATTAGTATGGTTTCCAGACCATAATATTCTGACGAGTTCCGATGAATCATACCAGTAGGTCCGGTAACCACTAGTATCTATACAATATATACATATTTCCGAATATGTCCGAAGTTTGCCGAATGCATTTCGTCGATACTCACGGATAGCACCTGGGTATTTCCAGTTGTAAAATAGGTTTTATTTATCTGCCATGCTTTTTAACAAACAAAAAATTAGTTTTTAATTAATATTCATTGCTTACATTAAAAAAAAATTGAAATTCAAAGATGATTTTGTGCATCAAGTATGCCCTCAGATCGTACGAGGGGCGAGCTTTGCTAGGTGATGTACTATTTTGAATCTGACAACAGTTACTGGGATTTTCCAAAACTTGGCATGGTCTCCATTTCGGCTTCGCATGCTAACAGTGCTATTGGGTCCCAAACTTTGAAGATTCCAGGTCAACGTTAGTCAATGTTTCCTTATAGAAATATCAAAGTGCATATCATATGTATCATATGATATATGCATATTATATATCAATTGTATGATATATGAAGCAAGTGTTATTTTGTTTTAATTTGATCGGAACATTAAAAGCTATAAATGATAAAGCCAAACCGGAAATGAAGCCAAGCTTTTGCAAAAGGACCGCCATGTTTCTTTTTAATCCTTGCGGTTGCCTGACCTACAATTTAGACGTCTGTGCGTCGGGGAAATTGTCAGGTCAGGGAACCAGACTAGTAAAATATCTGATGACATCATGATGACGTCCCATAGATTTCCACATCTTCGGATAAGAGTTACTGTGCATTTCGTCTTTTCGCAGGAATTTGGTATTATAAATTCACCTACATACCATGTTAATCGATGTTCACAAGTTAAGAACATGATTTTTTTTCTTCAAATACAAACACTCGTTATTCAATACCTGATGACATCATCATGACATCATAGTAATATACACTCCCAGTGATGTACATTCCAAGTTACAAGCTTATACCTTGTACAGTTTAGAGCAAAAGTTGCTGAGAATTATAAGAAAAGAAAAAAAAAGTAGTTTAACAAATTTTAAACAGCGAGCCAAATCACCCAAAAATGTAAAATATGGACATTATTCGGCACACAATTCAATGAAAACAGGCGATTTGCATCCAATTTGATTGGTCTTCTGGCAAAACTGATGGGCAAGACAATTTTCTGAATGGTAAAATTTACATACAAGAAAGTATTGTACCTTATGTACCCATGTTTTTCTAAAATCAATTTTACTTTTAGTACTACTGCTGTCCAAATCAGCCCAAATTCCTCTGGCATTTTAGTAAACCTGCTATTTTTAAATCAGTTTTGATCTCGTTGGGATACTGAAAGAGTAAACGGTAAATAGATATTTCTCGGTGAAATATTCCACTCATACCAATGCGACACTATCCATTGCTGCGTTGCCGATTGAAATACCGCCCTCAGCGACGTTGACATTGTGAGACTTCATGTAGTATCCTGTTGTTTTGTTCAGTAGTACGTCATCGCCACGACTACCAATAAAAAAATTTTAAACTTCTGTTAGCGCTATCGTCCCATACAAAAACAATCTGACCATTCTTCGTAACAAATAACTGGATAACAAATAACTGGATATACATTTTAGATTTGAAGTTACAATAATGGGAAAGGACATTTTTTTTTTAGACGAGGTTCCTTTTTATATATTTTTTACCCAAAAGTACACCCATTCTGAAGTCTTTTGTTAAAATATCAGGCTTTCGAGCAGACCCAGTTGAAAAAGTAGCACAACAGAAATATTAAAATTAAAAAAAAAAAACAAGACAAAAGTGGGACTTTCAAGGACAAAATCAGTGTAATAGGACTTTTGCAGGCTTTCCGGAGTAGTTTTCGTTGATACTCGCCCATGTCCGCATTATCATAAGCCTCATTTGGCATGTTCTGTACTCACAACACTTGTGCTCCATCCTCAACTAAGCTCTTGGAAGTACAGCTGCAGTACTCCTGCGCCCAAGCCCTTCATTGTTTGATTTACATATGACAGTGTGTAACACTGTTATGAAAAATATTCAATGAGATTTCATTTTTCGAAATTGTTGGACAAAAACGTAGGAAAAAGCAGGAATTTCAAGAAAAAAGCAGGAAAAGTAGGAGCAAGGTAAAAAAAAATTAGGAATACTTGAAAGCCTGAAATATATCAGAAAATTTTCCAACTTGGAGCTTACCTTAACATGACTCCAAACGGACCATACTCTGTCACCATGTCGGTGGCTTGGTGGACCTCCGGTCCCGAGATCACATAATTCTTGAAGACTTGTCCTTGGATCTTTTCCATGAGGATGTACGCTCCGCGCTCCTCCTGCCCACTGAGTCTCTCCAGCTCCGCCTTCAGTTCACTGTTGTACAGATTGTTACCTGCTCGGACAAAAGACAACACCAGGTGAGATGTAAAGTTGATGCAGTCGTCAATGTGACAAACCAAGCAGCTCATAAAGACAGAATCTGCAAAGGTGACCTTTCTTTATCAAACACACAGCCTCTTCTATTCATGAATATTCTCTTCTATTCTGGAACAGTGCAAGTAACAGTAACAGAGCGTTTTTAACGATAAAACTACTACACTTTTATGAGATGGATTTGCATCGGAGAGATGTAAATTGTATATTGGATTTTGCCCTTTGCCGACGTATTTTATGTAAACACTGTATACTCGGTGTTGTCTGAGGGCTTTCGAGAAAAAAAATTAACTAACTGGGATGGGACTCGAACCTGTGTCCTGCTACAGTCATGAAAAGTAAAGTTCATTATATCCATTTGGCAAATATTAGTATCTAAATTTGCAATACAGCAATTTCTTTGAAACCACCTGTGATAAAAAAAAAATTATTCCTTAAAAATGTATTCATTTAGCCACTCTCTAGTACTGATATAAAATATGGCATTGAATTTTTAAAGTCGGAATAAAAGGGCTTTTAATTTCTTACCTCCGCCTTCTCTTTGTGGTTTTAAAACGTATTTCTCCGGGTTTTGGATACCCATTGCTGCTGCTGCATCACCTTCCTCCGTCTAAGATTAAATCCAAAACAAACGGTACTAAGATTTTAAATTCACTTTCTTGCTGTAGCTGGTTTTCATGAAATGTGAAAATGAAATTACAGTGTGAGGGGACGGAAATAAAACGAATCACTTTCGGTTTTGATCTTCCTCCTTTATCATTATTAAATTAATTATTGCATATGGGATCGTTTGCATTTATCCTAAAAGGAACTTACCCAATTATTATCAAAAAGCTTTAAGGAATGTACTGGAACTTAACAAACCCGTGAAATTATTCAGTCTGGCTTGCTGTCATTTAAATCAAGAAATGCAGGTGATTTCCAACGATCAGTCAATTGACCGATTTGTGGAATAATTAGTGATAGTGACGAAATCGTGTTTCGTGATCAAAAGGTTGTGCATGGATGGTTTTTCAGTTTTCTCGAAAAAGTGAATCCACAGAGCTGAAACCTCAACATGTTAGGTTTTGAACATTCTTAAATGGACTTTGAGTAATATTGGAAAAACAAAAATTAATGTAATATTTCCATTCTCTTTTCAAGAGTTGGGATCTAATCACTACCTGGATTGACAACCTTCTTGCCAATATTTTTTAAAACTAAATTCAACTTGTTGGTGTACTCTTATGCTTGACTTACCAGTCCCAGGTCATACTGATGTACAAATGTACTCCTAATCTGTCTAATTGCCTCGGCGTCATCCAAGAATCGTTCCAAGACGCCAGGTTTGGATAATTCTTGCTGAATCTTCTTGGTTCCTGCCAGATGCCAGTTGACAGAAGGGCAGGATACAGCCAAGGATCTCTCAATCAGCAATCGTGCATTCCATTCCTTACAAAACATGCAAGACAGAACATATTTGTAAATGAACCACTGACGAGACAGCTTGCAACAGATTCAGAGACCTGCTAGTGAACAAATGTGTGAGTGCTTTTTATTGTTTTGCACTTTCAGGCTATAGACAAAACCAGCTCTATCGGAAATATCTCGGAAGCTGCGGGCCAACAAATTCGTGTTCATGCATGAGTCACGTGATTGTGCCATGTAGTTTCTGGAAGTAGCGTTTTGAAATCAGGTTTTTGAACCCATGATGACCTTTGACCCCAGTTTGGTCGTGTGACATGTTGGGACAGGGCTACTGATACTTTTGACAAAGTTTGGTTGAAATCAGTAAAAATATGTAGGAGCAAAGATAATGTCAATGTTTGTTACTAACTAGCTAACAGACTAACGCCGAGAAAGTTTGGTCATGTGACATGTTGGGGCTGGGCTACTGATACTTTTGACAAAGTTTGGTTGAAATCGGTCAAAATACGAAGGAGCAATAAACAATGTCAACGTTTGTTACTAACCAACTAACTAACGGACTAACGGAGAGACATGATTTGTTGAGCTGCCATCCCGCAGCTAAAAATGTGTTTGCAACCGAGCATTAGAATAAAAGATGCCAATGATTCACACAATAGTAAACTACAGTGCTAAACACTATTTATTTTTAAAAAAATAGTACATCTCTCTGACACTTTGTATTTTATTATCTTTTTCTTATCAATTGTTTTAGTAATGAAAACAGTGACAAGGGATTTAATTAGCTTGCAAAATTTTAAAAGATAAATATGTTAAAGACTCACCGTTTCTGAGGGATATTGTCTCGGAGCATAACCGATCCTGAAATACACAAATGCTATCTCCTTACCGTCCCTGGAACAAATAGGCAGAAATTATGTAATAATCAGTCACTGAACAAGCTTCTCCTCCCCCTCACAAAGGGGAACGCCCCTCCCCCTTTGTCTCACACCCAAAAGGAGTGCTCCACAATTCACATCATTAAGATATATTCAGAACTGAGAGACAACTTTACTCAACAACTGAAAAATGAAATAAATACGACAAGCTAGAAAATTTTTAAAATTATCTCAACTTCAAATAAGTTTTACATCAAGTGGAACCTGACCTTCAGAGCAACTGAAGAGATTATTATGGCCATGAAATGACTACAAAATCTTTTAAAGGGAATACGGAATCATTTGTTTTTCATGCATTTTGTTTGTTTCCAGTAATAACACAACCCAAAATCCAAAGAAGAAATGTTCCAAACCTAACCTGTTGAGGTTTCGGCTCAGTGGATACTACACTTTTTGAGAAAACTGCAAAACCATGCACAGCTTTTCGATCACGAAACATGATTTCGCCAATATAACTCTTTTTTTCTCTCCCAAAATCGACTGTTCATTGGAAATCTACTGGTCATTGGAAATCACATACATATCTTGATTTCTAGAAAATGATATCAAGCAAGATATAATAATTTCACAGGGGAGTTTAGTACCAGTACAATCTTTTAGCTAAGTAAGCTTTTTAATCATTTAGTAGGTTAATTTTGGGATAAATACAAATGATCCTATATGCCTTTAAACTAATTCTGAAATGAAAACTTACATGAATAATCGTCTATCCTGATCGACCGTAGCTCTCTGCCCAACATCTGTGAGTGTTCTACGCATGACCCGGATAGCTGGGTTATACATCCGCATTGTGTGCTCAAGCCAGCACTGATCAAAGATGTTATACTCGGCAGTGGAGACTAGGAACAAGACCCACGCACTGGAACAAAGAAAACAATTCATCCAACAATAAAATTACAATCATAGAAAATGTGCATCAAAGTGGTAAAGCACACCTTCAATGGAAAATTCTGAAGAAACTGAATGTTAGGAAAGTCTGAATTTGCATACGGTGAGCTGATATATAGTCAAAAACATCACAGTGCATTCTTTTACTTTTGTCAAAATTATGGGCTCCGTGCGCGAACAAGAGAGGGCGCTCTTTGACCACTTTCGTGAGCCCCGTGGGCGGGACACACCGCGTGCACATACTGATTCGAGCGCGTATATAGCGCGAATTGTGCACAACTAATTCATTGGCTCCGGCTTGCAAATTATACACATATGCCTATGGAAGCATCGAAATCAAGATGGATGTGTTGGTGCCTAGCCGTAGCCAATAATTCAGACATGGCTACGCTTGCATACCTCGGTTGTCCATAGAGTTCCCAAGCCTTAGCCGCTCCTTCACCAATTGCCATGACAGCTTTGTTACCAGCTAACTCAGCCTTCATCTCATCACATAGGCCCATATTGTATCTGCAAAATAGCAACCCGAATCACACAGACATACATCACAATCTTATCTATGATTTGTAATATCAAGCGCGAGTCTCGATTCAAACAAGTCTCTTACAAAATGGGGAAAATTTGGTTTTAGCATCTATCAGTCGAAGTTACAGGGCTTAGGGAAATAGTGCCTTTTTGTGATCACAGTTCCTACATGTAAGGGCAGAGTCAAGTCCAAACTCCGTCGCAAGTCGATCACAAGTCCACTACAATTTCTAAGTCAATCACACTGAAATAACAAATTCTTTTGTCACAATTAAAACGGAGCACGTTTGTGACTTAATAACTTGTGACCGACTTGCCTCTGAGTGTGTAGATGCAGACTAGTGTCTTTAATGCCCAACCAACTATTCTCATGAACCACACTATACAAACTGAAATGTAATTTTTAAAAATTATTATCAATGCCTGTCAAGTACTTATCCCATGAGCACGAGTGAAACACGGGATAATGTAGTATGTCTGTGTCGAACGAAGGCCAAGAGACATGTGGGACACATGCATTTTCCGTGTTCCAAAAGCACAAGTGGGATAAGGAATTTATCTTCAAGCAACTTGATACACTGCAAAGATAGAACACGCACGCTGTACACAAACTTTTCAATAGTTATCCTATCGAACATGTGTGCAGTAGGAATGGCACGCACATCTTACAATAGCGCGATACGCAGAGTGTTGTATGGACCGTGGTATACGGAATAATGTAACACGGTTTGTTGCCATGGTTTGACCAATCAGGATCGAGGATTCAAGTTTGCTTGAAGATAACACCTCTCATAGTCACTGTTACGATTGACTGTAACTGTTGAGGATTAGACCGTACCTATGCAGATCAGCTACCTGCATGCCAACACCACCCATGCCTGCCGCTATCGTGTTGATTTCAACCATCTTCAGGGCTAACTCGGGACCTGTCGTATCTACCATGTAATCCGGCCGCACCACGCACAGAGATATAGGCTAAAAGGACACACAATTCATATAACAAGTTTAAAATCAAACAATCAATCATATATCATCTCAATAGAGGACAGTCATTGCAAAAATATTGAAAAGACACTACATTTTATCACCAATTTTTTCACACTTTTTCCTACCTTTTTTAATCCTTCACTCTCCATCTGTTGATACAGATCCATCAATCTTGAAGTGAAATCATCTACAGCGATAGTACTGCCAAGAAAACGTAAGAGAATTTCATTTTGGCATATGGATGCATACGCCAGTACCTGTGACCCATTTAACAATGAACCTTTTTAAAGGCATCCTTAATGCAAACTTCCTAGGCATTTTTGCTTTGATGTAACCTCAATCCTGCAAAATCCTCCAGCAATCACTGTCAACATGTTGAGGCCGAGCCAGTGACATCCTGGAGCAGTGCGGAGGATTTCAGGTATAATCTAGGCCTAAATTTATGCTAGGCTGAGCATAAACAACACAAGGTCTGGCCCAAGACCTTGACACAGTGCATCCTCCGAAATCAGCAACAAACTTTTGCCATGTAACCTCAATCCTGCAAAATCCTCCATTTTGCAAAGAGGAATTTGGAGGGTGAGGGTTAACATACTATACCTCTTGAGTGACGTTGTCAAAAATTCCCTATCCATAGCAACCCGGAGCATCAAGACACCGATGCTATCTTGCATCTGATTGGCTGCTTCATACAGTCTCCTTGGCAACGGTGAAGGGAAGAGTGTGTGAGGTACATAGGTCACGACCTCCGAGGAATTGAGGCTGCCTGCCGCTCGCTTGAGTACACCATGCATCAGTGCGTAGTGCTTGGAGCAGTCCGTCAGATATTGTAATGTGCTGGTGTCCAGTGACGGTAGCTGGTACTTGGCCGGGTCGTCACTCATGTTGAACTTGTATTGCGTATATCTGCAGAAAAAAAAAGGAAAAAGAAAACTGTTAATTGTAGGCCAGTTTAAAAAGTAGTTATACAAACAAGAAAACAGGGATAAAGAATGACTCATGATGTATAAAAATCAGAGCTCTTTTTATTAGAAGATAGGTCTGTTTAAGTCGAGTCATTTCCAAGAACTGTCCCACCTAACAAAATTCATAGCATAAGCCGTTTCACAATTTCCACTGCGCGTGTGCACATTAGGAATCAATGATTTATTTCGGGACTAAACAGTTTGCCACAAAGCATGCAAACTCACAGCAGGATACCAACGGAATCAAAGAAAAGTTCTTGTTTTTAAGTAAATGCAAAATTTAGAATTTCATTTTGCAACAGCACCATGGTTTCAGATGTTTTGTTAGTCCGAGTAACTTGGACCCAACTTATCGCCTTTTTAACATTCGGACATGGTCTGGCGATAGTGGGGTCTAAGCTAATCCTTATATGCAACTAGCTCAACAACGAGCAACACAATTCTGTCATTGACCCAAAAACCCAACATTGCCCAACAAAAACATCAGATTTCACCCTCGAAATGGCCTCCAAATTACTAGATACGCCACCTGAGGTACAAGTAGACATCGATAATTAAGATGGTTGTACTGATGTTTACTTACGATCCGGATGAAAATTTCCCGTTCAATTCCGAGAGCTCCCCTCGCGATCGTCATCATCATCTTCCTATACTGTGCAGCAGTGATGTAGTGCCTTGATGCTGGGCCTTGGCCTTAAGGCTGCCTTAAGGCTGAATTTTAGGGCCTTGGCCTCGAGGCTTGAGGGCAAAAGCCTTGGCCTTGGCCTTGGCCTTGAGGGTTCAGGGCCTTGCAATTTTGAGTCAAGGCTCTTCAAGGCCCATAGATTTTTGCATTTTCAGATAAATCTGTTCAAAATTTTGCTGTTACCATTTTGATTGTATTACCATGGAGGAGGGAAGCACCCTATAGATTTGTGTGTTGGGCACACTTCCACTTTTGTAGCATCACATTTTGTTACCATTTTAGTAGATTTGCTGCAAAAATATTCTGTACACTTGTGGGGCTAATGAGATGATCACTTTAATTGCATATAACTATGGAATAGATCTGATTGGTTGTATATGTCTCCCTGATAAGTGCTAAAGATTTGCATGTATCTGTTTTAGTTAATGCTGATATTTCTGACCATGTTGGGCCAGCAAATAAAAATTTCCCAAATCAGTTTCTTGGATCCCCCTTTTGCTGCACTTGAAGAATTGTGCCTCAATATAGAAGTAAATCATTATTTTGTTTTAGTTAAACTATATTGAAGACCTGAACTTATACTTTAATAGATACAGTGCAGTCATAAAACGGTGTAGGCCTATGCGAGCATGTTGATTGCAATTAAAGAAATGTTGTTCTTCGTAACGAGCAATTCGTGATGATAAGGGCGGATCTAGGGGGGCCATAAGGGGCCATGCCCCCCCCCCCCCCCCCAAAAAAAAACGAAACCATTTTTTTTATGTGACGTTGTAATAAAGGCAGGCAATGAGTACACCACCATCTTTTCCTCAAAAAACATCGGTTAAAATGGTCAGAAATTGCCTCAAAGCGCACAACAGACCATCTCGAATCCAAACATTTTTCGGGGCCCTTAAGCGGGCCCCCAAGCCCAAGCCGTAATTTTTTTACCCACTTTTTTCCTGTTGTTGCTAGAAATGTTACGTATGGAACTACACAGGCACTCTAAGTAGTTCTCATTTGAGAGTGGGGGGCGGTATACAGCGCCAACAATGAGATCAGACAGTTGTGGTGGAGTCGCCATTGGCGTGGGTCCTGGTCTGGATGGAAAAATCATCCAGACAGCCGACGATTGTGAGGCACTCTTTGTCGAGATCGATCTCGAACACAGAAATGCCAAATCACAAACATGCGAATTTCTCATAGTCTAGTTCGGAGGGAAAGATTTCATGGTTAGAAATGTTAGGATTTAACCAGGTTTCTGTAAGGATGACAATGACTGGTTTAGCAGTGTGCAGGAGGTTCCAAAATTCCACCAGTTTATTTCTGATGCTACGACAGTTAACGACCAGAACGCCCAGGTTTGAAGAAAGGGGGGTGCCGGCAATATTGACAGGCGCGTTGGATTTTTCTGGGGATGAGATGGCTGATGGGATGGCAGACCAATTATACATGCGCTGTCAAAATTATTTTCTTGAGATATGTTGCTACATGTACAGGATGTAGATGCATGTGATGCTGAATCAGAGACAACGATGGATGATTCAAAGAAACTTGAAGTGAAGTGTAAGACACCACAGGTAGGGCAATGCCAACTTACATTGATAGGGTCGCATAGGTAATGTTTGAGTGCTTAGGCCCCTATGTGGGTAACCCCTATGTGTACACAGTTCTTATGAAACCAGACTGCGCAATCATCACAGGCTACTGCAGGGGGTTTCAACGGTATCAGGTCAACTCGGACCCAAACCAAGTCGGACCCATGCCAACTCGGACCCACGCCAACTCGGACCCACGCCAACTCGGACCCACTACCAACTCGGACCCACTACCAACTCGGACCCACTACCAACTCGGACCCACTACCAACTCGGACCCACTACCAACTCGGACCCAGGCATGACCAACTCGGACCCAACAATGACTCAATCATTAGTTTCAGAGATTATATTTATAATAATATTTTAATATTAATATTTTTTTTTACGAATCTGTTTAACTTTTTATACATTTTTGATTTAACTTTTTTGTTTGGCACAATCCTGTTTTGTTTAATATGGAACCTTCGTTTCTCTTGCAGTGTATGCAATGGTGTATATATGTGTGTTTTTTTTTTTAAAATAGAGATTAGAACAGACTTCGTTTTTTTATCTTATTTATTGACTTATAATGTTTACTTATATTTATTGAGTTAATAATGTTATGTTTGAAAGAGTTTATGGAATCAATGCATACTTCTTTTTTTTAAATTTTTCTATGAATATCTGTTCTGAATTTGTATATTTTGTTACGTTGAAGTTTGGATTAAAAATGAAATAAATTGTTGTTAAATTGAGCAAGATGGCGTGAGCAATGTCAATTAATACGTTTTAATGAAAATAAATAATAATAATAAATAATTAATTACACTTTTAAAGCGCATTTCAAAATAGCATTTCAATGCGCTTTACAATGACAAAAATGTTATGTAACTGCTGCAATACAGATAATTGTCCTTACAATTACAATGAAAATTTATACTAAACAGCATCACTGTAAACAGATGAGAAGTGGACGAACTTTATGAAATGCCGCATGATTGAAAACGATGTCGAATAATTGCAAAACGATGGGTCCGAGTTGGTCATGCATGGGTCCGAGTTGGTCGTGGGTCCGAGTTGGTTGTGGGTCCGAGTTGGTAGTGGGTCCGAGTTGGCGTGGGTCCGAGTTGGTAGTGGGTCCGAGTTGGCATGGGTCCGAGTTGGCTTAGGTCCGAGTTGGTTTGGGTCCGAGTTGGATCGAAACCGTTTCAACGAACAGCACGACTACTCCTAGAACGTAGTGGAGCCTCATACTCGTAGATTAAGAAACACTACGTGGAGCCTCATAGTTCTAGGAGTACAGCACGACTGCAAATACCACAGGGGTACTTAGGCTTGTAAGGCATCGCAGTTCGTGACCACATTAATTTTCCGACTCGTGTTTGAATTGCGATGTGGCCTTCATCCCAGCGATCATTCGATGGTCCCCGTATCCGCCCAAGTGCGATTCCGTTACCGCGTGCGCTCGGTGATGCATCGATTATGATAATGAGCAGACTAGATCACGTTTGTAAACACAAATGCATTTCGAACGATGAAAGGGAGTCAGGAACTAGCTTGAACCGGTTGCCGTCCATAAAATCTGCCCTAGTTCCCGACTCCCTATTAAACGTTCGAAATGCACCTGTATTTTCAAACGTAATCCAGTCTACTCATTATCATAATCGATGCTTCGCGCGCGCCCGGTAACTGAATCGCACTCTGGGATACGAATGAACGCTGGGCGCCGGGCATGAAGACCACATCGCAATTCAAGGTCGGAAATTTAACGAGTTCACGATCGCGAGGGGAGCTCTCGGAATTGAACGGGAAATTTCACTTTTTATCCGGATTGTAAGTAACTTTCAGTACAATCATCTTAATTATCGATGTCTACTTGTACCTCAGGTGGCGTATCTAGTAATTTGGAGGCCGTTTTGAGGGTGAAATCTGATGTTTTTGTTGGGCAATGTTGGGTTTTGGGGTCAATGACAAAATTGTGTTGCATAAAGCCTAACCATTAGCTTGGTCCGAATGTTAAAAAGGCGATAAGTTGGGTCCAAGTTACTCGGACTAATGTTTTGTATGCTCCAACTTTTGTGTTATTAAGGTATTGAAAACATGCATATTGCATGATATTGAAAACATAGTATTGTAAAAACATGCAACACAAGAAAATAGACTGGCACAAGCATGACAAGTGACATGGTCTGTGTTCTTATTCCTCCACGATCCAACCACGGACCAAATACGCAGTCATCGACAGTCAGTGACAGTGGTCTAGTGTAGTGGTGGCTTCAAATAGCAAAAAGTTGGACATACAGTCTAGTCTTTAGCTGTAAATTAAAAACATTCATATATTTCAAGAGATATACATGCCGTGTAGAAGACAACCGTTTGCTGAAGCTGTTTATTTCCACAATTGCGCCAGTCAAACCGCACCCGGACCCTCAGCTAGCTCTTTTAAAGCGTGGTCGAAAAGAAAAGGGGTCGCCCTCTTTTGTAATTTTTTTGATTCACCATTTTTGCACACGGCCGCGCTAGATGACTGACATGACGTAAAAAAGTCAAGTGGAACCGGAGCGTTCTCTCTGACCATGCTCTGACAATCATGTCTGAAAAGGTTCTCTGAAAATACCCAGTTTGTCATGACTTGGCAGTTTTAAAAACTGCTATTTGCATCGCTTCGTTATTCAGCACTTCTGTGGTGAGGAAACACCTAATTGCATTACTGAGCAGTGTAAGATAATTTTTGTAAATGGACCTTTTCGTACGTGCGAATTCATGATTTGTTGTTCGTTATTACTAAATATTAGCCCCATTATTCGGATTATTCCATTAATGCGTGTGTGTAATGTGTACTCCTAGAACACCACGTAGTGGAGCCTCGTAGGTTCAGAACCCCGCAAAATTGTTGTCAGCACAAAACACTAATTGAGTACAAAAACGTCCATCCCAACCAAGCTTTTTCCCACAGAACCGCTGCACAGTTTGCCCCTAAACTCCGTACAATACCTCATGACATACTCACGTTATGTGCACCCAACAAAAATCGGTGGATTCTGTCTGTTTTCGGCAAAAATGATGAAAAAATACCCTTTCCGCACTGAGCCAACCGAAACGAGCACGCGCGCAGAATGATCGCAGTCATTTTCGGTTGGGTCCTACTAAAGCGCGTCAACAAGCGTCAACTAGTTTTAGTAATCGTTAAGTGCGCGTCAACAAATTTTGTATAGGCCTTTGAACAATAAAAACAGCTCATATTGTAGAAAAAGCAATAATGAATATCTTCTGCATATTAATTAAAGTTAAAATTATTTTAAAACTTGGTTTTTTGAACGCGAAATGTACGACGAATTTGTCGATAAAAGTTGGCCGCCATCTTGTTTGGATGGCGCTGTAGACTTCGCGCATGCGTAGTATGGCTCTTTACACTTCACGCATGCGTAGTACGGCTAGCTACACATAAACAAGATGGCGGCCAACTTTTATCGACAAATTCGTCGTACATTTCGCGTTCAAAAAACCAAGTTTTAAAATAATTTTAACTTTAATTGATATGCAGAAGATGTTCATTATTGCTTTTTCTACCATATAAAGCTGTTTGTATTGTTCAAAGGCCTATACAAAATTTGTTGACGCGCACTTAACGATTACTAAAACTTGTTGACGCTTGTTGACGCTTGTTGACGCGCTTTAGTAGGACCGTTTCGGTTCAATCGCTCGGAGCGCGCCGCGGGGGGTATGTTGTAGGAGCGGAACGATAGTACGCGCATGCGTACAAGTGCAAGTACGTACCCCCCGCGGCGCGCTCCGAGCGATCGAACCCGAAAATGACTGCGATCATTCTGCGCGCGTGCACGTTTCAAGTGTCAGGTTGGCTCAGTGCGGAAAGGGCATATTTTTCATCATTTTTGCCAAAAAACCGACAGAATCCACCGATGTTTGGTGGGTGCACATAACGTGAGTATGTCATAACGTATTGTACGGAGTTTAGGGGTAAACTGTGCAGCGGTTCTGTGGGAAAAAGCTTGGTTGGGATGGACGTTTTTGTACTTAATTAGTGTTTTGTGTTGACAACAATTTTGCGGGGTTCTGACTCTATAAGGCTCCACTACGTGGAGCCTCATAGTTCTAGGAGTATGTAATGTGGCCAATTTACTGGACTACCTCCGTAAACATAGGCCACACATCTACCATGTACAAAAACATGTCGAACTTTGTCAAATTTTGATTTTCACATTTAGGCTTAGTTTGTAGGGGTTTTTTTTTGCTTTAGAAGCATACTCACCCTCTCTCTTTATTATCTCCAAATGTTAAAAAAAGGCGATTCGTAGTGTCCTAGTTACTCTGACTAGGCCAAGTTTTAATTGTCTTTTTGTAATGTTGTCTCCCGTAATTTTGAACAATGAATCACAAGGCCTATTCTACATTTCTAGTCATGCCAGTCGAGTAACTAGGATTTAGGACTCTACAAATTGGTATGTGGTCGGACTATCGCCCGACCATGTCCAAATGTTAAAAAAGGTAATTTGTAGAGTCCTTACACTGTCATGAATGTAGTCACTGGGACTTGACCATGCCTATTCAGGTGTACCAGTTCCGGATCATCGGCAGTCCCGGATCATCGGCAGTTCCGGATCACTTGATCAAACCAAATTTTTCTTGAGATTTTTTTCACCAATTTGAAGGTCTATTATCATCATTTTGCAATTGTTTGGGGAGGAAAAAAAATTAGCCTACCATCCTGTTCGGCAGAGTATCAGTTTGTTTTGTAACTAGCCTGTGAAGGAAGCGCATAATGGCAAAAAATCTGCTTTCTGGAACTGTCACACTGACAGTCTTTATCACGATCATGTCAATGGAGGTCAGTCATTGCAAAAAATGTTATTAAAGACATGAATCTCGGAGTGAGAAACATTTCCAATTTTGTAAGAACATGGAGAAAAGAACTTTGAAAATGCACTTGACTCTCCTTAGACTTTGTACACAATCAAAGAAGTGACGTCTGGTTGCAACATTCTTTCAGGAAATGCCACAGTAGCACTGCTACTCACTAGGCCCAGGACCTGGGGCACTAGAGCTCCTTTTTTTTTAAATTTTGACGATGACTGAATGACCGACCAAAGCCAAAATTTGAACAAAAAAGGAATTCTAGCGCCCCAGTTACTGGATCTATGCTATCACCATCTTTATTTTCGTGCTGAGTTTTGTTGTCAAAATCATCAATTTTACACAAAAATTTCCCTTAAAAAAATCAAAACACAGCCTTTTACAGTATCAACCAAAATTCCTGTTGGCTAATGACCAGTAAGTAGTTCGTAAGTTGGATAATCTAAAATTGGATTTTCGCTCTGTATAGGTCCATAAGTAACATACATCCATAAGATCCATAGGTCCGTAAGTATTACTATGCAATTAAAATTTTTAGGTGTGTTTTCAAAGTTAAAATTTGTTGGAAAAGTCAAATCTGTGTCCGTTTTGTCATGTTTTGGTGTGTTTATGTGTGTAGGGTAATAATAATGGGGGTCCGATCTGTGGGGGGGGGTGTTGCACTTGGTTAGGGTGGAGGGTCTCTCTTTCTAGAGTCGAAGGGGGCAGTTGTTTTTTAGCTCCTCTTCCCCCACCCCTTTTTCATAATCGGTAGGTATTAAATTAAGATCAAGAAAAAAATGGGCCTACTGGTTTTTTTTTTAACCCTGCTATGCCCAGTGCAGTTGGCAAAGAGAATTATCAGACCTTTCAAAACATTTTAAATTTGCCTGACTAAAAAGGTTTTGAAAGGTGAAATAGTGCTGGAACTTTGGGACTTTTCGAAAGGTTTCCAAAGGTGAAGCAACTCTGTGGGCAAATTCAGTAAGTTGCATTTCAATACCTTTCGAAAGGAATTGAAAGGTGTGGTAGTGCAGTAACAATAAATTCTGGAGGATTTTAAAAGCTCCAGCATTTTTTTCCCTCCAATTTGCCAGCATCCAGATTTTGATGTGTTTTGAATGGTCTAACTACAGTTAATACATGTGAGTGGCCTAGCATATTTAGCAACTTGTATTTCCAATTCTTTAAGCAGTGTTTGATACATCTTGAAAATAATGCGCAATTCCTTCTCTTCCAAGTGATAAGTTGTGGAAGATTCTGGATTGAATCAAAAGGCGAAGTTGGTCGGCAGTGCAGTCTTGCCGCTCTGTGCGGTGAGCCCTGTAAACAGTGCAGCATACACAGAATTCACAGCGGATTCACCTGTTGACTGTCTCGAATACATGTACATGCAATTTTGTTTTGAAAGCATCCAACCCATTTGTGCTGGCTATAAAAATTCAGATCCCCCCCAACAAAGTAAAATTCCCACCCACCCACCCAATTTTTTTTCAGTGTAATAGAGAACACAATCTTTTTTCTTGGTCAAATTTATTTCACAGGTGTTTGCTTCATATCTCTAAAGAGGAATCTCGCTGACAATGGCGACATCATCACCTCCAACCAAAGATTCCTGCGTTCCGCTGCCTCTAGATCCCGAGGTCTTAAATGATCTCCAGGCGTCCTCCAAGGACTGGGCCCTGACCCACGGTCTGGTAGTCATGTACATGGCGCCCGATCAGATCTGTTGTCCAGACCGTATCACCTACGTCCCGCATACTCTGCTGCCCTCGCCTGTCCCGCGACGATTGTTTGAGAGGATGGTGAGCCTACAGCCACACATCAACCTGTTGATGCATCGAGTGGCCGAGGATAGAGAATTTATGACTTCGGCCCTCAAGAGGTTTGTACTATAATGCAGATAGACTCCTAGCACAAACAGAAATATGTGCATTTGTTACAAATTGTCCATCTTGTTTTGTTTTTTGATGTTTGCAAATTTTGTATGTATTACCTTTAGCTAAAGGACCCAAATACTACAAAAAATAGATTCTGTCAAAGTTTTAAATGTAAACCAATATATCAGTAGTTTTTAAAATTCATTTATGTGTCTTTTTTCCCCCAGCACGATAAAAGTGGATGATTTTACGGCAAAGCTGTTCGAAATCTATGAGGAAATGCATCAAGCAGGATATACAAAGGTGGGATGTTTATGAATATATAACTCAACTTTCAGTAAATCAAACTGAATAATTATTTTTCCTCATGATTGAACTACAATGCTGAACCAGCACAAATTGACTGCCTAACCCTAACAGTCCTGAATCCTCCAAAATCCTTCAGGCAGTTTTGGAGGATTTTGGAGGATCGAGGATTGGCAAAAAAAATAGGGAATGATTTGCCTCAAGTTCGTCGGCTGTACCCATTATAAAAATTGTTCATGTTCAGCCATGTAGAATTTAGTCCTGCATTATGCTCGATAGCATCTGCACTGCTTCTGAATGTCATCGGCACTGCCTCAACCCATTAACAGTGATTGTTGGAGGATTTTGCAGGATTGAGGCAATGGTCACCCTCCACTGAACAAATTCAAGAAATAACGGATGATTTTGGAGGAGTGAGGCTGAATCTAATTATTGCATGGTTTCAATTGGAGGATTTTGCAGGATTGAGGATGGTTCCTAGCCAAAAGGGCCTAGGGGGTTAGGGTTAAAAAGTGTATCAGTGTGAAATGAATAATTAAAATTACTAAATAAGTTTGATATTGTTAAGTGTGCATATTCATATGTGTAAACTACATTTCAGTGCTTTGCACTCAGTGGCAACATTTTCACTGAATATTCCCCATTAACAACTTGATTAACGAGAACATCAACAAGAACATTGACCCTAACTCCCTAGGCCTTTTTGCTAGGATGTAGCCTCAATCCTGCAAAATCCTCAAATTGGCCTCATGGAATAATAGCATATAGCCTCAATCCTGCAAATTCCTCCATTATTTCTTGAAAAATCCTGGGGCAATGACTGTCAATATGTTGAGGCTTGGCCAGTGACATCCTGGAGCAGTGCAGAGGATTTTCAGCATAATCCAGGCCTATAATTATGCATGGCTGATCAAAAACAACACAAGGTCCGTCCCAAGACCTTGACAAATTGCATCCTACGAAATCAGTAACGCAATTTTGCCATGTAACCTCAAGCCTCCAAATTCCTCCACTTTGGCAAAGAGGATTTTGAAGGATTCAGGGCGGATAGGGTTAACAAGAATAGAACATTCTTTTAGTCTTGTTCGATTTTTCTTTCTTTTTCCACTGTAGCCTGTCAAGTTAACCCTGCTTCGCTCAGACTACATGATAGATACAACCAGTCCACAGCACGCCATGAAGCAGATAGAGATTAACACCATGGCCAGTAGCTTTGGCGGTCTGTCAGCCAACTTGACTCATCTGCACAAGTCAGTAAACCCAAAAGTTTGAATTGAACTTTGAATCCAAGGGGGAATATCAATATTCTCAGTCGTACATGCTACTGAAACCAGAGATAAATGCCGGTCTGATGGGCATTATTGGCTTGTGACAGACTTTACTTAATACTACTACCTTCAAGTTCAGCTAAAATAAAATGTAACATACAGGAAGCATATACAACAGATTTCTGTTATCATTATATCAAAAGGATTAACAGAGATATAAGTAGTTTTGTTTTTCATGTCATCGTTTGTAGTTCATCTTGTGGCTTCTGACAAGTATTTCTGTCCATTTAAATAATGTCTACAGATATACGCTGGGCCTACATTCATCAGAAGACAACTTTGAAGTTAACATTCCCGAGAATAAATCAGTGGAAGCATTGGCGGAAGGAATGGTAAAAGCATGGCAACTCTATGGAAGACGAGAGTAAGTACTGATGGCTACATCTCAGGTTTTGTAAAGAGAAAAAGCTGCGGAATAGTCATTGGAAAAATTAAAGATCATCACAGATATCCCAAAATATAGATTTGTTTTTCTAAATTGTTATTTGTTTTAGCAAAACAATAGTTATTCACTTTTGAATGAGACATCGACTGAACAAATCAGCCCATGTTTAGTTATAAAAATAATAGTTTACAATTTTAGAATTATTGACTGCCAGATAAGCCAGACAATAATTTCCATTTGTGGGGTAGGCTGGTTCCTGCCCCACAATCAGTATCGTTATTGTGTGGACCAGGAGCCAGTCTGCTCAAAAAGCAGATCTGTGCCCCCAAAAAAAATCCTTTTTTTTTTAGAGGATTATAGACGTCCCATAAAAAAAAAAAAAAAAGGAGATTTTTTGGTTGGAATGCAACTTACAAAGTTGAATATTTATTAAAATTGAATTGACGAATGGGGAACCTTAAGAATATCATAAAAGATTTGTGACATTTATCGTGAAAACAAGTGATTCTTCATTTTGGAGGAACCCCAAATGGGTCCTGAAAATCTTGCTTTCATGAATGATATCCTGGTTACTCTTGAAAGGGTTTGAATTTTTTTAAACTTATCGTCAAGATTTTATCGAAAACCTCAAATGAATTGATTTCTTGTGTGAGATTGTTCTTGTCAATTTAGGCAAATTTTGTCGCGTCAGTGTAACAAGGTCGTAACTCGATTCTGCAACAAATTCGTATCTCGCACGAATATGCTCCGTGCAACAAGGCCATATCTTGCATATCGCAACATCTATTGACTTTGTGTGTACATCTGGGTTATTTTAATCGAGATACGACCTTTTGGCATCGAAAAGTTGCGTTTCACGTACATGACGTCACACGCTGTTTTTCAGTTTTAGGAGATACGACCTTGTTGCACAGATGCGATTTGTTGCTTACTTTGCCTTGATAATGTATTCTACCCTTGTCTTCATATGAATTAGGGCCGTGGTTTGTTACATGGTATGCTGTCCAGAGCAGAACATTTTCGATCAACGCTTGCTGGAGTTTATGATGAAGAAGAAGGACTCCGGTATCAGGGTCATTCGTCGAAGCTTAACTGACGTGGGAAAGAGAGGCCGTCTTTCGGAAGACAGACGATTATTTGTGTAAGCATATCTTCAGTTTTATCTTATCTGTGTAATGCTGTCTTGTTTATATGCATTTTCTTGTCCATTTATGTTTATTATTCTAGGTTCATTTACGGTATGCAGTTTTTTAGAATATTCCCAGTATTCATCCTATAGACCTTTTACATTCTGCAGCCGTCTTTGGGGGCTTTTTGTGATATTTTCATCATTTACCCTCCTATTCAAACATTCTTTCTGTGTCAAGTAGTCCTTTCAGTCAAAATCAATCAAGTGACTGTTTTTCGACAGTTAAGAATTCCCAGCCTACATAAAAGCAGGATTGACTGGCTGGGACTGTTTAAGTTACTTGATACAGCTGTGCTTTGACTCTGGGTGAGTGATGAAACAGCTGTGACCACAACTTGCCTGCTTTGTCTGTTGACCCAGTTTGACTAGTCGCAGTGCTTGCTTGACATATGATCTGACTGCTGGTGACTAACCTTTGTTAATAGTATAGCAGGGGAAGTGGAAGTAAATTTTGACTGTTTGTGACTGTTTAAATAGCAGGAGGGTAACCCTGACCCTCCTAAATCCTCCAAAATCCTCCTGGTGGTTTTGGAGGATTTTGGAGGATTGAGGATGAATGGTGTTTGAAGAAGAGGAGGATTTTGGAGGATTGAGGATAAATTTCATTTTGAGAGGCAGGACTGTTGGATGATTTTGAAGGATAGAGATGCTGGGTATCCTTCATTTCAACATAAAAAGCAAAGTTTTTGAGGATTTTGGAGGATTGATGGTTCCTAGCAAAAAGGCCCTACGGAGTTAAGATTTTGAACTTAAAGCACAGGGCAAAAACCTTCTTAGGGAAGATTCTTGTATTTTAAAAATATACTTTATTATAAATTTTTGGCAAAATATGGCAATAGAAGTTTGAGGTTGGCAATTTGGCCTTAAAAAAAATCCAGGTAGGTCGGGTTCTTGTAAACAGACAATTGGTTTGGCTTAACTATTGTTTGAATTTTGCAGAGATGGGTCAGAGGTCGCCGTGGTGTATTACCGAGTCGGTTACGTCCCATCCCACTTCTGCTGTGGTGAAAAGGTCAGTTCAATCCCCCTTACGTAATGGACTCTTCCAAAGTTGACCACAAGCCCCGCCCACTTCGCTTGTCGGAAGCAACACATGCATCTGCTCAATGCCATGTGGGTCATTCTATGAGTTTAGGGTCCACTGTGTGACATTTTCCCTGTCCCTGTTACCTTGGTACTTTGTAATTTGCCATTCAAGAATCATTAAGAATGACTACAAATGATTTTTTTATTTGTTGGTTAAGTAACATGGCATTTGAAAATAGGGTAGGTAGGTAGGTAGGGAATTTTTTTTGGGGGGGGGGGCATTTTTTTTTTGTACGATCATATGGAGATGTCTGCATGTAGTCAAGGGTAAAAGGTAGTAATTGATGATTTTCGGGTTTTTTCCTCATTTTTCCCCCAAACAAATTAGGGTAGGGGCTGTCAAAATAGGGTAGGTAGGGTAGCCAGAAGCAGAACTATTTTTTGGGGCCTAAGCATCACTTGAATCTTCTTCCTTGAAGGCATGGGATGCCAAGCTCCTAGCAGAGAAGTCCTTGGCAGTGACGTGTCCATCTATCGACTGGCATCTGGCTGGCACCAAGAAGATTCAACAGGAGCTATCTCGACCTGGAGTCTTGGAGAAATTCTTGGATAATCCGGAGATCATTGACGATATCAGGGCCACGTTTGCTGGACAGTATCATCTGGAACTGGTGAGTGTTAAAGATAATATACAACATTTGCAAACATCAACAAAAAAAACTACCAAATTATCACGAAATACCTTACTGGACTGTTAGTGAATGACAGTCTAAAGCATCCTGTATAATCATGGAACCTGGTGTGCCGACATTTTCAAGGAAAGTGGTATTTTGTATCAATTTTCAACACTGGTCAGCTGACCAGCGTTGGAATAAACTTGCTTTCTACAAATAGTGATCCCAATTTATCATATTTAGTCCCCATTTTATTTGCAATCGATTACACACACGTGAACAGATAAAAGTTATTTAGACTGATTCCCTGACCTTACAATTCCCCAGCGTCTATATATATTACCCTGTTTCATCTTAAGTGGGGTCAGAGAACCAGACTACAAGAACGTGATTGTTTTTCTTGGTGATTTTCCAGCATCTACGGACCCACAATGTCAAACATGTCAGTGTAACAACATTTGCTATAAAACACTAACCCCCAAAATCCACCCATTTGTGAAAATTACAGCAACAGCAGATATTGTATATTCCATTTAAAGTCAAGTTCGTCATAAGTCCACACAAGTCAATCCCAAAACGGTTAGCCTCTGGTCAAGTCACAGTGTTATTTCCCCTGTTACAGGTGACAGGCCTTGTAAATAGACTGATTCCGTTAGGCCCTGCCCACTGGCCGGTGCACAACAACATTGTGCGCCTCTCCAATGCCAAACTGCATGTTCAAGGTGTGCGCGTCATCTGCCGGTGCAAACGTGTCAAACCTTTATGGATGCATGTTGGACACGAACCCTAACAACCCATCAAACCCCAACAGCATGTTTTGTTGGAATCTGTCAGGATGGGTACAGTACCCCTAAACTGACAGTCTTTTACATTGGGTTGGCACACCTCCAGAATCAAAGTCAGAAATGTGTGCAGTTTCCCATATGGTGTTTGAATTTGCCAGGATGGGTAGGATTCCTACTAAAACATGCTAGGGAGTTAGGGTTTATCACGGCTGTGATTGGCCAAAATACCACTGGGCGGGGCTTATTGGATCGGTCCAGTGACTTGTGCGTCTCTTGTTTTTTTGTTTCTCAATGATCAGAATGAGGAAGGTGATGCGGCAGCAGCGATGGGAATCCAGAACCCTGAGGGATACGTCTTGAAACCACAACGAGAAGGCGGAGGTACGTAGGATAGTCACTCAGTTAGGTCAAGTGATGTCAAACTTAACATGCTGCCAGCAGTGGTGTGGTCAGGTCCAATACAAGTCATCACAAGTCCCAACAAGTCCTCACAAGTCCTCACAAAAAAACACGTCCTCACAGCTCCATCATATCTCCTCACAACTCCTCACACCTCCTCACACCTCAAAACTCTTCACAATTCTTCACAAGCCCTCACAAGTCCTCACAAGTCCTCACAAGTCCTCACAAGTCCTCACAAGTCCTCACAAGTCCTCACAAGTCCTCACAACTCTTCACAAGTCCTCACAACTCCACACACCTCACAACTCCACACACCTCCACACAAGTCCTCACAACTCTGCACACCTCACAACTCATAACTCCTCACACATCCTCCCAACTCCTCACAACTTCTCACAACGCTTGCACACCTCACAACCCCTCATAAGTCCTCACAACTCCTCACAGCTCTGCACAAGTCAATCTCAAGTCATTAAATCCCAAGTGAAAATCACAAGCTTTAAATGAATTGTAACAAAAGGTACTCCTTCGTTGTTATGATCCCTTGGTACATGTGACTGGATCTGTGAAGGGCTTTTGATATACTTGTATCTGGACTTAGGAATAGTTTGGTTGTGGTACCCACTGCTTTATCAGATTCGCACCAGCCAGCCGATCTTGGCAAGCTCGGTGGTAGAGTGGTAAGATATCTTCACTAGTTAGCAGGAGGTCGTGGGTTCGAGTCCCACCCGAGCTGTTTGTGAATTTTCTCACACTCACTTGGGACAACATCGAGTGAACAGTGTTTATAAAAATATGTTGGTGAAGGGCAAAACCCAATATTGAACTTATAATGGACTTGTGATAGATTCGACTACAATGCTGTAGCAGGAACATGCTGTTCCCAAGTAGCATATGAAAAATTTCAAATTTTTGAGATGCTCTCTTTGATATATTACTTAAAAAATATTTCCCACTTTTCAAAGTACCACTAGTCTCTAATAAGCAAAGTCTTATTTCACAATCTGTTAAAGACAACCCAACAAGTCTTGTAGCAGTAGTGTTAAAGCCAGAGTCCATCATTTGCAGCTATCCAAAAAGTAACTGGCGTAATTATTGTTAAAAAACTTAATTGGTTGAAAGATAGTAAGGGGACTAAACTCCCTGTGATATTATTTTTTCTGGCAAGCTGTCATTTTCAAGAAATCAACAAAAGAAGGCCTTTCCAACAGTGCTTCTTAAGACGCACTGTAGGAAATTTAAGTTAGTAGTTTGTTTGTAATTCGGCAAACTGTGCGCAAGCGTTGACACGACGCACACGCGCGCGGTTGCTATAATTCGTCGGATCAGTGCGCGACATCGCGTAGCTGCAATCAGCTCAGTGAGAACGTATCTCGGACGCAGAATTCCGGCCCAATTTAAAACATGATTCAGCAACTTTTGATTTGAAATCGAGATCCTAGAATGCTGTTTTTCTCAAAATATACAGCTGAAGCTGAGCTGAAACTTCATCAGGTTCAGTACCCTTCTTTAGATTTTGAGCACTTTTGTTGCTTCAAACGAACAAAAAGGAACAAATTACAAATGATGGACTATACCTTTAACTCAAGAACAACCCAGAACAACTAGGAAAAGAAAACAAGTGCACACAGTGTTTACTTTATTTCCCTCGGTAGGTAATAATTTCTATGGGGAAGAGTTGAGCCAGAAACTGCGAGAGTTGGAAGGGAAGGAGGAGCGAGCCGCCTACATACTGATGGAACGCGTTCAACCTCAGGTTGTCTCCAATTACGAAGTACGAGGAAATCAGCCTGTTGAAATGAAAGACATGGTCAGTGAACTGGGGATCTTTGGAATATTTGTCAGGTAAGATGATGCGTACTTTCAAGTATGAAATGTTAGCATTAGATGTCTGTCTACATATTTATGGCTTTTCTATTCTGTAGCCCTGCCTGTTACTCCCTGTACTGCCCCAAACCACCCTACACCGTCCTGCAAGTTACTCCCTGTACCACCCCAAACTGCCCTACCTGTTACTCCCTGTACTGCCCCAAACCATCCTGCCTGTTACTCCCTGTACTGCCCCAAACCACCCTGCCTGTTACTCCCTGTACCACCCCAAACTGCCCTGCCTGTTACTCCCTGTACTGCCCCAAACTGCCCTGCCTGTTACTCCCTGTACTGCCCCAAACCATCCTGCCTGTTACTCCCTGTACTGCCCCAAACCACCCTGCCTGTTACTCCCTGTACCACCCCAAACTGCCCTACCTGTTACTCCCTGTACTGCCCCAAACCATCCTGCCTGTTACTCCCTGTACTGCCCCAAACCACCCTACACTGTCCTGCAAGTTACTCCCTGTACCACCCCAAACTGCCCTACCTGTTACTCCCTGTACTGCCCCAAACCATCCTGCCTGTTACTCCCTGTACTGCCCCAAATCACCCTGCCTGTTACTCCCTGTACTGCCCCAAACCATCCTGCCTGTTACTCCCTGTACTGCCCCAAACCACCCTGCCTGTTACTCCCTGTACTGCCCCAAACCACTCTGCCTGTTACTCCCTGTACTGCCCCAAACCACCCTGCCTGTTACTCCCTGTACTGCCCCAAACCACCCTGCCTGTTACTCCCTGTACTGCCCCAAATCACCCTGCCTGTTACTCCCTGTACTGCCCCAAACCATCCTGCCTGTTACTCCCTGTACTGCCCCAAACCACCCTGCCTGTTACTCCCTGTACTGCCCCAAACCACTCTGCCTGTTACTCCCTGTACTGCCCCAAACCACCCTGCCTGTTACTCCCTGTACTGCCCCAAACCACCCTGCCTGTTACTCCCTGTACTGCCCCAAACCACCCTGCCTGTTACTCCCTGTACTGCCCCAAACCATCCTGCCTGTTACTCCCTGTACTGCCCCAAACCACCCTGCCTGTTACTCCCTGTACCACCCCAAACTGCCCTGCCTGTTACTCCCTGTACTGCCCCAAACTGCCCTGCCTGTTACTCCCTGTACTGCCCCAAACCATCCTGCCTGTTACTCCCTGTACTGCCCCAAACCACCCTGCCTGTTACTCCCTGTACCACCCCAAACTGCCCTACCTGTTACTCCCTGTACTGCCCCAAACCATCCTGCCTGTTACTCCCTGTACTGCCCCAAACCACCCTACACTGTCCTGCAAGTTACTCCCTGTACCACCCCAAACTGCCCTACCTGTTACTCCCTGTACTGCCCCAAACCATCCTGCCTGTTACTCCCTGTACTGCCCCAAATCACCCTGCCTGTTACTCCCTGTACTGCCCCAAACCATCCTGCCTGTTACTCCCTGTACTGCCCCAAACCACCCTGCCTGTTACTCCCTGTACTGCCCCAAACCACTCTGCCTGTTACTCCCTGTACTGCCCCAAACCACCCTGCCTGTTACTCCCTGTACTGCCCCAAACCACCCTGCCTGTTACTCCCTGTACTGCCCCAAATCACCCTGCCTGTTACTCCCTGTACTGCCCCAAACCATCCTGCCTGTTACTCCCTGTACTGCCCCAAACCACCCTGCCTGTTACTCCCTGTACTGCCCCAAACCACTCTGCCTGTTACTCCCTGTACTGCCCCAAACCACCCTGCCTGTTACTCCCTGTACTGCCCCAAACCACCCTGCCTGTTACTCCCTGTACTGCCCCAAACCACCCTGCCTGTTACTACCTGTACTGCCCCAAACCACCCTGCCTGTTACTCCCTGTACTGCCGCAAACCACCCTACACCGTCCTGAAAGTTACTCCCTGTACCACCCCAAACTGCCCTGCCTGTTACTCCCTGTACTGCCCCAAACCGACCTAAACCTTCCTGCAAGTTACTCCCTGTACCACCCCAAACTGCCCTACCTGTTACTCCCTGTACTGCCCCAAACCGACCTAAACCTTCCTGCAAGTTATTGCACCAAACTGCCCTGCCTGTTACTCCCTGTACTGCCCGAAACTGCCCTAAACTGTCCTGCCTGTTACTCCCTGTACTGCCTCAAACTGACATGCCTGTTACTCCTGTACTGCCCCAAACCACCCTGCCTGTTACTCCCTGTGCTGCCCCAAACTGCCCTGCCCGTTACTCCTGTACTGCCCCAAACCACCCTGCCTGTTACTCCCTGTACTGCCCCAAACTGCCCTAAACTGTCCTGCCTGTTACTCCCTGTACTGCCCCAAACTGCCCTGCCTGTTACTCCCTGTACTGCCCTAAACCACCCTGCCTGTTACTCCCTGTACTGCCTCAAACTGCCCTGCCTGTTACTCCCTGAACTGCCCCAAACTGCCCTGCCCGTTACTCCTGTACTGCCCCAAACCACCCTGCCTGTTACTCCCTGTACTGCCCCAAACTGCCCTAAACTGTCCTGCCTGTTACTCCCTGTACTGCCCCAAACTGCCCTGCCTGTTACTCCCTGTACTGCCCTAAACCACCCTGCCTGTTACTCCCTGTACTGCCCCAAACTGTCCTAAACTGTCCTGTCTGTTACTCCCTGTACTGCCCCAAACTGCCCTGCCTGTTACTCCCTGTACTGCCCTGAACCACCCTGCCTGTTACTCCCTGTACTGCCCCAAACTGTCCTGCTTGTTACTCCCTGTACTGCCTCAAACTGCCCTGCCTGTTACTCCCCGTACTGCCCCAAACCACCCTACCTGTTACTCCCCGTACTGCCTCAAACCACCCTGCCTGTTACTCTCTGTACTGCCCCTAACTGCCCTGCCTGTTCCAAACTGTCCATACACTGTATGGTTTTGTGGATCCATTAGGGAGTGCATACAGTGTAATACAGTGCGGAACAGGTGAAAAATAGTAATACTCATCTTAACACTGTAAAGTTGTGCAATTTTTTTATTAATTTTTTTGTGGGGGGAGGTGGTGAATCGGACACCTTCCAATTTTTTGGTTTCCTCAATAATTCGTTTGTGGTACCTGCTGCAACTACATTAGACTCGAACCAGCCAGCTCCCCCTGGTGAGCTTGGTGGTGGGATGGTAAGATATCTGCACTGGTAAGCAGGAGGTCTCGGGTTCGAGTCCCACCCGAGTAAGCTTGTGACTTTCTCCTCGCAAACCATCAGACGACACTGAGTATATAGAGTATCTATAAAATGTGTCGGTGAAGGGCAAAAACATTTTCATCTCCTCGACACAAATTTCATCCTGTACAAAAGTTTCCTAGACAGTAACATGTATATATATTTCATTTATTCAACAGCAAAGGCAGTGACACTGTTTTGAACACATCAGCCGGTCAATTACTGCGGACCAAAAACATCAAAACAGACGAGGGTGGATTAATGACTGGTTCGTCATGTATGGACAGTCCGTATCTTGTGTGATTGGAGGTGGATAGAACAGGGACAGAACAGAAAAGGGGAAACTACTCAGGAGCACAGATTGAAAGCTGAGTATATTGGGTCTATGCACGATCTATAGAGGGCGACATACAGACCATTAGACTGGTTCCCAGTCCTTTGTTCATCAATTCTGACTCCGAATGTATGAACTGGTACCGTCTAATTGAATTTACATACGCTGTGAAAAATTCCTCCCAGTGTCTGCTAAACAAAAAAAATTCCCCACAATGCAATGAGCCTTGATCTTTTTCTATTATCTCATTTTGACCTCCTAGTTTACTGTATTTTGTTCAGAGATTTTAATGCCTTGGGTGTAGGCAGAGAGAACCGTGAACATCATTTACATTTTTGGCAGGCACACATGCCCTGAAATTTGGACGTCTTTATGTTTACTGTGACTAGCTTGCGCTGGCAATTAATTGGTCCATGCCGAGAGCGCAGTAGTATTCTTTGATCAAATAGCATTTTTATGTATGCATGAAACTTAAACACCACCTCTAAAACTAGAACGTTCACTTGCACTATGTTGTCCAATTAGAAGCGTTAAATGCGCGGTGGCTACTGACCCCCATTATTTTATGGAAAACGGAACCAGTATAATATACTAATAAGTTTTCTCTGCACAAATTTCGCATTGGATCGTTTCAAAAGAAAGTAACAGTCAGTACCTTTTTTTTCTACACATACTGAGATTATCCAATTATTCCCACCTCTATTGACGGGTTAAATTTTTAATTTGACATTTATTCATACCAGGGATTCATAGTTTATGTTTTTGAGAGATTGAATTAATTTGGTGTTCTTTAGAAGGGTTAAGTATAGAGGTATTCCTGATAGATATTTAGCCATTAGCCATGAGAATTGAGAATTCAATTGGGTTGGAACAAATATTGTAAATGTTCAATTAAACTAAAAATTAAAAATCACTTGCTTCATATATCAGATCATATAATATCTATTATTTATTTACTGTGGCGGCTACCTGGCCTATGATTCATCAGAAATAGTCAGAATCTTTTGGTATGGAAACCAGACTAGATTTCCACAGCACGTGCCATGGCAAGTACATAGCCACGGCCTCCACCTACTATGTAGATTTCTTTTTTGGGGGGGGGGGGGCTTGCATGGCTCTGGAAGAGTAGTAGTAATGGTGGAGTGTCATGGCCTAGTGGGTTAAGAGCACCGGACTCATGCTCTGGTGTTCAGAGGCAACAGTGGCGTGGGTTCGTGCATGGGCCCGGACTCTTGTGCCCTTAAGCAAGGCACTTAACCATTATTGCTTCGTCCTTTGGATGGGACGTTAAGCCGGAGGTCCCGTGTGTTGTATAAGGCCCAACGCACGTAAAAGAACCCAGCAACACTTATCGCTAAGAGAAGGGGTTTGCCCCGGTGTTTCTGGCCTCCTACATACACTCCCTTGTGGAAGTCCTTACGAGAAGAACCAACCAAGTACCAAGTAATAGTTACAATACATCCTTTGCAATTGGCAGCCATCTTTGGTGTTTCTTTGTTATTGTAATTAAGTAACAATGAATACATGTCCCATGGGACAAAAGCCTGCCCCTCAAAGATGGCTGTAATGCAAAGCGTGTATTGGGAGTATTGTGCGATACATGTAAACAGTCTCAGTAGATTAAAATAAACTCTCCGTAGGGACGTTTTGAAAACTGCTGTTAATTGTTTTGTATATATAACAAAGAATGGCAAACAAACTGCCTCTTTAATACAGAGACTCAGTTTACTGCAATAATTTATTCAGATTCTCAAGTATTGTAAAAATACTATTCCACTTGTCCATACATCTGCCATATAACAACAATCTGTGGGACTAAAAGTCACATATAATATGATTGTACTTTTCTTATTATTTGGGTTTTCCACAAACCTGGCTGAAGAGCCTTATTACTGATAAGAGTTTATCATGTACATAAAAGAATTAAATTCACTGCTTATTTTTTTGTCTCTTAAATTTCTCCCCTTAAATACATTTGTAGCACGATATGGGACAGAGGGAACCCCCTCCCCCTCTTTTGTGTTGGTCATTGTGTTACCAGAATCTCAGGAAGCCTTGAGATATCTGGGGGATGTGTTAGGTAACAATAGTCAGTAACAGTAGGGTTTGCATAGGGTCCAGGGAGATTTTTTTTGGGGGGGGGTACCCCTCCGTCCCATATCATGCGTGGTATACTATTGTAAGCACCGGCATACTTAATGCAAAAAATTACTTTACTGAAAAAAAAAAAATCTGAGAAAGCCAAAGAAATTAAAACTCCATACTGCTGTTTATATAATGGCAATATACCCGAGGAAATTTAGAAAGAAAGGTATTGTACAGGTTTAGGTGTATCTAAAATCATGTCTTCCAATAAAAGTACAGAGGAGGATCATTGGACTGTAGGCTTTGAAATTGTTGGGTGTGATTTTAGATTTCTCTAACTAAGTGGACTTTAAATTCAGTATTATTTTCATGACAGACCAAGTCAAATAAATGCCTCCTTAAGAAGACATTGGAGATCGGACTAGGTATTCTTTGAGTGTGCTGTTGAAAAATTATATAATGTATAAGCACAATGTCTTCTATTCAACACTCTGTATAAATTTGTTCCTTTTTTTTAAACTGTTTTTAGTTCACTGCTAAATTGTCGCTTTATAAATTGACAAGGAATGTTTTGGTTGTTGTTTTGCTTCGATGAAAAAGCCAGCTCGTTTTGTGTAAAATTTCTATTTTGTATATATATATAAAATATTTCAATTTTTAAGGGGTTGAGGAATAGATATGAAACTCTTGAATAAATTATCTCTGTTTGATAAAAAAAAAAATCTGTCTGCTTGTTTAGATTCTGTTCACGTATTTGTGATCAGGTTCACGGTACCCTGTGGAGACATGTGCATAATAGGGAACAAAAGATTGTATATGTCTCCGCAGAGCAATTTCTATAGGTGAATACGTCTCCACAAGGTTATCACGAAATAGACATATGGATTTAACTCAAAAACTAGGAATTTCCAAGGTCCGTTGATGCGTCGCAAATTGAAGTATTTTATGTAAGGGATATTAGCCCAGGAAATTAATTCTGGTTAAAATAGGAGCATTTTGAAAGTACACTTTCAAACTCGACAACTATACTACACGAGAGCAAAGAAATGACTCCATCAGGATACAAATTCCAGAATGTGTGCTTTGCTTGTGTAAGCAGTAAAAGATATTAAAAAATATTATGATTTGTATTGCTTTTTATCCTTCCTATTCTGACTCTGCACCTATTCTAACTCCGCCTTTATTTTGACTCCACCCCTTCCTTAACTCATTTAAATAATCCAAGTTTTACGTCAGTCAGTTTCAGTTGTACTAGCTGACTCTTTATCTATCACCTCTGCTCGTAAAGCTTGCATAATGTTTGGATGTGGTCGATGAATTCTCGTCTCCTTCACTGTTTCATTGTCATTCGTCTCTGCCAAGACGACATCTTTGTAGTATCTATCGATGTACTGACTGACATAGGAGGGGCTACCCCGGGGATCGTGCGCCCCACTATCTTCCGGCTTCCTCCAGAATTGTATCTGAGCCTGCGAGACGTGGCGCTGAGCGTTCAGCTCAATCTCACGGTGGAGCCACACCCGTAAATCCTCCGGGAAGAGTTCTCGGAACGTCTCATCGACATGCGAACCGCGGCAGAGTCGTAGCTTATTGGCCGTCCTGGGGTGGACGAAGAGTTTAAATCCTCGCCAGATTCCCTCAAAGAAGATTCCATGATTAATACCGATAATGAGACCCATTCGCTCGGGATAGTGTTCAGCTACCACGTGGTTGACGGCGCGGGCTAGGTGAGGACTGCACGCAGAAAGGCTCAAACCTATTGACAAGTAGAGAGTTATACCAAAACAATATCAAGATGGCTTCAAATCCAGTCTGATATATCACCAACCCCTTAGTCGGCCAATGATGCCGTTACTGATCTTTTTCATAATGTGTTATTGGACTAAAATCCATCACATCCTTGCAAATATCCATGTAAAATAGCTTGCTTATGGACCCAGGATTCTAGATGTCTGACCTACTTAGCAAAGCCCATCAAGTTAAAAAAAGAAAAAAGACAAAAAAAGTAAGCTTGAAATCCCAGTCCAGATGACTGGGATAATCTTTAAAACTCCACAGACCAGTTTTAGTGTCAAACTTCTGGACACACTCAGACTCCAAGAATCATTTGAGAAAATGTTCAGAGGCTGTAGACATTGAAGGTTGTCTTTTTCTTACCTGAGCAGTCTAGTACCCAGACCCATTTATATTCCTCGGGTTTCATGCATTTCTTAGCGTTTTCCATCAGGAATAGCGTGTGCTGTACATTGTCCTCTCCAGTGAAGTGCCTGGCTGCCTGTACGAATGATGAGTACACCACTGGTCGACCAAGCTTATCGATTCCAACCTGTCTCTGTTGGATGGAGTTCAGGAGGAGGTATTTATAAAAAAAAAATTCACATATGAAAAGTTCAGTTGTGTTGTTTTTAAACATCTTTGTCACACGGGGCGAGTAAAAAAAAAACGAAACCCAAATGTCGGGACTATTGTTTTATTGAAGCTTTGCCCGTAGCACTTTCAAAATCGAGGATATGGAAGCCCAATTCATAAGCTTTCTTTCAGCACAAGAATCATTCAAATCACTCATGTACTTTTCAGGTTACGGAATTTTAAACACAACCACCGTTTTAAAGTTCTGTCCACGGATCGCAAAAACGGTGTGCGTTCTTTCAGCAAAACGAAAACAATTCACACACATCTTTATGTGATTTGTTTTCGTTTTGCTGAAAGAACACTTTACCTTTTTGTGATCCGTGGACAGAACTTTAAAACGGTGGTTGTGTTTAAAATTCTTCAACTTGAAAGGTACATTGATTTGAACGATTCTTGTACTCTAAAAGAAAGCTTATGAATTGGGCTTTCATATCCTAGGTCTTGAAAGTGCTACATGCATAACTTCACTAAAACTATGGTCCCGACATATTTGGGTTTCGTGGGTTTTTTTTAATCACCCTGTACATGTACTTCTATCGGTTCAAGTTGTAATGTCTTCAGTTAGCACCAAAATCTTAAATGTGATTGTTTTTGGAAAAATTCTTTGGCCAATTACACACAAAAAACAGAAACAAAACTTTGAAAAAGACTGTTTCTCCTGGTCCACCAAAAGGTCCAGTTTATTATACATAAATCGAATTATTTATGGTCAAAGGATCTGAATCTTATTTGCTTTCTCGAAGTGTTTGAAATTTCGGAGAAGGTTATCGAAGCGGCCGGCACTTAAGGACAATGTTTCTTTAAAAAAAAAATACAATTGCGAGTAAAGATCAATTTAATTTAGAGCTTAACACGAGAGTAGAACAGACGCAACTATAACAAACGGTGCAAAATGGTATATAAATCATCTCAAATGCCTTTGACAAATTTGGATAAAATTAACAAAATGTTTCGACTTTTGGGGTAAATTTAATTCGCAAGTGAAATGTTCATTTATTCAGGTAAGAAAACGCTTAAGTTAAAATCTTACCCATGAATGGAACCCCGGTCTCTCTTCACAGTATTTACAGTCAGCCTCCCATGGTCGGATTTCTTGTCGCCATTCTAAGGTCGCTTTGAGTTTAAGGAAAGCTGTGTCTACATCCCAGTCGTAACCCCGCAGATACCTCAATAAACTGCCAGAAGAAAAATCATTGCAGCTCAGTGTTAGTTATAGATTTAATCTCGGACTGCAATGAATCACAATTTACACAGTTATTTGATTGGAAATTTTGGAATTATGCCACATCTGCCTTTATTATTTAGGCAAACATCGCCAGATAACAGTTTACATGTTGTACATACCAAAAGTGGTTCTCACATCGTGCGCAGCCGGTTTCTTTTTTTCTGCGACCAATTATAGGTCTACGAAATGTCTACTGCAACTTGTTTTTGACTGTCGGTCGCTTATTAATCTTGAAATAAAAATGACCTCATCATTTAGTAAATTCTTTTCTTTTCAACGTTAGTTTTATCGGCAAACCGGCAGATTGAATCCGGTTCTCCAACCCAATAGCGTGTATACATGCCGGTACCGCTTGGCGGCTACCTATTGAGTAATTGCCTCGCGGCATCTCGGTGGGTGACACTTTGCGTCATATTACAATGGCAAACAAGTTTTACTTTAAAATCGATTACATTTTAAATAGCAATTTACGCAAACAAAATTATACATTTGTTGTCTTTGTCTGGGGCTGTGCAAAGTTCTCAAATGTTCGAAAAAACATATACCTCAGACCTTGCAAACCTCCGGAGGAAGGTGGTATAAGTGTGTACATGTGTATCCTGACGAACGGAAATAAAACCATCGTTATTTCTCATGATGATTATTAAAGGCCATGGGATCATTTGCTTTCATCCCAAAAGTAACCTACCAAATTATTATCAAAAGGCTTACTTGGATTAACAATCGTACTGGTACTAAACACCCCGTTAAATTATTCCGTCTGGCTTGAAACCGTAGAAACGTATAAGTGATTTCCAACATTATTGACTGATTTTTTGAGGTAAAGAGTGCTATATCCGAAATTGGGTTCCGTGATCAAAAGCTTATGCATGTTTTTTTCCCCTGTTTTCTCTAAAAGTTTAGTATTCCGACTGAGCTGAGGCTTGAACAGGTTATAATGTTTGGATTTTGAGTGGTGTTATTGTTGGAAACGAACACAATGCATGAAATATGTTTTTGTCTGATATGTTTTCATCGCATGACGCCAGCCAGCCCGCTCCTACCTATATGGACGCATGCTGTATACGTGATCACCTTACACTCGTACTCGCGAGGCCCCCTTCAATGGAGAAACCATTGTGCACACTATTGTACAAAGCAATTGCACCGTGATGGATTACCTGAACAATAGCTAGCACAATTCGCCATTGATGGGGCCTTGATAGCTTGACCGGATTGGTCTATTTCAACACCGCAAGTTTCTTCTTGTGTCAAGGTTTAGATGACTAGAATGGTAACTAGAGGCTAACTTGTATTTGTCGTGTAGGAATCCTTCTTCATCTTTGAGCCCCTCTGACCGGCGTTGAAGCTCGCTCAGCCGGCGGGCTTGCTCCTCTTCGTCTGGGTCGTGATGGTGACCATGTGGTGACATCTTAGATCTACAGGGATGAGTCGAAGGAACATTTACAATGATTGAAAAGCCGAGATTCATGTATTTCAAGTTTTGAATATTGCAGTTTTCTTACTGTCTGAAATTGCAATGGAAAAGCCTACTTAGCCCGTCAGCTTCACGAGGCCGCGATGTGCAGGACATAGTCATGCAGACACTTTTTAGATGAGTTTTTGCATGTAGCAGTATAATCGAGTCCACCTCATTCGGGTCCGAGCCCAGCCGAGCCCATGTTTGTCTGAGTCCGGCTCAAGTCTGAGTCTAAATTGTCAAGTCCGAGTTCAGTCGCGAAAGGGTTTTTATATAGCAGAACACGTGCGCGCGCGACGAGTACATCATAGGCATCCTAGTATAGGTAGGACTGATTTTTGGCGAGGCAAAACTTAACATTTTCAGACAACAGACGCGGGACAGTTTAAACAAAAAATACATTTAAGCTTTAAACACAGGTAGTTTTTTTTGGAATCGGTTGGAGTCCGACAGGTAGTCCAACCACGAGTCTGAGCCGCCCGAGTCTCGAGTCCAAAAAAATGCGAGTCCGGACTCGCGTCCTCGGACTCGAGTTCTCCATCACTGGCAGTAAATAAATAATGAGGCACTTATGTTATTAAGATATAACACTGCAAGTGAAAGGAAACAATGTTGCATTCTGATTCCATTTTTTTCATCATATATAATCTCAATGAAAGTCAGTCACTGCAAAAATGTTGAAAAGACATGAATCATGGGACTGAGAAACATTTCCAATTTTGTTAGAAAATACTTTGAAAAAAAAACATGCAACTCTCCATTACTCTATACACAGCCAGAGAAATGGCGTCTGGATACTACATTATTTCCTAGTTACATTATTACATGTCAAATTGTGAAAGGTTTTTTGACATATGTAAAACAAAAAAAATGTCGAATAAAAAATAACACCATTATCGATCTCAACGGCTCGCAACACTGCACCCAGTTTAGTCTAAACTTACCACTAATCTTTAGTCTGTCAAAATCGGTGGAGGGAAGAAGTTGCAGGTGCGTGTACAGTACATGTGCATGTACCTGTGGCTTAGTTGGAAACTGAACAAAAATGCTGCATATATCGAACGGGAAGTATGAATAGCCAGGATGTCAGAGTGGTAAATGGAATTCCACCTGGTACAATTCCATAAACATCACATGTACATGGAGCGTTAAGCCGGCTTGTACTGTACCTTGTGTAACACGCCCGTTGTACTTTGATCCTTCAATTCTCTATTATTAGAATCTCCACCGTGCATACAGACTGATATTTTTATGCAAATTCTATTGACTTTTAACAATGTGTGCAACCTAGGCGCAAGGGGAGTCTTTTTGTGTCCGGTTGATTGTTGGAATACGCGTGACGTCAGTGGTACCATAGAAATATGCATCAGGAAATCCTTTGATGGTCATAGCAGCAGTAGGGAAAAACTGGATGTAGCATTAGCAAGGACAAAATAAAGAGGGGGGTATTTTTTTTAAGGAGAAACAGTTGGGAAATTTCCAGGGGGAAAAATTATTTTAACGGGTTTAAACCCCCATTTTTTGGCGGAAAATTGATTTTAATAGTAACCTTAGGATTTCGTTTCCTTGGTCTCGCTACCGAAGTTGGGACTCGATCAAAATAATATAAATTCATATCATTACCAACAAGAAATACAAGAGGAAAATGGTACAATTTATACCTTTCAATATCCATTCCATGCTTCTCAGTGTCATAACGAATCAAGTTTCAATTTGCAGGGATGGATGGGGCCGGGGCGGGGGTTGCATCTAGGGACCCTCATTTGCCGAAGGGGCCTCATTGTTTTTGAAGCAATTGAAAAAGTTCATTTTTGGACAATTGTGCGGGGGGGGGGGCGGGAGGATGCACAGGCCTCGAGCGGGTGCCCGTGTGTGCCCCTCCCCACCCCCACCCCACCACACACACACACCCACACACCCCAATTTGTATCATATTTTACAAGGTTTGAGTTGGAATACCATCGGGAATAAAAATCAACTTGAGTGGCACGGGACAGCGGCCCTCTTATGATTCTCTGGGAAGTTGCGTTGAAATGTGGGACATGTCGTTTGCGGTAGATTGTCGGTCGGGGATATTTGGTATAGCACCCTATAGGGAACATTTGCTTTTAGTGCACTTTTTCGTTTGAAGTGTCAAACTTGCTCAAAATCTTGAGAAGGGTGAATAACAACTTAGGTCTACTTTGAATTTCAGCTCATGTGGATACTAGGCCTATGTTTACATTTTGAGAAACCAGAAAATCATCTGCAAAATTTTCAGGGTCTTGTTCTGGAATTCGTTGTTTATGCTAGGTTCACACATTCCCGAATTAGTTGTGATTACACCCAGAATCAACCAAGAATTAAAATTGGTTCCCGAATCACCCCGACAATTTTGAATTGTCGACAATGTTCAAATTATTTTGTCGGGGCACTTCCCGATCTTTCACGATCTTTCACCGAAATAAACAGAATTATCACGAGGCAGCCAAGAACCATTCCCCGATTTACTGAAGAATTGCTAATCTTGGCGATTCGGCTTAAAAATCGGGAATGTGTGACCTAGCAATACGCACGTTGAAAAAGTGCCGGGCCCGCTGCAATGATTGTTTTCTTCCGAAATGGTACCATTTAAATTTTAATGAGGACTAAGGTATGCGGTACCAATTCTGTCTTTACAGGGATTCTTTTTGTTATAAATCGGTACGTCTCCGGGTTTCATGGAATTCACCCTGGCACAGTTAATTTGCTCTCTCATGGCTGGCCCAAGTCTAGTGGAAACAGGAAACCAATTCGGGGACATTTCCGCAGCGTAATACTATTAATAGACCTAAGACATTGTGTGCTTTCCTGTAGAGACAAACTACAGCCAATCGTGGTCCATGGCTCCCATTGGAAAGCAAACATGTAAACAAAGTGTGACACATTATGTCTCAGGTCTATTGCGCCACCGGCGCGGTGAGTGCGGATGGATTTCATGGAATAGCAAATGTTGTCCTTGCTAGAAATGATTACTTTTAGGCCTACGTTGCACGCTATGTAGTTTCTGCTATGTACTGTCGAAGTTCGAACCCATACCGTAACGGTTCCGTGTGTTCTCTGTTAATTTACTGTTCAGGGTAGGCGGCCTATAATCTGGCACTGAAAAACAATCCCATCAAATCAAAGGGTAAAATACATCACGGTGTGTCAAAATAGATTGGCGCAGGATTTGTTTCGTGTGGGTGTGAAATAGGGGTGAAAAATAATCAGGGGAATCCCCTTCACTTTGGAACGAGGTTGGGAAAGGTGGCGTTACAGTCGATATCAACGCAATTACCATCCCTGGGATCGAGTGTGCACTTTGGAATTTCCAGTTTTTCGGAGTAGTCGGATCCCCACACAACTCTGATATCGTATAATGTTGCATGACGCCTGGGTATCCTGGAATAAATAGTCGGTTTATTTCCTCCGTTCGTAAAGTGATGCGTAATCGCCGAGGGTTGTTGGGACATCAAGATAGGTAATTCTTTCCCTGATTTTAATTGTAAGAATGCATTTATTAATTTTGTGCATTTGTACTAAAGTGTGTCGCTTTGGTAAGTGTTCTTTCACAGTGAATATTGAGCTACATTCTACACGTACTACACTCCGTACCCGTACGAACAGCTGCGCAGTGAAGTTGCTACTCACAGTCACAGCAGTGACGTACGTACGTACGACGCCCTGTTTACGGGTCTACGCGGCATGCATGTGATCATGGCATTCCTTTAACTCTCCTGCTGTTTGAACAGTCACAGACAGTCTAAAATTCAGTCCTCTTCTTCCCTAGCCCCATAAATGTGGCCAGTTTACTGGACTGCCTCCGTAAACATAGGCCACACAGCCACCATCTTGGAAACTGACTCGGCGAAATTTTGAAAGTGATTTCCACATTGCGACTTCAAACCCAGTTCATTTATGCCTTAAAAATACACTTACCCTCTTAATAACAAAATTAGAACCTGCTGTCAGAATCTTTTGGTCTGGGAACCGGACTACCACTGGGCCTGCGGCGTGCGTCCTGCACGCGTGATTGACAGGTGAACGATCTGCGCGAGGGCATTGTTCAGTTGGACCATGGAGATAGCTCCAAGGTTGGACCAAGTTGCCAAGAAGGCTCCAGAAAATGTCGTAAATTACGCAGCAGCTGGGCAACTGACACTGGCAGCAGGTTCTAATTTTGTTATTAAGAGGGTAAGTGTATTTTTAAAGCATAAATGAACTGGGTGTGAAGTCGCAATGTGGAAATCACTTTCATTTTTTTCAAAATTTCGCCGAGTCAGTTTCCAAGATGGTGGCTGTGTGGCCTATGTTTACGGAGGCAGTCCAGTAAACTGGCCACATTTATGGGGCTACTTCTTCCCCTGCCATGCCTTTTACTCTGGCTAGTCACCAACAGTCATAGCCCTGTAAATGTGGCTGAAAAGAAATACTGGACTACACTACAAAGTACAATGTCATGACTGTGACTAGTCAAATTCAGTCAAACAAAAACAGGCAAAAAGTAGGCACAGCAGGCTTATCAATCACTAGTCCGAGTAACTTGTTGGACCCAACTTATCGCCTTTTTAACATTCGGACATGGTCTGGCGATAGTCGGGTCCAAGCTAATCGGTATATGAATGTTTTCAACAGTTAAGAGAACTGTTGAAAACAGTCACTTGATTGATTTTGACTGAATGAACAACTTTGCACAGAATGTACGTTTGCATCTATAGGAGGGTTAATTTAAAAGAAACTCAACTTTTTGTTTTTCAATTCTTAATTTGAAATTTGCTGATAAACTCTACTGTATTACTTTACATTATCAAAGAGCAGCAGAACATTTTGATTTAAGCATATTTTGCTATATTTTTTTTTGATATATTTATTTCAAAGTTATCCTTTATTGAGGCCATCAAAAGCAATTTAAGGATAAAACATTTTTAAGAAGAATAATTGTTACACTAGCAAAGAGGATTGTTACTTTTCAGTAATATCCTTTCTATTAATTTTATATCTAGTTTCATATTTATTCAAAGTTAACAATACTCAACAGATAAATCGTCTATAAACAGGTGAATTCATTAACCCTAACCGAACTCAACCCATCAAAGTTCAACAGCAGGTTTTGTTTAAATCTGTTGGGATAGGTACAGTACCCCTAAACTGATGGTCTTTTAGGTTACACCTCTATGTTCCAACACCCCTATGTTCCGACTGCACATATTCCTATTCCTAACCCTAACCCTAACCCTAACCGGGAGTAACACAATCTAGGTTGTCGGAACATAGGGGTGTCGGAACATAGAGCAGTCACCGTCTTTTACACTGGGGTTGGCATACATGTACCTCCAGAAACCAAGTCCAACAGTGTGTGTGTACAATTTCCCATGAGGGTGTTGGAATTTGCCAGAGTGGGTATGGTTCCTAGTACATTAGGCTGGGAAGTTGGGGTTAAAATACATATCTCAGGTTTCAACTGCTAAATGGACAACCTGTAGATGAAAATACCTAAGGCAGTTTGCCCATTCCTATTGGTTGAGAGCCCGTCACGTGGCCGGTCTTAAACGGTTGAAAAAGACATGGCTGGCTGGTCTTTAACACTTTTCCAGCGTCACATGAAATTTGGAATCCTATGAAATCCGGTGCCAGCGCTGTTTTATTGGTTGAACCTTCACAATCCTCACGTAGGCATGCGCAATACTACCAGTGAGTCAGTATTTCATAGTCCTAAATGCATACCTCACCAGTACATCTGCGTTCTGTGCAACATCATGCAGTACGCGCAACACACGCGTCAATCTCCATATTAGGAGTTGTTTTCCAGAAGGTCGTACCATTGTTTAGATCGAGGGGTGTTTTGTTGAACGAAATCGTTGAAAATTTATAATTTTTGACTTTTTTTTACTTATGTGGACTGAAAAGTTTGATTATTTGACTGAAAAGGTATTTATGAATGGGAATAAATATGTGCTTGATCGGTATTAAACACTCTGTTTAAGACATACAGTTGGAGTCTGGATGCTGATAATTACCCTTGCCTTCGGTTTAGGTAATTATCTTCATCCAGACTCCAACCGGTTTTAAACAGAGTGTTTGATACCTCCCAATCACACATTTATTCCCTTATCGCTACTTAGTAGGCCAAGTAAAAAAAGTCCAATTTCAAACAAATGTAACATGGTCTACACTTTGGGGATTGATGTCACATTTTTTCATTAAATGCAGTTTCCTCATGCTTTTTTTCCTATCCTATGTTATCTAAGTGATGGTCAGTTGTTGTAAACATGTTTCAAAAACATGAATTTGAGACTAAGAAACATGTCCACATGGGCGTCGCGAGGGGGGGGGGGGAAGGTGCGAAGCCATATTGATGTTAATTTGATGAGGGGGGGGGGAGGGCAAATACTCCCCTGCTCACGCTCAGAAAAATGATAAATTGAGAATATAATTTTAAAAAGTTGAGGAATTTTTGAGAAAAATTTGCTTCCCCCCCCCCTGGAAAAAATCCTGGCGATGCCCATGCATGTCCAATATTGTTTGGAAATACTTGGAAACTTTTCACATCTGGATTGGGGCTCAAAGGAAATGCTGAATTCACATTCTAATCCTGAGAAACATGGTGATGGTCAAATTAAGCTGTCTCTAGATCATCTGCAAAATGTTGTAGATATGCTTTACCAAGTGTTGTCTAATTGGGGAAAGTCCCTGCTAGAAGCTTCAAAAGTAATTCTTCAAAGTAAATTTTAAAAGGTCCATGACATTATTTTTTCTTACGAACATAGTTTGTGTAACTTTCTACTCTTAAATGTATAAAAACTATTTGTTATCCCTTTTTGGTTAATTTTATTGAAAAGTGCACTTCTTTGAACATTTAAAATTGTCCATGCTTTTCCAGACAAATTATGGCGCTATTGCAGTGATGTCATTTCAGGAAGACACTATTCAGTTTAAGGGATTTCGGTTCAAATTGTGAACCTAAACATTTGCTCATTGAAAACATCTGTGAGAAAAGTTTGGTCATTGGCTTACTGCCATGTACTGACTCAACGAATCACAACCAAAAAAGAAAGATTATGACAGCAAAATATCCAAAAATCTGACAACTTTTGGTGCTGAAATAAATGTAACATTGAGGTTCACACTTGTGCTCATGAATATGGAAATTTTCATTAGCATAAAAACCAAAAAGGCACCAAAATACCCTTGAAATGGCAAAACGCAAATTGAAAGTAAGGTTAAATGGGACACAAAGGTTCATTTTCGAGGATTGCATTAAAACAAATTATATTGCATGGGCCATTTAAGCAACAATCTCCTGCCAGATTATTAATTGATTGGCATCAACTGACTCTGTGGTGATGTATTTAGTGTATCTATTCTTAAGACTAAATAGTTTCCAAGAAAAGAATGTAAAAATCAACACTTTTTTTGATAGTGTATGAAAAAGTCTATGAATAGATTAATTAATTCATCTGTTTTTAGGGTTACAAAATATAGGAAAATGAATTAAACTGCTACAAACTGCTTATCAACGACTTGATTGACCCGAAATAACAAATTTATGAACAAAATTAGCAGGACCTCTGTCAAAGGGAAATAAGTATTATTGTTTGTAGTTTGTTTCTCAATGCATTTAATTTCCAAATTTCCAAAGAACCCCCCCCCCCAACAATACATATTTGGCCAGCATGCAATTGATACGATCAATTTTAAGTTTTTTAAGTGGAATGAATTTTGAAATGTACACTTATCTTTCAAGTCACAACATGTTTGCTCGTTATATTTGTATTCTACTTCAATTATAAAGAATTGTGTTTTTTTACATTTAGACAATAAACATGATCTAGCAGTCTAGCATGGAGAACCCCTCTGCCGCAGAATGTTATCTACCAGACACCTATCAACCCCCTTCAAAAGTGGACGAAACCAATTTGGATTCAGGGGCGTTCCAACATGTGAAAGATCTTCACGTACAAGTGGAGAACTACATGAAAGCCCTGCCCGTGAATGAGAAAAGCATTGCCGAGCATGTAGACCAAATAGTGGCGTTGGACTTTCCCCTACCGGCAAAGTTCTCCAAGGTTAACGTCGTTGACCTTATCAAGAAAAACAAGAATATAAAGGTAAGGCCAAGTATAACAAAAAAATAGTTTCCCGTCCGGGCTTTTTGAAAAAAGGAAGGAAGCAGCCCCTTTCCCAAAGATGTGTCTAAAGGAGCTGTCGCCCTTTCTTCCAAATTCTGAACTTGCAAACAATTTTGCTTGAAACAAATAAAAAGACAGAATGTACTTGAAATGTATGACTAATAATTGCATGAGCCTCTTGCGTTATCGATAAAATGCGTTCAAATGTCTCACCCAGTGGTCTCCCCGAACTCTCCCTTTCTTACCCGCGAGGGGGTAGTTGTACACGGAGCCCATAAGTGAACCGCATGAACACATTTGCATGCATATTGCTGCGAAACTCGTGATAAGAATCGATGCACTTATCCTGTAAATTGTATACTTTTAAAGAGAAATCAGTCAATCTATTTTCGGCAGATATGAGTAACTGTGCTACTTTGAAGTCCTTGTTCTAATGTGTGAGGTCATCCAGGGTAGTGCCTTGTTCAGCAGATCACAGGTGTCAACAGGGTCAACTGAGGTACCTTGCGGGGCACTTGATTAAATTTCCTCACTTAGATAACAGATTTAGTTGTTGGGGTTTGAGGTTATTCTATGAAGCCCTGGTCCTTCATGATAGGATTCAAGTGACGCATGTACATGGGGATCACTGTTTTAGTGAAGTCCCTAGATTTTGTGCATGTTTAACTCATTCTTGAAAACTTTAGCTGTTGAAAATCAAGGGTTGCTTGCAACGTATTGTGTTGTGACGTACGAGTGGTCATTTCTGACGTACATTAAAGTGGGTATATAAAACCAAAAAATGCACCCTGGACACTGATATAATATGTAGTAGGCTCACAGATTATACATGTTTTTTTTTTAAAATCTGACCAATTTCAACCTGGCTGCCTGTTGTTTTATTAAGCTTTGAGGAATATGCTGGATTTGTGTAAGTTGAAATTTTTATTTCAGTTTCAAAATGACTAGCGTCCTTGCTTTAGGCTGAATTACATGGACAAAAAATGTTTCATTTACAGTATAGATATTGCTGATCAATCTAGGCTTTTGTGGTTTGTAATTTGTTCATGGAGCTCTCTATGCTAAATATTTGTTCACCCTCTGTCGACTGAAACACCCACACACATTGTGAGAAATCGCTACTTCCGCTTGTTTCTTTTGGCACAATTTCAAGAGCAAGAACAAAATCGCATACGGTTTACATGTATATGTCACATAGCATGGCTGTTGTACATTACATGATTCATGTTTTGTCATCCAGTTTGAGGGGTTTTGTAGACCATTGGGAGAGATATCATAAACCCTTTCCAAGCAATTTCTTCTTGAAAATGTTTTTTTTTTGGCTTTGATACTCTTTTAATTTGTAGAACGTTTTAAAGCAGGAAACAAGTTAAATATCGGTCCAATGTTACTTTTGAAGAGAACTTCAGTTGTGTCCAAAATTAAAAGTTATTAACTGCTTAGCTTTGCACTAAGACTAAATTGGTTGGCCACACAAGAACATTAAGCCCGTCTGTGTGGCTTGCGTTTGAATGGGAAGTGGTTTTTAGCTGCTTTACTGACACCTCGTTGTAGATATTCTAGACACTGTATGAACATTTATTCACAGATAAGTTGATTTCAATGCTAAGCACATGTATGACCATTGCATCTGCTCGTCTGCTTACGATTATTATAGACTTATTCACCATAATTATGGTGTTTTGACCAATTACAGCCGTGATTATTTAGGGTCCATGAAGTGAATTTTTCTTAGGAACATATTTTTTTGCAACTTTCTACTCTTCTTAAATGTATGAAAAATATCTGACATCCCTTTTTGGCTAACTTTATTGAAAAGTGCACTTCTTTAAACACTTAAAATGTTCCATGCTTTTCCCAGACAACTGATAGGGCTGTTACTGTGATGTCATTTCAGGAAGACACTGTTCAGTTTAGGGGTTTTCTGTCCAAAAATTTGCTTACTGAAATCATTTGTTAGAAAATTTTGCTCACTTGCTTACTGCCATGTACTGACTTAACAACGAATCACCAAAGAAAAGAAATTTATGACAGAAATATCCAAAATTCTGTCAACTTTTGGTGCTCAGTGAAATAGCCTTCAGGCGCGGATCCGGGGGGGGGGGGGGTAAATAATTTTCCCATGGAAGTTCATGAAGAAAAAAAATGCGAAACCCCCTCCTGCTCTGACACCCATTAAGTTTTTAATGGTAATAATGTCCACCTTTGCACAAAATACAGACCCAGCTTGGTTTGATAGGGGGTTTATATGTACACTATTCTGTGATATAGTGTTAATAATCGTCGGATTTGAACAGCGCCCCCATTGAAAGTATGGTACGACCCCTCCCCCCCATTGATTTTTCGGAGGCCAAGTGTCCGCAGAAAAAAAAACTTTCTACATTTCAGATTTGTTGGCCGATGAAACCCCCCCCCCGCGAAAATTCCTGGATCCACCCCTAATAGCTGTAACATTGAGGTTTCTGCCTAACATGACATCACACTTTTCCTCATGAATATGGAAATTTGCATTAGCATAAAAATTAAAAAGGCACAAAAATACCCTTGAAAATGGAAAAACGCAACTTGGAAATAATGTTCAATGGGACACAAAAGTGCATTTCCAAGGTTTGCATTAAAAAAATTACATGGACCCTTGAATGTCTGACGTGCATGCACAAAAGTCTAACATGCACGCACGGATGTTTGACGTGCGCGACTGGAACATAGATTGGAAAGGCCTACATGTTGTTGCCTATTAGTCTATTGCTTCCATAATTGACACTTAACAACTTTGAGGGTTTTTTTCTTCTCTGTGCAGGCCGACGACAGTTTACCCACTTTAGCATCAGCTCTGGGGCTCTTGGAAAAATATGGCCGCAACTTATTGAAACCCGAACGACCGCAATTGTGGAAATGCATCTATTTTGCAAATAGTGTTTTCCGTATGAGAGTGGACATCATCAAGGTGGGCTAAAAAAAAAAATGAAATCAAACAAAAAGTTAAGTTGTTGCGGTAGCACCATGTGGAAATATCTCTTTGTGAGTATGTGTGGTTCTGAAAAGAACCAGAGGGAACTCAACATTTCGGAGAGTATGCTCTGCCCGTCGTCAAGAGACATCAGGTAGGACTATCTCTTGGCGACGGGCAGAGCACACTGTCCGAAATGTTGAGTACCCTTCGGTTCTTTTCAGAACCACACATACTCGCAAAGAGATTTTTGCTACCGCAGCAACTTGCCTTATTATTACCTTTCATCATGCAGACCTTCAAATCTCATCAAACAAAAAGTTAACTTTTAATTTTACTCAGATACCGTTGTGTTATTTATTGAATAAAATTTATGCATTTAAAAAATCAACATTGCAGACATTCCAAATAACATAAAATTTGGGTGGTTTTTGTTGTTACTAAGAATAAAATTTACCTTATTAACCCTTACTCTCTGAGGGTAGTTTACTGCATGTCAGTTGGTTATGCCAATGCCCTCCAGCTGCAGTATATTGGCAGATAAACTATCTTGACAGTGAAGGCTCCAATTGGCAGGAGTTGGAGGCCCTGGAGGGTGCCTGATACTGACCAGCTGGGGGCACTCACTTTGTTATCAGAGGACTCTCATTGTTCTCTGTGGCATGTATTGGAGTGCCTGTCCAGTTACCCTTGAAATGACATGGCAGATATTGGAGGGCCATGCAAAAAACATAGGAGATTTTCTTGAGGCACATATTGGCATGCGTTGGAGGGTCAAGTAGGGTAAGGGTTAATTATATTGTGTACATGTTTTCAAGTGATCTATCTTTCGAGTGTTTATTTTTTTGCATAGGGCGCAAGAGATGTCTTAAAGCTGATGGGCTATTCCGAGGTGGTTGAAGACGGACTGAGTTTCCCCACTGATCAGGAATCACCCAGTTTGGATCTTGTTGCCATAGTAACCGCTGACCTAGCCATAGCGAAGAGAGAGATAGAGCTGTTTAGTCAAGGGGAGCATCCGTATTCCTATCGAATTCAGGATTGTCTGGACGGAACGATCGCTATGATTCAGTTTCCTCCAGATTCACCATCCGGTCAGCCTAAGAACATCTTCATGAGACGTCCTGCTCAGGGCGGGAAGACCATCTATGAGAACGTAACCCTGATGCAACCTCCTCATAAGGTGGACTTCTCGGAGAGGTTTAATCAGCAGTTAAACCTCGGCAGTACGACAGATGGAAACTGGAGAGATGCTCTTGAAGTTGTACCGGCACTAGCCCCAGTCAAAATCAATCCCTTCGCATCATCTTTGCAACCAGCATCCCAGGGAGAAGGAATCATACGTAGGATCGGAGATCCAATGCCGGCCTCCGGCCCCGCAAAGTCTGACGTTGGATTGGGATACTTTGCCAATACATCCGGGCAGGTTGCACAGGTTCCGAACGTGGCTCCAAGCACAGCTCACCAGTCGGTTGTAGTTCCATCTCAGACAGTGTCGCAGGTGCCTGCTATCAATACAGGTATATTAACCCATTTTAACTTTACTACATTGTATTACATTGTGTTTATTCACCGAAGAATCCACAAAACCATTGATTGCATTGGGCAGTTTTTGAGGCAACAGGGAGTTATAGACTGGGCGGTCTCGGGCACTACAGTGACTTGTGGGTTAAACAAACTTTAGAGATTAACCCATCCATTTTTTGCATTTTTGCCAAGAAACTCCCCCAACTCCCAAACCCAACCCAAATCTTCCATATCTAATATTTTGCTGTCTTTAAAGCCCATTAAAAGTATTGAAGGCTACAGTCCTGAATGCATCGAAATACTGCAAGAACTCTTGATAAAATTTACGGAATTAGAATATCATGTATTCTTTGCAAAACTGTTTTGATCTAAATCACCATCTTACTCCAAACACCTATGTAATTCTTGCATTATATTTGGACTTTGCAAGCACATAGTTCGAAATAAGTTGCTGAGGTAACTTTAGTTTTACTTTTAGTGGGATGCACACTTTAAAAACAATTTTTCTATCCCTGTCTGCTCAGAAAAGACAAGTGAGTGTGTGATGTGTGGTAAAGCCACCGCTAAGCTTCAGTGCAGCACCTGTTCGGGACTGCGATGTGAATCCTGCGACAAACAGTGGCATCTTCACCCAAACCGCCGCGCTCATCAGCGAAAAATGATCGATCTTCCACCAGTCATCGAGGTGACCACATCGCAGCCGCTGCCGCCCATTGTTCTCTGCGACGTGTGCGGGACTCAGCCAGCATCTTTATTCTGTGTCAACTGCAGCAGTTCCACCGACAGCGGCAGGTATTGCAGCGACTGCGACGCTGTGTTCCACGGACACCCGCTGCGGCAAGATCATTCTCGACAGCCACTGGAGTTAACGAAGACGGATCCCGCGGACAAACCACCGCCTAAAAACATCGTCTTGTCTCCAGTGAGTTCACAAGATTCTTCCCAACCGACGGAATCAGGGTAAGTATTGCTGCTGTCTCAACATGCATTCCTGTTTCCTAAAAGTTTTGTTTTGATTTAAGTTATAGAGAAGTTACATGACCACTTTGTGTGCCCATGCTCAGATAGTCTGAGTATCATGTCCCCTGTGGTCCATGGAGCCCTCTCTGGCCTCTCCGGTCCAACGTCTGATATATTAGCAAGCAAAGTAATTTGTGATGTCATTTCATTCCGAAATGTGGACTAAGATTTTGATTGGTCAGTTTGGATGCAAAGTTTCGGTAACACAACAACAAAATGCTGCTTATCGTGGGTGTGATGTTTATGCCTGTGAGGAGTTCGCATTACGCAGTAGAGAAGGCGCCTGCTGATTGGTCAGTTTCTCGAGGTCATTAGCAGTCAAGTTGCATAATTAATCACCTAATAAGCTGGCATATAATAGACCCTGGTGCAGCAAGGGTCCATTACACAGACTAATGCTTAGGTGCATTCAGCTAACAAAAAGTCTTGAGGGTTTGTGCAAAACTGCCATGCACTCCACAGTAGAAGTAAAGGAGCTACTCTAGTACAAGTACAAAATGGGTTCACATCCTCACTTTTTGCATTCTCACAGTTTCATTGCCTATGCTGTCCCAGAGTCCATTAAAACTCTCCGCTGACCGATTGTGCTCTAAAATCAAGTCTGGTTTGCTAAATTTTGTAATAACTCCCACATTTTTCATTAAAAAAAAAATTCATCGTTCACAAGTTCCTCATTCAAATAACATAGCCAAATAACGCAGTGAGTGCTCCTTTAAAGTGGGTTCAACTAGCAACCCTGAAAACCCTAGCCAAACCCCAGCCCCTCCAACAAGAACCACATGTTTGTGGAATAAAATCCTTGTAGTGAGTCTAGCCGGCCTGCCGCAGGGCATGGATACATGCAATCGTCCTGTCAACAAGAGTAGTCAGCAAGCTCAGGTGACGGCTGTTTGCCCTTGTCGGACCACTATGGGCTCCATGTGCAAGTACCCCTTCAATGGCCAGAAAAGGAGGGTTGGGGGAGACCTAGATTGGTTCCTGGTCCATCCACTGCGTATTTGGAATGATCCAAAGTTATTGGGCGCAGGGATTAGTCTTGGAGACCATCTCAAGTTAAGCTTGAACATATTTGCGCGCCGACGACGCCTGATGCTCACATGCGAAGGCACTATGGCTTGGCTTTGTGCACATTCAGGATAAATGATTCGTGCGTACTCATCGATACGCACATGTGGTGTCCCGTCCAAGGGACTCTCAAAAGTGGTAAAAACGTGCCCTCTTTTGTTAGTGCATGGAGCCCATACAACCCAAATTGATAGACAGCAAAAGGTCGACTGGATATGGACCCTATTCAAACCTGTAGTGTAGTTTACAGAATGACCGTTGTACCATGGGTGTAAGAGAGTGATAAGCGAGGCGCTTGATTTGGTTTGAATTTCTTCTCCTTATTTGCAGTCCTGCACTTGCTAAGAAAAGACCAATCCCTGCTCCTAGACGTTCCTTCAATAAAAATCAAGCTCGGAAGGAGGTGAGTACATTTACTTGTTTGGTTAAAATGTTAGTATAAAAGTATTGCTAGAACAGTGAATTTCATTTGTGTTTATGAAATGTGTCACTAAATTCCACATTGTAATTATCTGAATCGACCCTTGAAAGCATCTTTCAATATTTTTCAATATCAAGTGCAGCCCAGCACGAGATCCAAACTGTTGACAATATTTATCGGTGATATCGGTATTGATTTGCAATATCATGATAATCTGGGAGTAAATAACAGCAGTCTGTAGCTGATGCAAAAGATTCTGTTGGTTAAGATTACTTTTAATCTGAATTCTAATCAGTAAGTATATCATTTGGTCTTTCCTTTTGCAGCCATCTGAAGCCGCGATACCTGAAGGAACGACTCTCTCGGACGATGTCTTCACTGTGGATGAATCCAAATGGATTCAACCAGACATCAAGCATCCACCGTCCACGCAGCGGACAACTACTCGGTCTCAGTCTGAGACTGACTTGGAGCATACAGCCAGTGGCCCCGTGTCTCCAAAGGCTTACCACTCGCTCCCAGCCTCCAAGAAAGAGATCATGTCAGAGATGGAAGCAGTCGTCAAGATGGACATCGAGATCCTTCAGAAGATCCAAGCAGATCGTGACATCATGAGCACTTGCGATAAAGGCTCACCCAGGTATGAAACCCTGCAAGCGGAAATAAGCCGTTTAACGAGCGAGCACGAAGGCCTCCTGAGGCGGCAAAAGGAACTAGAAGCCCTTGAGAAGAGTGCCACATTAGGGGTGGTTGCAGAGAAGGAGACAACCGAAGAGCACCCTGAGGTCAGGTATCCACCAGCAAAGGATTACAAGTCGTTTCCATCTCGACAAACAACCATGGCTGCCACCACTCCGAAAGGCTCTCCCCCTACCAACACTACAGCCTCAAGTAACGCTCCCAGACCACAGCCTAGATCAGTCAGCACTTCGGAATCACTCAGGCAGACGAACCAAGTCACCAATACACAACCTGCATCTGCTGGGATACCGTATACCTACCAGGAGCCATTTGCACCTCCCAATCAGGGGTCGCAATTCTTGCCTGCGTCTGCCTCCTCAGCTCCGTCCGTTGCTGTCAGAAATCCCCCAGAGATCACCCCATCGGCTCAACCTGCAGTTATGGATGTCGGCTCTCCTATCGTGCAGCCAGGAAGAGTACAACAACTGGTTAAGCACAGCAGTTCAGGTTCCACGGTGAGAGGTGCACCAAACAGCACCAGCCAGGCACCCATCAACGGCAGCCAATCAGCGTACGGGGCCTGGGTGTGCCAGAGTTGCGGCAACCATAACACAGCCTCCTCGTCTAACGCCGTCTGCATGACGTGCCTTTCTCCCTTGAGTACCACACAGAGGCAGACAGTAGCAGCCCTCAGCCAACAGCTGAGTCATACTCTACCGATGGCTGCACCTCCACGTCAACCACAACCTGGTACCTTCCAGATGAAGGCAGCCTCAACTGCTCAAGCTGCCACGGCCTGGGCTGAAGAACCTGTGACTGCAGCTGGTGCCACGCCTGTTCCCTCCAGATCCCTACCCAGCCAGCCGTTTAAGCCAGTCAGTGTCTTCACCTACCTACAAATGGAGGAGGAGGCGGTAGGTCTTTTTCTTTTTCTTATTTCAAAGGTCTGGTTGCTCATTGCGGAGCAGCATTCAAGCGTTTGTCACATCAATACAGTGTGCCTGTCCATTACAGCAAAGACTAGCCTATGGGCTCTGTGGGCAAGTACCCCCTCAACGGTTACAAAGGGAGAGTTGGGGGAGACCACTGGGAGAGACATTGGAACACATTGTCGATGACGCCTGACACTCACGGGAAGACGCTTTGGCTGCGTGCACATTCAGAATAAAATAATTGTGCGTACTTTGCGCTGTACGAGTGCAACCACTATGCGCACGTGGTGTGTCTAGTCCATTGGTCTCTTGAAAGTGATCAAATAGCACCCTCTGCTGTTCGTGCATGGAGTCTATAAGACATTGTAAAGACTTTCCACTGGTTCCCATTCTCTGCAACACAAACCCAAGGTCGTTATTAGCTCACTCATGGAATCTACTTATCATAGCACAATGTTTGTCTCGCCTAAACAAAGTTTTAGGGGACACTTACCAATCCTAACTTCTGTATGACCGTATCCCTGTATAGTATGTATGTTTAAGTTTAGGTTAAGTTTTTGAATTTTTTTTTATAACTTCTACATGCTTTTATTGATTTTAATGAAACTTGGATGCAGTGACCCTTGGGGGGGGGGGGGGAAGGCACAATTCTTCATGGATTACTGAGGTCAAAGGTCATGTAGGGGTCGTTAGAGGTCATTGTTCAAACATGCTTTAAATGTAACTTTGTCTACAAAATTTGGTGGCTTTAATGTCACTTTGATGAAGTTATCCTTGGGTGGGGGTTCATCAGAACTCTTCCAAAACTGGAGGTCAAATGTCATCTAGGGGTCATTTGAGGTCATTGTTTAAAAATGCACATAATCTGACTTTTTTGAAGACCACAAAATATGTAGGGGTCGACCGCAAAAAAGGCGACATGTGATCCATGTATCACCTTGTTTCAGAGACTTACTGTATCTCAGTATCTGAGTACACTTCTCCACTGATTTTAGATGCTGAAAGAAAAGCAGAAAGCAAAAGAGGAGTATGAGATGCAGATGGCAGCACAGAGGGAAGAGAAGCCCAAGACGCCATCGCCTCCACCAAGAACGAAAAAGGCACACAAGAAGGAGCAAGAATTGCCATCGGAAAGAGCTCCGATGTCGCCAAGAATGAAGCTGTCACCCAATCAAGGTAGTGAAGACCAAAACTGATTCACATTCAACAATGCCACTGTAGGGCTGTGTCCCAATAACTTGGCTATGGCTAGGAATAACACACGCATCTATGGAAGCCACTGGCTTGTGGCTGCAGCCACTTCCCGTATACTTGTTATTGGTTGCCTTTAGTGTGATCGATTCGGTAGAGCTGCGAATCATAGAAATTTGCTGAGTAGCCCCATAAAATTTGACTATGTACCTGGACTGATATATTCAAGTCAGGTCAGCCCCCGATTTCAAAAAGCGGTGTGTTGCATTGCTACCCAAGTTACGAAGTGTAACACGTCACAACCTACGATGCGTCGCAATCGTAGGGATACGACGTGTCGCAGCGCTGCGATGCATCGTAAGTTACGATGAGAGTCATGAAATCGGGTACAGGTAAGGTTGTGGCGGAAGAGATCCTCCAACAACACGGCCCATCTGCTTCTCTCCCTTCAGTCGGATCGTTCCTCTATGCAGGACGTTGTCCTCTTGCCTCTCGACCTTTCCTTGGGTTGGTTCTCGCAGGATGAGGGAGGAGGCTGTCAATTCAGGGTGTCGACATCAAAATGTATTGGATTAATGTGTTTCACATGAGGGCTTACAAATTCACCAGCATGTTAGGGGATGCTATTGTAATTTCCCCACCAAGTTCACTCAAATGTTTCTCTTTCTTGTCTTCTGTTACTTGTTACAGATGATGTCCTGTTAACGCCACTCGCGAAGGATTTCACAGCCGCTCCCCGGTCAGTATCACCAGGCCGTTCTCACGTCATGTCGCTGGAAGACAAGAAACGACTAGATGAACAGAGATCCCAGAGTCTGGACCTCATTGAAATACTCAGGGTAAGCTGTCAGGTTAGCTAATTGCCCTTAATACTCGCAGCAGAAGCTGAATTGCGAAGGACACAGCTACAACGTAGTCGAGCTGGAAGGCAAGTTAAGGTGCCTTAGGCAGCTGCGGTACGACCCATGTCTTATCAGGGAGCATAGCTGGAGCAAGTGTGTTGATAATTGCGGAGGGAGAAAAACCAGAGAACTAGGAGAAAACACTCATGGCACAGGAGAGAATCAATGAACAACGTGACGCACATAATGACCCAAGCCGGGGAACTGTTTAATTATTTCTGGTAATGAAACCCAGGATTCCTCAAAAGCGCCCTAGGCACTGTAGCTCGCAAGCCTGAAGAAACCTGTGGAGAGACGACAGTGAGAAGAAATTATAGTTTTAGAGGTGGGAGGAAAACCCTGAAGGAATATTCTGGGAAAAACCCACAGAATCAGGTCGGGACTGAAAACCCAATCCACATGTTGGCCCAGGCGGGATTTGACCCGGGAAGGCGAGGAAAGTACCGCTATGCCAACCTGACTCCCCGAATCGAACCTCTGTGTCAGCAGTGAGAGGCAAGTGCTGTACGCACTGCACCACCTATACCACGCAGTTTAGAAATCATTGTAGTGAATTTTAAAAGTAAAATTGAAGATTAGATGAACACTAAGCAGTGGAATGTTTTCTGAGTTGTTCTGTTATTTAAATTTCATTTAAATTGCGATTTTTTATTTTATGAAAAGGCCGCTGAGGGGGCTGGATATTTTCCCGAGGAGGTTGTTGCCGCCTCAGAACAGATGCAAGGAAGCAACAGCGAGGCGACCAATGAACTTCAGTGGCTCGAAGAAAACTGGGATAACTACGTCTCCACTGTGACTACCATGGCAACCAATCATCTGAAGAAGGAGATAGGGAAGAGTTTTAGCAAGGTGAGGAGTCAGGATGCTAGCCAGGCGCTCAGAAAGCATTATGGGAACGTCGAGAAAGCCGTCGAGGAATGTGTGACTGAAATTCAAAAGAGGGTGAGATAAGTTCTTTACATTTTCCTTCTTGACGTGATGAATATTACAATTTTGTCCTACCTGAGTAAGCTTGTGAAGTTTTTCTCACAAGTCGCTGGACATCACTGAGTGTACAGGGTTTATCAAATAAATTGGCCAAGGGCTAAAAAAAAATTTAAAATTTAAAAAAAATTAAAAAAAAAAAATCCAGGGCGAGTCAAAAAAAGCGAACACCTAAATCTCAAAAGTTGTATTTCATATTTAAAAAAGAAAATAGCACCAAGAATAATAATGACTGAAAAGCCAATTTCATAAGCTACTTTTAGATGAAACAAATTACTGAAATTGCTCAATTCGTTCAAACAATATCACCATTTAAACACAATGACCCTAAAACCTCTTTCGTCCATAAATGCGATTTCAAGAATCGTCATCACAATTGTCTTCAAACATCACCAGCGATAACACCTGAGTTTAAAGTTAAAAATATTCAAAAAAGTCCTTTTGAAGGCCCGTTTTTTAAAATAGATTTATAAAATCATATTGTTTGCCTAAGTAGGGTTGTTAATAAATATATTGTGTACTACAGTTGTTGACAGTTGTTGAAACAAGTATTCTGTGTCATTTTCTTTGTTGTTCCAAACAGTCAGAATACACAATAAATTGCTTTTTTATTTTGGATGAAACAGGTTTAGGGTCATAGCATTTAAATGGTGATATTCTTTGAACGGATTGAGCAATTTCAGTAATTTTTCATTTAAAAGTAGTTTATGATATTGGCTTGCCAGTCATTATTGTTTTTGGTGCTACATATTTTTTTTAATATGAAATATAATTTTGGGGGTTTGGGTTCTACTTTCTTTGACTCACCCCGTGTATGTCCTCAATGCAAATTCTGATTCATCGTCTAAATTTTGTTGGGTTATTTTACATTATGACTCTGAATTGATGTTTTCAATGTTTCATCCAGGTCCTGAGTCTCGTCGACCTTGGCTTCTCCCATAAGCGCGTTTGCGAGTTGCTTTCCACATGCGATGGTGGAGTGGACGAAGTACTAATCAAACTGCACCAAGAGAGGGCGGCAGAGTTTGTTGCTCGTATATGGGCTGCGGAGAATTCTGCTTCTCAAAAGAAACAGGTGGTCGACCTTGGGGTGTGTCGAGATAATGAGAGTAAAGAGGTAGGTGAATCAAGGATGGTGGACACCATATTGGACATGTTCCCTGACTCCCTCAATGTCATTATGATCATTATGGTATAATACACAAATCTGTAGAAACAACGGGTGCGTTCGAGCGTGTTATTCGTGTTAACACGAGTATACTCGTGAGCACACAAACGGCAGGAGTACAACCCACGGGTTAGCAAGAGTATGCTCTCCATCATACCGGGAGTATACTCCTGCACCGAGAGTAATGCACACGCAACATTTTCCTGCACTCGGGAGTAGCAAGAGTAACACGCTCTAGTTCGGTAGTTTAGTCGCAGAGAGTGCTCGACTTGTTACACGCACGGTCCCTTGTTATGATATTTTGACCCTGATATTTTGACCCTGATCACGTTGTGCTTTGTTGCACAAGTCTATTTTTTTTCCTCTGATGACACAGTCACTACAACACGAGTCTGTTTCTTTTCCGTTTACACAGACTCTTGTTTTTTAAGTCCTACATTGCTTATTTACAGAGACGTCTTCGCATCTTGTTGGCTGAGTATGACCTATCAAGCTGGGGCCGTGCTGAAACGGCAGCCACGTTGATTGACAGGAACAAATATGACTTTGATGATGCCATCACAGCTGCTGGACAGTGTGGTGACCTGGAAAGAGCCAAACAGTACCTGGAAAAAGAATGCCAAGTTTGCTTTGCAGAGTTTCCTATGAATAAGGTAAAGATTGGCTGAGTTTGTTCAAAATGGATTCTGATATTTTTCCCACGAGCGCTAGTGGAACATGGAACATGTACATTACATGCATGCCTATTATACAAATATAAACATGATTAAGTGATACTTAATTTAGCTTCATAAAGCACATGCGTAGTAGACTCGTGTACGGGCATATTAACCCAGTGTGTGAAAAGCAAAGCTAGCCACTGACACGTGAAGTGAAGTGAGAATTCAGCTCTTGATCATAGTATGTATGAGGTGTATATGCATAGCTGCCAACTAGTACGATTTTTTCGTAATTATTACGAATTGTTTGTTAAATTACGAAAATACGATTTGCCACTAAAACATTGCGAATTTCGTTACTACCTAACGAAAAAAAAAAAATGTAAAGTATCGTTTTTGACCGAAAACTTCTGGCGAAATGTCGCGATAATGGATGTACTGGTGACAAGTCTAATAAGAATGCAGTCAAGCACCTGATAGACATCGATGCAGTGTGCCCAGTGGAGTACTTGAGGACCAGACTAAAAATATTTGTCAATGGTGTGTCATTTGTGTGCATCTCGTGGATGTGTGGTTGTGTGTACTGTATGTGAGTACTTTTCAGTGACGATCGTGAGCACATTTAGTAGCTTATTGCCGGGATGAGACCCATCAGTTCGAGATTTTAATCATGGAATTTACTAAGAGTATGGTTGGAATAATTGGTAATAGAGTTTGAGTTTGTCACAACGGACAGAAAAGATAAATCAGCATGCGTTTGCAAGGTATGTTGGCGGGATATTTCTACTGCATACGGTGGCCATAGATCATTGTGTGTAAAAACATGATACGAACTCGAAACTCCACATCGATAGCATATGTGCACATGTTATGGATGTTATTATTTATTTGACTTCAACAAACAAATACAGACATTAAAACAAAATTAATTAAAAAAAAAAAAAAAAAAAAACATTTTTTTTTTTTAAATTATCTTTTGGCCTACAGTACATTATTATTCACAACAAGAAGGGTATGCACATGTATGTGTACATGTAAACCATGTACCTGTATTCGATGTTGGTAAAGCTTTTGATAAAACGAGAAGTTGAAAATGACCGCGCGGGTTGATTACTAATTGGGATTTTGAAATGTTGGCAGCTATGTATATGTCACTCAGCAGTTATTCATAAATACCTAAAGACAGTTTACTCAGTCCCATTGGTCGAGAGCCCGTCACGTGGCCGGTTTTAAATGGTTGATAAAGACATGGCTGGCTAGTCTTAAGCACTTTTTCAGTGTCACATGAAATTTGTGACTCCTATCAAATCCAGTTTTATTGTTTGACGTTTACATTCCTGCACAATAATACCAGTGAGTCAGTATTTAATAGTCTTCAATTCACACTACGGGCGCGTCAATCTCCATTTAAAGAGTTGTTTACCAGAGGAACTTACCATTTTATAGCTAGAGGGGTGTTTTGTTGATCGAAATCGTTGTACATTTATAATTTTTGACTTGTCTTGACTTTAGGACCAAAAAGTTTTTATTTTTCTTACCGCAAAGGTATTTAATGAATGGGAACAAGTATTTGAAGCACACATTTATTCCCTTAATACCACAGTATTTCCTTACTAAATTGGAAATGTGTCTCCATCCCAGATTCATATCTTATCAACATTTTTGCAATGACTTGACCCTTATTGAGATGATATATGAAGAAAAAAGTGGCGTCAGGTTGCAACATTCTTTCCTAGCATGGCATTTTGACATGGCTGTATCATGTTATCTAACTTTTTTTTTTCATTTTGTCTCGATATCTTTGCTTTTATATTTCAGTTGAGTACATTGTCACATTGCCAGTGTCTGATCTGCTCGGGCTGCCTCGAAGGCTACTTTAATGAAATCATCACTAATCGGAATATCATGAAAGCAGCCTGCCCGGTCTGTGATAAACCGGATCTTCGCAGGAACGATCCTGAGGTTACGGATTACTTTGGCTTCCTGGATTCATTGGTAAGTCCGGGGGTCGACCTTCATTTCTTTTTTCACTAGCCAGCCGGGCTACTGAAACAGACTCTTAACTAGCCCGCGGGCATTTTCACTAGCCCCCATGGTTTTAAGCTCTGACAGGAGCATAGATGCATGTCGCTTCGTGGTCAGTCTGTCCCCGGAAAATTGACCAAAAATGAGCCCCCTAAGTTTCCGATAAAGTACACCTACCAAATTTTTATTTTCAAAACAAAAAGCAAATAAGATAAATTAAATATTTGCCAAAATTGTTTGTAAACAAAGTTGTTAATGAAAAATTTGTAAATGGAAGCAAAATATGTGCTGTAATATTATAGTCACGTGGTATGCAGTGCGCTATATACCGAGCTATATAGCGCGCTAAATTTTATGGGAAACTAATGGGGCTTATTTTGGTCAATTTTTTGGCGCTATGGGGCAGCATCGTTTTCCATGGGACGGCAGCCTGGGCTTGTATGAACAATCATTTCATGCAAGACTTTCAATGCTAGACAGGCAGAGCTTATTAAGCACTTGCACTTGTTTTTTATAGAGTATCTTATAAACAACAATGTGCATAACTAATTAACCCTACCTCCCTAGCATAATATACTAGGAACCATACCCATCCTGGCAATTCCAACACCCACATGGGAAATCGTACACACACACTGTTGGACTTAGTTTCTGGAGGTATGCCAAACCCAATGTAAAAGACCATCAGTTTAGGGGTACTGTACCCATTCCAACAGATTTCAACAACACCTGCTGTTGGACTTTGATGGGTTGAGTTCGGTTAGGGTTAAGGAATAGTTTGACTAGCCCGCCGCTGTTCTGACTAGCATGTGGCTAGCAGGCTACCGCTAAAGTTAAATCCCGAAGTCAATCAATTTGTTCAAGCATTGCGTTGTTATGGTGGTAGGATTACAGAAACTAATTGTTGCATTAATCAGTTACTGGAGGACATGTAAACACGATCTGGCAATGTATATTCGCAGGGGCAGTTGACGGGTAAATCATCACGCTTTTCCTGATATCTCTCTAGCACACAAACAATTTGACCGGAGTCGGATTTAAATTAGTGTTTATACGTCAGTGAAGGACAAAACCTAATATTGTTACGTAGATCTTTGGTAGAAATGCCCAGCAGAAGCTTTCTATTGGGTACCATGCAGCATACTTTAAGTCTTTGGATCTTCATAATAAACTGGTGCCTTGTTTTCCTTCTTCTATTCTGTAATTTAAGAGAGTGACTTGAATTGACACAAGCATAAATTGGACTCGACCAAACATTATGACTTGAACTCGACTCGACCTTTTTGACCAAATGACTCCAATCAACTCGATCACTTCCTTAAAATGACTCAACTTGAATCGAGTCTCGAAATTCAGTGACTCTTTACAACTCTGCCTAGTTGTCTTCCTAACTTTTCTGTTTTTAACCGTTGAGTGCTTTTAAAGGTTATAAACAACATTGAAATACAAAGAAGAGCTGTATTCTTAACTAGAATCTTTCTTTTTTTTATTCTCATCACAGCTGAAAGGAATCTTGGACGCTCAATCCTACCAGTTATTTCAGACCAAGATGCGAGATTGGAACCTGATGAAAGAGAACAACTTTAGATGGTGTGCCAACGTGAGTTCACATTTTGGAATTCTGTTCCAGAAACTTTTTAACACAGTAGAACTTGTATCTGTCAAAGTCTAAAAACAAAAAATGTAAAATATAATAAATCTTGGAAAAAGTCTTAGCGTTTCTGATGTGCTTTAGATTCCGTTATGTCATAACAATATTACAATTGTATCTGTTTGTTGGAAGTGTGGCAATGGTTTCATCAACGAGGCTCCGGGTCGTCGTAAGATGCGCTGTCATGAATGTAATCAGATCACATGCTTCGAATGTAAGAAACCGGTAAGATTCACTTCATTTTAACCATTCTAGTCTGTACGTGCTATGATTAACAATGCCAAAAGTCATTGTTGCTGTGTATGCTACCATGCATGCATTTAATTTGGTTGTTTTAAGTTGGTTTTCTTAGATACAGACGACACTTTACCATTTAAGAAGGGAATATATGTATGCTTGGCCAGTTTAAGCATATTTAGGACCGGTTGGAGTCTGGCTGTTGATAATTCCCGAGCCAAAGGCCAGAGTAATTATCAGCATCCAGACTCCAACCAATCTTAAATATAGTGTTAAATACAGCCAAGCACATATTTATTCCTATTTATTAACACCTTTTCTGTAAAAAAAAAAATCAAAACTTTTCAGTCAAAAATTCAAAACAAGTCCAAAATTTTAAATTTGTAACGATTTTGTTCAACAGTTTTACCTCATGTTTTTCAAAACACACGTCTTGCTATATTATGGTGTGTCCCTCTTGCGAGAAGTCGTAAACAACTCCATATCATGGAGATTGGTGTGCATGTTGCTCGTACTGTGCCATGAGGCGCAGAACGCAGCTGTGCAAGTGTATTGTGAATTTGGACTATGAAATACAGGGTTCCACCTTAACTTTCTTGTTCATTTGAATTAGCCCGCATTTTACTTTTTAGCTCAAATACAAAATGGCGTATTTTCAGGCTAAATTCTGAGGCAATTTTGTCAGTGTTTTTAAAAAATAGATCTACAATTTAACTTTTTAAAACAGTTGATAAAATGAGATACAAATTGATGAGATTTTCTTTCTGAATTTAATGATTTATTACCTCCTATCCGTTCATCTTTGCCGTATCCCAATAATTCTTTTGATTTGCCAGCCGGGCTAGTTAAGCAATAGTTTGACTAGCCCGCCACTGTTTTGACTGGCATTTGGCTAGCGGGCTACCGCTACTTTCGAAACCCTGTGAAATACTGACTCACTGGTAATTTGTGCATGCCTATGTGAGGAGTGTGAACTTTGAACCAGTAAAATAGTAAAAGGCACCGGATTTCATAAGAGTGCATATTTCATATGATACTGGAAAAGTGTTTAAGACCAGCCAGCCGGTCTTTATCAACCGTTTAAAACTGGCCATGTTAACGCGTTTTTAAGGGAAAACAATTGGCGTCTTTCATTTTCACAGCTATAAATCTTATAGTATTTTACCTTTTTGACATGTCGATAAATGCGGATGTTAAACATCCAACAAACAGTATTGTAAGGAAAATTTTATTCTCTTTCCTAATACCCGCAAACCCTCATTTTGCCAGAACGCCTCACTATTTACCAAAGCAATACACATGTACATACCGTAGTTTAAATATAATTAAATATAATTGGCAGCATATCCCTATAAGAGTTATAAGAGCACACACGTACACCTTTTGTGCTTTATTGTATAGCAGTGACGTAAGGTAAAATGTTTGTTCTACAAAGAAGTTTTTCTTGTAGAACAAACGTCTTAAAAACTTTCATTTTCACCCTTCAAATATATAAACATATTGGGAATGAAACTTCCAATCTTTGATATTCAATTTTTTTTTTTTTATAGAGGGTTATCTGAGGCAGTTACAAGCATTGTTTTATTAGGGTTAAAAACTTCTATTATAACTGAGGGTACCTTTTTCTTTTGATATACCAGTGGATGGATCAACATGAGAACACAACTTGTGCTGAATTTCAGGCTTGGAAAGAAGCTAACGATCCCAACAGTCAAGCTGAAGGATTAGCCATTCATCTTAAAGAGAACGGAATAGGTATGTCGAGGTATATTTTTTAGGGGCGTGGCTACAGTGTTAGAGGTACAGGCACTGGCAACCTCGTTCCCCATGGATACGATCTTGCAGCGCCACGTTGGTACCCATCATGCCTTGCGTGGTCATTTTGTCTCAATTTTGTTTCATTGTCTTCTCTCTTTAGCAAAGATGAAACTTTTCCGATTTTAATCTGAAATCAGATTTTTTAACTTTTCCAATGAAATTTCAGATTTTTTAATGATCGCACAAAAATTTATTTTCATTATAATTTCCAAGATAAGTCGATGAAAATGTCACGTAAAAATGTGCACAAGTGTAAAACACCTATACCAACGCTGATCAGATCCTTTTCCGGCTGGAGAAAAGGTTAAATACTGACCTATGACATTGATGCGCTGTGCTGCACTGCGCAATGCTGTAGCAGCTCTAGCCTTTAGTCAAGTCCCACGCGCTTAGGTTTAGCGTCCTTATTCAGTTACTGGGCGCGCCTCGGCCCGCCGCGGCCCTTTGCGGCGGTTTTTTTTACCCTCCCGAGTTCTCAGTGAGCCCGGCGCAGTGCAGCGCAGTGGACCCAGCCACAGCTCATTACCGATCGGCTATTGTGTTGGCATCATTGTTATGTTAATTGGGCACTCTACCAGCTAGCCGCTCGGCTCGCTGCGGCGGGCTGTGAAGATTAGTTGTCAGTGCGCCCTGGTAGCCTGAGAAGATTATCTGGTTTAACAACAAAGGCGATTAACTCCCCACGAACAAAAGCAATTGACCCCTTCTATTATACTGGAGTTTCAAAGCAGCACGTCTAAAGCCAGAATTGGTACCTTTCTTTCAGGATTGATAAAAAGTGTAACTCCCCCCGAACAAAAGCAGTTCACCCCTTCAATTAAACAGGTACAAGTGGAGTTTCAAAGCAGTACATGTTCATGTAAAAACTAGAATTGGTACCTTTTCTTTCACGATTGAAAAAAAGTGTAGGCCTACATGTACAAACTTGGTGAAAAGATGCGTAGGTGACATAGGTCTAGTGTATGTTTTCAGAAACAAAAAGGATGGATGCTCGGAATAAAATAATGCCATCTTGCGGGACGAATTTAATAAGTCTAGTAAATATTGGGGAGGCTGCACGCACGAAATAAAAGGAATAATGGGATCGGGTGGGGCGAATAAAACCCGTCAATATTTTTGGGAGCTGGATGCTCGGAATAAAATAATGCCATCTTGCGGGACGAACTTAATAAAGTCTAGTAAATATTGGGGAGGCTGCACGCACGAAATAAAAAGAATAATATGGGATCGGGTGGGGCGAATAAAACCCGTCAATATTTTTGGGAGCTGGATGCTCGGAATAAAATAATGCCATCTTGCGGGACGAATTTAATAAGTCCAGTAAATATTGGGGAGGCTGCACGCACGAAATAAAAGGAATAATGGGATCGGGTGGGGCGAATAAAACCCGTCAATATTTTTGGGAGCTGGATGCTCGGAATAAAATAATGCCATCTTGCGGGACGAATTTAATAAGTCCAGTAAATATTGGGGAGGCTGCACGCACGAAATAAAAGGAATAATGGGATCGGGTGGGGCGAATAAAACCCGTCAATATTTTTGGGAGCTGGATGCTCGGAATAAAATAATGCCATCTTGCGGGACGAATTTAATAAGTCCAGTAAATATTGGGGAGGCTGCACGCACGAAATAAATGGAATAATGGGATCGGGTGGGGCGAATAAAACCCGTCAATATTTTCCTCAATATACTTTCCTATGGAGCCAGTATACACTTATTTTAAATATATTTTGTGCAAATAATTATGGCCGTCAATAATCCTCGCCATGCACCACTGGGTCTGTAATTCAAATGAGAGTTAGACAAAAGAATTTATAAACGGAATATTTTTTTTTGAGAAAAAGCAGATAATTGTTTTGTAGGCCTATTGTTATTGAAAATAAAGCAGACTTTATGTTTACTGAAGAACATGTGTCACGGTATCCTTGTATTTAATAAGATAGCAACCACGATGTCAATTGATTTTTTTTGGGGGGGGGGCGGGGTGTCATCAAAATGAAAATTAGAAAAGTCTATTACGCCAAAAAAAAATGTAAGTCTGAAAATTTAAAATTAACAAAAAACATGACCTTTTAAGGGAATTGCGATATTATCTTTCAGATGCATTTATAATAAGCTAAGGGATGTAGTTTAATATGTACGTACGTAGGGCCTTCCTTGTTGCTCGAGAGTTGAGAAGTTTTCTTTGCCGCCATCATGCAATATTGTCGAATAGCACGCAATAGCAGTGAAAACTCTGCAAAATATGAGCTAAATCTATGTCCGATGATTCAAAGACAATGTTTTACTCCTGTTTGTACGAAAATATGCACCGGTTCTCGTACAAAAATCAATTTCGACGGAACAATTGCCATGGGCTGCGTACAAAACTTGCTGCACGTGCGTAAAGGGAATTCCCCTTGGTGAGAAATGGCCTGTGTAATACAAAGGAACCAAGGGCACCAGCGTTCTGGTGCCTTTTGAACACGCTGGTATCCGACAGTAGCGTACATTCCGTGTATTGGGCAATCACATTGTGAGTGCGTGCGGCGTGTGTACTGGTCGATCTTCGTCTGCACTGCAGGTTGGCCTTGTCTAGTCTAGACCCGTGAATGTGGCGGTATACACTGCAACGCGTACATCGTATTGAACAGCTTTCGATCGGCAAACTTCGGCGGGAATAGAATTTTCGTTTGAGTCCGGAAATTTAACAAGCACTTTTATGACCAATACACGCACAAAACCTTATTCGCGAACTTTGAGTTGCGTAGGATCTGTCATTCCAAAGAAATTTCGAGTCTCAAACGGAAATTCTATTCCCGGCGATGCTGGCCGATCGAAAGCTGTTCAATGAGATGTACGCGTGGCGGCGGATACCGCCACGTTCACGGGTCTAGGCCTTGTCATGTTTACAGTTTGAGAAGTTCGTCTCGTTTATGTTTCCACCGCGAATCGAGCCCAGAAATCAGTAGGATGTGCATTGGTCGGTTCATATTAAATCGTACCGTGTAAAATGAATTTGAAATGAAGCTCTTTGAAATCGTGTCATCGATTGAAAAATCGTTAAAATATGTTTATCCATATACTTTCATAATCGATTTTCACCATCCCAGTAGTTTTGTGCGGATGATCTAATTTCCTTGCCCGACTTTATATTTATATCCCATTTTAAACCGTCCCCGTTTAGTCTGACTGCGGAAAGTATTCATTGAGAGGTTTCCCGGTTGATACCCGGTTTAATACATAGGCCTACGGCACCGTATTAAATTCCACCCTGGGAATTGGAACATAATCAAAATATATTTCTACCGAGAAAGAAAATAACGTTACAGCCTTCCTCCAAAAGTGATACAATGTATATCTTTGGTGATAAGAGATTGTCTGTGGAAGTTCTACTAGAAGCTGGCAAAATAATCCTGGCAACTATTGTGTCGGTGTATTTAAACTGCACCTTGCAAGACGGTGATTTGTTTGCATCATACAGCAAGAAATCAGTGTCGGCGCGCTGCGGCGGGCTGTGTGTATTAAGTGCGTTCAGCCGTGTCACCTATTGTTATTCATGTTTTCCACCTGCGCCGCACGGCGCCGTGCTATCGGCAGGCCGAGAGAAGCTGGAGTGCGGGCCAGTGCGGCGCAGTGGGAGCAGTGAAGCGGATCGCGGCGCGCCGAGTAATTTTTTATGGACGCTCAGCCTTACCCGGACACTTGACGCACCCCGGATGCTGACACGTAAAAAGACTAGGACGAGCGGCGTATAGCCGCGAGGAGGATTCACCTGGAGGGGGACAGAATTAACTAGGACGATTCCGAGGAGGATTCCCGCAATCCTTCTCGCGGCTTCACCCGGACACTTGACGCACCTCGTGCTAGTCTTTTTACGTGCCAGCATCCAGGGTGCGTTACGTGTCCGGATGGTCCGGGTAAAGGCGCGTGGGACTTGACTAAAGGCTATAGCAGCTCAGACCCAAGGTCCAATTTCAGAATTTGTTTGCTTAGGCCAGTTTCATCTCTGCTTTAGGTTTCTTCAGGCTTGCGAGCTACAGTGCCTGGGCGCTTGTTTCATTACTAGATATAATTAACAATTATATTCAGTGCCTTCAGACAGTATATCATTTCTTGTGCCTCAGATTGTCCAAAGTGCAAGATGAGGTACGAGTTGGCCAAGGGAGGCTGCATGCACTTCAAGTGTGTCCAGTGTACGTTTGAATTCTGCTGCGGCTGTGGCAGTCTCTTCAACAAAGGCAATGTGAGTAGCGGATCTGAGTAGGAGGCGGCCGGGAAAAAAAAGGAAGCGGCTGGGAAAAAAGGAACCGAGCGGGGATGAGAAACTAGTATTATGTTTACACTTGGCCTTAAACTCAATCATGTAGGATAGGATGCAAGCGTTAGTTGCCAATCTGAATAGTGTTTGCCCCAGAGATCCAGCCTATATACATCTCTTTGTACATAATTGCCTCACTGTCATCTGTGAGCCGGGCAGTGCTATTGTATAGGATTACCGTGTATTTTTATTATTATTTATTTATAGGGCCTGGACAAATCATACTCACAAATATGACCAAAAACAAGCACATGAACATTAAGGCCAAACAAATAAGTAAACAAACACACAATCAAAAAAATATTTGAATAAGTAGAAGATAAAAGAATAAATTAATTAAAAAGCATATTAAAAGCAATAGCTTGGAATAAAGAATAGCTTGGGAAACTCAGTCCAATAGGGCAGAAGGCATCTGTGAGTAAACTGATGAATTTTGTAGAAATGTAACTGACTGAGCAGACAAATAGAGTAGAATACCAGCTGCAGACATCCAGTATGATAGAAGTTAGATGTGATTGTGACATCGGTTTTTATTTGGCAGGAATGTCGTCGGTTTGCATCCTGTTTGAATAGAGGTCTGCATGCACATCATCCTAGAGACTGTCTGTTCTATCTTAGAGATCAAGACATCGAGGCATTACAGAAGCTTCTTCAGGTAAGTCCATCCAATCATCTCCACCCAGGAGTATAAATGGGTACCTGTGAAGGTAGAGTCCAAATTGCGCTGATCTTGAGCTGCTGCAGAAAAATGGTCTCATTCCTGATGAACAGGGGCAATAATTGTGATACGCATTTGATCATATTCATATGGAATTTGCGCATTATAAATGTATAAATTATTATTATTGTTATTATAATAAGACTTCAAATCCCAGAACAGTTGTTTTGTTTGGTTAAGCTTTAAAGCTTAAATGTTAAGGAACAAACATTACACACAACACCTATGATTTTAATCAGCTCCTTGGCAGTGAAAATCTGGGCTCAAAAAAGTGAGTTTTCGGCATGAGGTCATTTTTTCACGCTCTAGAGCTGAGTCAATAAACAATGTGGTAATGAAAGGGTTTTAATCATTGTGTACATGTATGTATCAAATATCAATAATTGTACAACTTACCGGTATATTATTTAACCATGTTGCACATTTGTATAAAAAATGACATCATTGAAATAAGTGTTACAGAATTGAAAATTGAAAAAGCTCCGGGCAAGCAGATTTGGTCAAGTAGACAGATTCAGTCACTTCAGTTCCCTGCCTAAAGCCCGGTTCATACTTCACGCGAAAGCTTGTGCGAAGCGAAATTCATGTCGTCAACAATGGTAGACGTGCTTCGAACGTATTGTTGACGTCACGAATTTCGTTTCGCTTTCGCGTGAAGTATGAACCGGGCTTAATGCGTATCTTTTGATGTTCTTGTCCCTACAGAAACACAACGTTGAGTACAAGCGTAACAATCCACAAGCTAACCAGCAGCAAGTGTGCAGCGTCAAGGAGCAAAAGGAACTTCCTGATGGTCTGGAAGACGCCGAGTGTGGGAGAGAAGTTGTACAACAGACCGGACTGTGCAGGTGAGTTAAGAAAAGGGTGGGGTTTAGTCAATAAAAGGGGGGGGGGTTGAATTTGAGAGAAGGGTGGGGCTTAGTGTAGCAATCCAGCCAACCAGCAGTGAGTTTGCATCGTGATGGAACAAAATAGATGGTCTAGAAGACACTCGGCATAGATAGAAATGTGCCAAGTTAATCGACTTGTTAGTCACTTGCGACCTTACATGCGAGTCAGTTGCAATTGACTTGTGAGTCACTTGGACCTTACTTATGAGTGACTTGTGTTTGACTTGCGAGTGTCTTGTGATTGATTTGTGAGTGACCTAGTGAATTACAGGTGACTCACATGACCTAACTTGTGAGAGAAATGTGAGTCACTTGTGACCTCACTTGTGAGTGACTAAAGAGTGACTTGTGAGTCACTTGAAACCTTACTTGTGAGTGACTTGTAGTGACTTGCGAGTGACTCGCGACCTTACTTGTGAGTGACTTGTGAGTGACTTGCAAACTTACGTGTGAGTGACTTGTGAGTGACTTGCAAACTTACGTGTGAGTGATTTGTGAGTGACTTGCAACCTTACTTGTGAGTGACTTGTGAGTCACTTGAAACTTTACTTGTGAGTGAGTTGCGTCCTTACTTCTTCTGAGTGACTCGTGAGTGATTTGTAAGTGGCTTGCAAACTTTTGTGCGAGTAACTTGTGAGTGAATTGTGACCTTACAAGTGACTCGCTAGTGACTCCGTCCTTACTTGTAAGTGACTTGTGAGCTACTTGCAAGCTTACGTGTGAGTGACTTGTGAGTCACGTGAAACCTTACTTGTGAGTGACTTGTGATTGACTTGTAAGTGAATTGCAAACTTGCGTGCGAGTCACTTGTGAGTGACTCGCGAGTGGCTCATGACCCGACTATTGAGTGTCTTAACAGTTGGCTTATGAGTGGCTTGCAACCTTGTGAGTCTTTTACCTTACTTGTGAGTGACTTGTGAGTCACTTGTGACCTTAATTATGATGAGTGACTTGTGAGTGACTCGCAACCTTACTTGTGAGTGACTTGCGAGCTTACTTGTGAGTGTCCTGTGAGTGACTTGTGACCTTACTTGTGAGTGATGTACAAGTGACTTTCTAACCATTCTTTGACGTGTCTTCTCGGGCAGTGTGCACTACAAGGAGTACCTAGTCAGCATGATCAACCAGAGTCACATTGACCCAGCTGATGAGTATAATATTGCCGATCTTACAATCATCCTTAAACGCAATGAGATTGCGGTACCAGCCAGAGCTAATAAGGAGAGCGAGGGGGCATACAGAACTCGAATACTTAAGGTCAGAAACTTTTTTTATCAAATCTCTATTGAATTTCATCGTAAAACTGCTAGCTTTGATTTTTTTTCCAGAGGATTCATTTATTTCCAACAATGTTCACGTAAATATGCATTCTCTCTTTCTGTTGTTGCATTTATGGAAAATGTTTTCTGAGATTTTATTGTAATTTAAGCAGAATTTTCCCAAACATGTATGTGAAATTTATCCAGATTTTCAAAAAACGTCCTCCCAAAAATTCCTGTTGCTCCTGAAAATTTGAACAACAAACAAATTTGTAAAAATTCCTATATTTTCATCAAATCTGGTACCGTAAAATGAAAGTTTTCTGTGATGTTTTAAGCTAAAACTGAATCTGATTATCATGATTGTAAAGGAGGAACGTTTAGGAAAGAACGCACTGTTCAAACTGTTCAAGCAAAACATCAGAGACACTGTATTTCATGGCCTTACATATGGATTGATTTTTAGTTGTTATTTTTGTGTTCTTTGTAGGAAGTGAAAGAAAAACTTCCCTTGGAGAGAAAGAATCCACGAGACCGAGCTCAGTCCCAGTGAAAGGTGGGTCTATCTCTCTTCCGCCCACTCTAACACAAGCTGTCTGAAATAGACTGTATGCAGAAATAGCCGAGGTAATAATAAAAGAAGTAAACTAAAGTAATACAATTAAAAAATAAATTTGCACAAATTACATTTTACTTCATTTCTGCTTTATATTACGTATTTACTACACCTAGCCTTCTAAAAAAAAATAGATCAATACCCGCCCACTGCCATTTCCATCCCTACTCTTTGAATTTGGATGAAATAACTACTTCTTAAGTCTTTTCCTTTGAAAAAAACTTCAAACGATTTGCACTTTTGCAGAATATTGTTTCGGATTTATTGATGATGTCATATGAAAATCATGTTAGCGAATGTAATGTAAAATGTGACTCAATACCTTAGTATCAAATCAAAAATATTTTGCTGCTGATTCGAAGTGTTTTTCACCTTTCCTTGGTATATTCTTAGTCAGAGAATAATTGAAGGGGATTTCAAAATTTCTCGAGTATTACTGTTGTACAATTTAATCAATATCGGTATTTGAAGACCAGTATACTATTATAATATCGGACCGCGGTTTGTGGATAACATAATGTGAATATCGATCTCTTCTGCGAAGAAATGTGGGGGTGGAAAGAATTAATGGCGAGTTTCAGGAATATGCCGAGTCCATCACAAGTCCCTGCAAGTCCATCACTGCTTGTCAATGGATTTCACCGCGTTAAGCCTCTTATCATGCTTTGTTGTAGTCGGACGGATCAAATTTGCACAACCAATTAGCTGCAAAATTAAAGTGGTTACGCACAGCGCACAGCGTAGCCAAAATTCAAAAGGTGATGATAGTACAGCTGATTAAGTACAATGTCACCAGGAACTTAAAGGACAGCTGGTGGATTTTTTTATCAGTAGGGTAGAAGACTGATGATAAGGTCAGTCACTGTAATTTGAGCCGAACGGTGGATTGCAATCAGTTGAATAGCCTTGCTGCATTATCCATTGTGTCCATTTTAGAGTGAGTTGTGTACTTTTATGCTAGCAAAAACATCACATGAAGAGATATAGTCATGAATGTGTGATACTGAGATAGATTGCAGGAATCAATGTAAGTTTTGTTCAAACCCAATGAGTTTTAGTTATTAACCTGAAAGACTTTGAAACCCTTTTTTTTTCTGAAATTCAATTTAAGTTGTTATTTAGTTAAAAACAGCTTTGTATATTTTTGCCCAGTTTGCCTTCAAAATACACAGGATCCACTAATAATAAAATGAAAGTTGTGGCACCAAATTCTTCAACTGTGTTTAACTGCAAACAAACATCAAAAATTTAGTGGGCCTGAAACATTGGCTAATCATTATTACAATTGTAAATAGCACGAGGATCACATAGTGTAAAGTGATATTGAAGGATTAAGCCACGTTTTTTTCTCAAGGAAATTCATTTTGTTCAGGCTTGTCTATTCATTTATGGGAGACGTAGTAACGATAACATGCTGTATTATATTCAATGTAAAAGCAAATAGGGTAATGGTTTTGTGCTGGTAATGGTAAGATTGAATTACAATAGAATCTAGAACATCTTCATCTGGGGCAGTCATCGACTGAGCTATTGTGTCCAGTGCCTTAATGATTGGTTTCCATAGCAACCCTGAAAGGGTTCAGTATGTAACGCCACATTCAGTGGCGTATCTAGGGTTAAACTTCTGAGAGGCCACCGGGGGGGGGGGGGGGGGGGGGTTGCAGTAATTTTTCATGGGGCAGTTTTACCACTAATTTCATTACGGCTGTCCTGAACATATCGAATATTCGATCACCAACCGAATATTGGAATAGTTTTTTGCCAGTTTGAATATTAAAAAAAAAAAAAAAAAGTACGCGGTACACAAACAACTCTGATGTTATTTTAAATGGAGATTCGGTCAAATGCAGTTTTGAATAATTGCAAACTTTTTTATTCGGAAAAGGACAGCCCTAAATTTATGTGTTCAAGATATAATGTGTAGCTTGCATTTTTCATTGAAGTCTTTATAATGACCCAGTGGGATGTGTTATTCCGATTTCGCCCTCTTGGGAAATCATGATGTTTTTGATTTTCCCAACTTCTCATTTAATCAATGCCTTAGGTATTACTTCATGTAGCCATGGTAACGTCACTATTCATCCATTGTCTGTTTTTTTTGTAAGTAAAGGGAAGGACCTATGACTTTCATCTATCTGTTTCATATCAGAGGGTTAGCTATGATTTTTAAAATCTGTATTAAAATGTAAAAATTTTGACTTTAAATTTGATGTCGAATAAGTTGACACAGATTCGCTTGGGTTGGAAAGGAATGGCTTTGAAGTGATTGTTTACTTTCAGTACTAAAAGATTGTATATGAATGCTGTATCTATTGTATGCCTTAACTAACTGTGATTTCAGGCGGTGAAATAAAATCAGTGTAACACAATGATTGTTTTTCCAAATAAGAACTGCGTTAATTAAGGATGTGGAGTCAGTGCAACTCGCATTTTTAGGAAAAAAAACGCTTGCTGTTTGGAAAGAAAACCTTAAAACCCACAGTTTTTCCTGACTAAAGAGAGAAACGAGGGGAATGTGATAGCCTTATTTAGGCTCAAGGTCCGATCGTCTTAATGGCCTTCCTCGTTTCAAGAGACCCTGGCTTTCGTCCCGTCCCCCCCCCCCGGCGTTGTCCGAAGCCTGACAACACTCATTACACAGCTGGATGAAAGGTTGGTTGCTATGGAAATATCCTTGTATAAGATCATTATTTTATCAGTTAAAAAAAAACCTTGAAATCGGGAAGACGCCCTTTTATCAAGAGAAACTCGGAAAGCATCCCAGGGGATTGAGCTTTGCGTAATTTCATATTTTTTCTTGAAAACATTGAAATATGGATGATCACCATTCTTGTTCCGTGGTCTACACACGAGTTGTTCCATGGTACTATGGGGACCGAAGACACTGTGGGGACAGCAGGAGGACCCCATAACTCGGTCCTAATTTGCCTAACAATAAAAAAAAAACTTCCTCATAACGCGGTGACGACCCGCCCATTATAACGTTCGGTTACTGAAAAAAAAACTTAAGGGCCTACTGGTGTTTCACACAAACTCGGAAGCGAAGCCAATTTCATGACGTCAACAACTGAAGTCTCTCACGAAGTACGAATTAGCCTTTAACTTTGGGAGGCAAAAACAAACCTGTCCTGGCCCTATTCCGCGTGTTCCCTCCAGCAACTCATTTCCGAGTGTCCTAGATGTATAATGAGGATTACGGTACAGTACGAGCGCCGCTCCAAAACAAGTGGTTAGATCATGGAGGAATAAGAACTTATTCTTATTCCTCCATGGTTAGATTCGCCCCCGTTATTAATGCTGTGTCCGAAACGGGCCTCCACAGCTACTCTGTGCACGAGATATTCACGTGTGCAGATCAGAGCCACACCAACGAATGTGACTGATAGTGATAGTTATCTATCCTGGCATGCAAATTTTATGCGACACCGCGCGCCAGCCAAATTGAAGTCGACTTTAGAAACTGTGACGTCACTTTGATCAGAAATGTGGACTAAGCTGTTGACAGATTGGTCAATTTGTCTGACATGTTTTTGTAATACAACTGGTTACGGAAGACCCGATATAGAAGGCGCCCGCTGAATGGTCAGAATCTCGAGGTCAAGACGCAGTCTGTTTTGCATAAATCATTAATCGCCGAATCTGTTCGCATGTCATGATATCTTAGACCTTCTATTCCATATGGAGCAAGTCCTTGTTCTAGTCTTGGCGACATGTTCCCATTACGTAGTCTGGTTGTATAATGGTCAAAGTCCCAGAAAATGGCTTGACAATTAGGACGCAGATCAAGTGTCGCTACGTATCAACATTGCAGGAACCAACCAAATTACAGTTTAAGCCCGAAACCTGCAAACAGACGGAGTTCATATGTGGTATAGTTTTCCTTCAACTGGGTACTTTTCGGCATTCATAAAAAAAAAATGTTTTTCAATCTTTAATATTCTTCGTAGATATAAACCACATTTCATTTTGAACGTTGTACCAAACAGTTTAACAGTATTCGCCTATCTTTGCCACTCATATGGAAATACTGTGCGTTGAAGTGTATACTACAAGTTGTATATAAAAAATACACAAATAGGTCTACTTCTTTTGAAATTCAACGTTGAACCAATTGCCAGTTTGAACTCAATTTCTCCAAGGTAGATTTGATGGAGTTAATATCACAGGCGCTTGCTGATTCGCAAGAAAAAGCGATGATTGATGATTTACTGATGAATAATTTATTTGTACTTTTCAAGCCAGTAGTATTGTCGTTGTCCATCCGCCCGTGTGTAATGCATCGCCTTTAATACCACAAAACGCACTTCGCACGTACGTCAGTGGTTGAAGAAGTGAGCATATTGAAGAACGTGCTGCCGTACCAATAAAGAGTAGCAGTTCATCAATACGTCAAGGAGCATCATCTAAAGTGACGTCTTAAGTGAACACCGAGTGTTGTTCTGCCACATCCTTATAGGTGCAGTCTATTCCTTCCTCCATGGATGCAGGGACTAGTGTGTGTGAGGAGTTCGTGGGAGAAACTTGAGGAAAGATTTGACTCGTTGATTGCCATGGCTGTTCCAAGTAATTCCACAATGGCAATATCGGAGCCAGATTTTGGCCTAGCCACTGCATACAGCTTGGTAATGGTTGTGGCCCTCCTGGGAAACATTGCAACCATCTGTAACTTTAAGTGCAACGACTGGTTGAGAATCCACAAGTGTCATGTGTATATCCTGGGCTTAGCTGTGGCAGACTTGGGTACGGCTCTGGTGCCGTTACCGGTGAACGCGTTGATAGCTGCCCAAGGATTATGGCCGTTTAGTCGGCAGGCGTGTATGGCTTACGACTACTTCCGAATTGTGATTGAGAACAACGGAGTCTTAGTAACCCTACTCATCAGTGTGGACAGGTGCCGACTTTTATGGTTGGATTTTAGTAGTTATATCAGGGGAAGTACCCCGAGGCGCGTGTCGCTAGAGTTGGGCCTTACTTGGCTCTTGCCTGCCGTGGGTCACGGTGTAATGGCTGTGGTGTGGATCATCATTGTACCGCTTGATGAGCGAGACGCGGAGACAACACCAGACTGTCAAGATGTACCTTCTGATGCTGACATTCCATTCAGCGCATTGTACGCCGTACTTCTTATCTTCACCCCGGGATTGTTTCTCGCTGTTTTGAACACTTTCACTTTCATCGGTGTTGCGCGTAAACTCAAGCGCCGACGCCAGATTGCTGACGGGGTGGCGTTTCGTGGTCCTCCTTCCTCCAACTTGGCGCCGATGAAAAAGCAACATTCTGCATTTCCGAGAAGTGATAATGATAATCCTGAAGTACTGTCGGCTAGAATGAAAGAATCAAATATTCCCTCACTGTCCTTTAACGTGGTTCATGATCATCAGGATGGCTTGTCAAGTACACGGTGTGGCAGAGATGCTCGTCCAACACTGGACCGCACTTCGGAGGAGACTGCTCAACCCGGGCCGAGTGCCGCAGTGGAGAAAGTGCGTTCTCCGCGAGATATCTCAAGACCGGACTCGCAACCAGACTTGCCAAGTCGTGCTTCAAACTCCAACCCACAAAGATCGGAAAACCAACGGCATATAGATCGACACAGGACACGCTATGTCCGGCCTGCCGTCATGCTAGCCGGTATCGTATCGGTCTTTGCTCTCTGCTGGTTCCCATTCGCCATTTATTACATCTATGTACATATTGTTTGTCCGGCTTGTTACTCCCACAGAATTCAGTTATGGTTGCGGTGTCTCATGTACGCCAATTCAGCCATAAATCCATTCATATACGCGCTTACGGATCGGAAAATCAGACACTGGTATGTTAGAATATGGAGACAGCTCAGACGTCGTTTGACAAGAAACTTATAAACTTTTTTTGTACAGAATACCTTACAAAAACATCATTTGTTTATCAGGCACGAATTCAAAACATATACAGTGTTTCATTCAACGAATTCTCCATTTCATTCGGCGAATTCATCAGGATGAATGCACCGAATGAAATGATGAAATTTATTTATTTATTTATTTATTCCTGATCTTTTATCAAGGTAGCCCATTCACATAATGTGGTCTTCCACGGGGCCCTGAGCATATAATTATAAATAAATAAAACAAAACTAACAATTACCGAATGGAGTGATGAATTTGCCGAATGAAACATTGTATATGTATTAAATTCGTGCCTGATGTACAAATGATGTTTTTGCAAGGTACACATATTCTGTAAAGTTTATAAGTATGAATAATGCAGTTATGAATTCACAGAATGAGGCGATAAAATTGACGAATGGAATGATGAAATTGCCGAATAGAGTGGTGAATTTGCAGAAAGAAAATGGAATTCGCAGAAAAGAATGAGGAATTCGAAGCAAAACAAATAAGGAGTGATGATGAGTTTGCCGCCATGATGAGTCTGACGAATTGAGTGATGCGCATGGGCGTCAATCCTGGGGGCCGGACAGGCCCCCCCCCCCCCATTTTTCGGGGCCCTTAAGCGGGCCCCGAACGCTATGCCTTAAGCTGAGAATACCTCTAAAATTATGTTTAAATATTTATCTTTAGCTAAGAAAATATTGGTTAAAGTGGTCAGAAATTGCCTCAGATCGCACCACGGAGCATTTAGAATCCAAAATTGTTCGGGGCCCTTAAGTGGGCCCCGATCCTATGCCTTTAGCTGAAAAAAAGCTGGAAAATTATGTTTAAATTATTATCTTTTGCTAAGAAAATATTGTTTAAATTTGGCAGAAATTGCCTCAGATCGCACCACAGAGCATCTAGAATCTATTTTTTTTCGGGGCCCTTAAGCGGGCTCCGAACCACACGCCTATAGCTCAGAATACCGGTAGCTGATTCAATTACTCCAACCTCGAAAACGATGTTCAAATAATTATCTTTTGCGAAGAAAATATTAGTTAACGCATGGAGGAAAGTGGTAAGCAATTGCCTCAGATCACACCACAGAGCATCTAGAATCAATTTTTTTCCGGGGCCCTTAAGCGGGCCAGAATTAATTTTTTTCGGGGCCCTTAAGCGGGCCCCGAACCCCACACCGTAAGGGCTTCGCGCTCGCATCAGTTCTGATCAAGGTATGCCCCCCCCCCCCCACTTTTGAGAAGCGATTGACGCCCCTGGTGATGTGAACTATTCAATCCATTTTTTTTGGCGTTCCATATATGATAATGGGTTTTCTTCTGTATATACTGTCAGTTCTCCAAGAACTTTATAGTTCCGTATTAACACATCATAGGCCTGCCGCAAACAGCCTGTTTGTTCGGGCCGCGCGTGTCCCCCAAATAAAACGATGTTGTGTTTTAGTGTAACCATAAACCACGGCCAATTTGTCAGTTTGATTCAATATTGGTTCGGGACAGTTTGTGTATTTCACACTCGAGACAAAACGCAAACCGTTGGCGATGAAGGAATGAAAGGTGTATAGGCATAATTAAATTGGCAACAGGAACAGACAGACGTGACCGGGTGTCTGGATCGTCACGTTCATCTAAGGGGATACTGACTGACGCAAGTGAAGATCGTGAACTTTCTTGTTGAATTTGGGAGCGAGACCTTATAGTATGAATCGAATAATTCTGTAGTATTATTTCAAAACACACAGCCCGTTAAAACTTGCAGTATTGAGAAATTCGACCGATTTGCAACGCATCATTTGAATAAAGTCTTTAAAGGGTTCATGAAGTGAACTTTTCTAAGGAACATTATTTTGTGCTCTTAAATGTACGAAACACTTAAACTTATCCATGCTTTTTTCGGACGACTGAGGGTGTTGTTGCTGTGATGTCATTGCAGGAAGACACTGTTAAGTTTAGGGGTTTTCTGTTCAAATTGTGATCCTAACATTTGCTCATTGAAAACGCTTGAGAGAAAAGTTTGTTCATTGGCTTACTGCCATGTACTGACACAACAACGAATCATCATAAGAAAAGAAAATTTATGGCAGCGAAATATCCAAAATTCTTGCAACTTTTGGTGCTGAAATACCTGTAACATTGAGGTTTCTGCCTGCATGACATCACACTTTTGCTCGTGACTATGGATATTCTCATTAGCATAAAATTAAAAAAAAACTACCCAAGTACCCTTGAAAATGGCAAAACGAAAATTGAAAATAGGGTTTAAAGGGACACAAACGTGTATTTTCAAGGATTGTAATAATACAATGCAACTTCTCACTAACTTTTTAGTCTAAGATCAGAGTATTGCTTAATTTGTCTTTATCCTGTCATTCCTGTGTAATTGATTTTATTTTAAATGAATAAAAAGGAAATCTTGTATCTATCACCATGCTTTGTCACTGAATTTCATGGAATGCGGAGGTTAATTGAAGACGGTTTCTGTGATACGTGTGACCCGAATGCGGTGATTATGTTTGGCAAACCTAGGGGCCTTTTCACACTGTTGGCGTGCTGAAATCAACACAAACCCACCTCAAGCGGAACCGGGCCCGTGTTAAAATAACACGGGTAGTCGGGTATATATACAGGGTGTCTAGAAAAATACCATCGAACCTGCAAAGCGACTTTTTCACAGCTTGGAAAGATTTCCATATACGAAGTTCACTAATTTTCCTCTGTATTGACTAACAAGCCCCCAGATAGCAATTTCATGTCATCAAAGTCAATTTGAGCAGTGAGAAAATACAAGCATTTTCTTAGAAAACACTTAGAATTTTTCAGTCCAATCTCATAGGGTTTGTAAACAGGGTGTTGGGTGAACTTCGTATATGGAATTCTTTCCCACAGCTTTACAAATACAAAATGTCTATACATATTTAGAGAGTATAGTCCATTAGCTTTTCAACAACGAAAACATTTTTCCAATCAGGTAAATATTTATTGAGTTATGGCCAATTGAAAACAAGTACCGCTTTTTCATTTTGTCCACGGCGACTTTATTTTGACTGCCGCCATAAGAACACGGACCGAAAATTGCATTTGTGGAAAAAAGGTTACAAAGTAGAGGGCAGAGACAGAGCAACACAGTATAAACATCTATGTAGTTAACCAAACTAGTCCTTTTCAGGACTACCATTACTTCCAAAGGATTAATGACCATTGTTGCCCAAAAACATTAAAAATGAAATGAACAAAATAAATAAAGAAAGATTAAAATATTAAAGAAAGCAAAACTACCCTCACCCAAATCCATCATATTTCTAACAAATGACAACATACCTTAAACATGCTGCCACCATTTCAGTCATGTTCTCTGTATCCAATAACAGCACTGAATGATACTGTTTTTTGTGCAAAAAGGAACCAGACTATTTTTCCTTCCAGCCTTGCTTTGGTTACGTTGATTTGAATGGGAGAAAAATCAAGATGGCCGCAACATGATAATGGTCTGTTTAGACCATGGACAGATTGAAAAATCAGCACTTATTTTGAATTGGCCATAATTCAATAAATATTTACCCGATTAGAAAGATTTTTTTCATTGTTGAAAAGCTAATGGACTTTACTCTCTAAATGTGTATAGATATTTGCGATGTATTTTTTTTTTATAAAAGCTGTGAAAAGAGGACGCTTTGAGGTTTCGGTTTTTGTTAAGACACCCATAGGCAAAGCGTACAGTTCACACTTACATGAGGTGAATACGGGTCGGCTGTTGCATTTGGATTTTATTTTTTACAGCCTTCAGCTGAAGTTGAGTCATATTTAGATTTTTGTTTGTAATAACTATATTGTCTGTGTTTCATGAATCACGCGTTAACCAATGCGCAACTCCCTTGACCAGCACAACTCAAGGTTATTTTGATTTTGGTAGAACGTATCGACATGACCTACGTGACTAAAACAATATTCAACATCTGACGAATGAGTGATTGATTCGTGACTAGTAATGGATTTTGGCGTCCGGAGAGATGTAAATTTCAATATTACTTTTTTTGGTCATGATACCGACTGAGTGCGTTTGTGGTATTGTTTCATATTAATGACTGAGCACAGGCCTTGATTATTAATATAAAAAAAAAATCCCGTTAGTGAAGGGCATAAGTCAACGATCACGAACGTCGCCAGATTAATTTTGAACCCTGTTTTGGACGGTGCTGTGACTCGCCCGAATGAATTCCCCTAATTCAAGATTTTTCATAATAACGCAGCTGCGTGTTTCTGAATTCGTCAAAGCAAATTATACGGGCTGGGATTTCACATTTGACATTTATCTTGATGTCAGTACCGTGTTAAAGGTCCGTGCAAAGTACAGTTTTTTAGACACAACTTGTGGATTCATGTAGCCAAGGAAACGTATACAACAGGGAAAAACAGTTACGAAAATACCAACGTTCCCCCTAAGTTTACTTACATGACTTAGGTATGTGTTATGTATATACAATATTTGCTTTTGCTGTATTTTTCAGAAATGGTTGGATTTGGGGGCTAGAATTCCATAGCAAATATTGTTACACTGACCTGTTTAAAGTTTTGTGTTCAAAGATGAGGGGGAAAAACAAGTAAAAAATGTTTTCTTGTAGTCTGGTTCCCTGACCCTACCTCATACAAGCAGCAATTTTATTTCACGTCATAATTGTCAGGTCAGGGAATTGTCAGGTCAGGGAACCAGACTAGTTGGCTTGCACCCGTTCACGGATGTGCAACCGATTGCAAACAAAATGTGGACTAACTAAATTTGGTAAATTGGGGGTAGTATTTAGAAAAAGTCAGTTTTTTCCAACGATGGTCGGCCGACCATCGTTGGAAATTTATACCAAAAAAATCCATCTTTCTTGAAAATGACAGCACACCAGGTGCCAGGATTTGAGGATGCGTGAGACTATTATTCACTTACAGTCAAGTAAGGTATTCATAATAATATTTGGTAGTTTCCCTTTTTTGGTGTTTGCACAACATGTTGTATATTTAGCTTTAAACAATGTAGAACATTTTTATCTTCAAAATGTAGGGACCTCAACTATTTGATGTAGCTCTTATATCTCTGAATTACATCAATAAAAAGGGCTAAGAATAAAGATTCTAGGGACATCGTGTGAATGAGCCAAGCTGTCCATGATCTGCTCTTCAGTCTTCACATTATCAAGAATAAATCATAATCCGACAGATCTAGGGCATGTTGATGCTGCTCTACTTTTATACAGTCCGCCAAAGTCCCACAGGTTTAGCCAAAAAGTGTAGGCCTACTTTTTCTGAACAAAACAATGCGGACGTCTGAGAGTTGTGACCTACATTTTACGTCTGTCCCCGTGTAAAGAAATAAAAGAGTGGAATTGTTTACAGCAAACTCGGGTCACGTCAATCCTTCGACCATTGCACTGATCGAATTTAAATCTGATCGTCTAAATATAACTTGCATTACTCAAACTGGTCTACGGTTACTGGAACAGCGTATTGCATTACTGAAGCAGTATGGGCCTACTTATTGTTTTGCAAAGATGCAAATTGTCACTGAATTCCTTGAGAACTAAATTCCTTGAGAAAAAAACTTACAGCAATTAAAACACAAGAGGGGAATCATCTACATCTACATCTACATCAATTTTATTCCTCGTGGATATAGGTCGGCACGGACATCCGGGATTTGTTTTTTTTTACATTGGCTTATCTAGCTCCTAGACCTATTTTCTTGAAACTCAAATCTTGAGTCTGGAGAGCTGAATGGTATTAACACATATCAGCCGATGCAAACTGTTGTGCAAATGATTAGATGTTTTCATCGGATGACGTCAGCCCGCCCCCACCAAGGCAGCTGCTCGTGTAAGTGGTGGACCCTCACGGGACGGTTGGTGGCGCTGCGTACGTTGCCTTCTTATAAGAGCCAGTGAAGGACATTATGTTCAAGTGAATAGTTTACAAAACCGAAATGTCCTCAAGAAAACGCACTGAGTGCCTGCTGTCCGAGGGAAATAGCACCCAAGTATTCTTCAATAACACGACTGTTTGCACGGACTCCATAGACCAGTACCAATGTTATGACAGACTGTATAAGTGCATGTAAGCTACAATTACAGAAATACTGATATACATAATTTTTGGTTCGGGTTTTTGTGCATTCTAATGTCATCAACTTGAATGCTGATATACCTGATTAGCTCTGAATGTAGATACAACGCCTCACGAAGTCATATCTCGAATTAAACTCGGATAAAACACCCTTTCCAAAAACAACTTGCAGTTTATACAAACGATTTTCAAAAACTTGCCCGCTCCTGAAAATCTTACCCTGCCCTTTTTGAAATCCACATTTCTTTTGATTTCGAACCTCTTATTTTAACGTTTGTTTCGCTGGATCATTTAGTTCAAGTGTCGACGATGTTACCTAACATGTTAGTATAATTACAAGGTACGGAGCGCCAATGAGTCACATTGTTCTTGTCATTCACCGCCTTTCCCTAAAGAGTCACCGGAGATCCCAATGAGCCTTTCGTAGTCTTCCCTCCGGTCGTTAGCTTTGCCTCTCCACCACCTGCTCCTCCGAATAAGATCAATCGTCAACAAAGGGACTGGAAGTAATTCTATACCTCCGAGCACGATGAATGACGTATCGTAGTTACCGCTGACGTCATATAGCCAACCTGAGACGATAATTAAAAACATAATGTAATGAATAACGTGAAAAAGTAATCTCCCATTTTGGCCTAGGCCTATATCTTTAATATTCCACAAAGATTGACATATATAAGTGAAAGTCTTGAAAATTATAAGCTTTCTTTCTCAATCTGCTTCATAAGATTTTAGGGGCGTGCACGGTGAACAACAAGGAAGCTTCGAATCGGTAAATTTGGCACAAACACTTTTTTTTTCAATTCTTTATCGGCTTTTAAAAATTGTGAGTCCAATATTATGAGTGCTTCGGAAACATTCAGCATTTGGCCTGAAGTGAAATGGCGGCGTACGTGGTTATTTGTCCCTTGGCTAAAATTTTTGACCAATTAGCGGCAGAGACAGAGTTGAAGCTGTGTGTCAGAGGGATATCCAATCAGGCCATACTTATTAATTACTGCTATGAATATTCAAAGACCTACAATTTTACCTGGAAAGAATCCCATAGGCATGCGGAATATCCCAAGAACCACAGTGCACCATCCTAGCGCGACGATGAATCTTTGATCTCCAACAAGATCTCTGAGAACCGTCATTCCAAGCGGGTACAAAGTGCCGACGGCTAAGCCATAGACTGTCCCCAACACGAACATGCTGGCAAAGGTCTTGGCTAGCGGGTCTAGCATCAGACTCACTCCTGCTGTCACAGCGGTAGCGTAGAGTAGAGCGGTGCTCGTGATAAGTTTACTGTCTACGAACACGCCTTGCACCACCTTGCCAAGGAGGTTAGCAACACCGGTACCAGACGGCAGTGTAGCCGCTTGATACGGTGTCAAGCCAGCCTCGAGACCGTGAGGCACAAGATATATCAACCAGGCTAAGAATGTCAGCCTCTCGAAGCACAGCACACAGACGATCGTGACGAAACTAAAGTTCTTCAAGAGATACAGATGGCTTGATTGGATGAATTGCCTCATCCTCCGTGTCCTTGTTTTCTCATTCCTGTCTGGTGAAGATGCTTCGTCAGCAGTAGGCGTGTCTCGTCTTTCGACTCCCCGAATGACAACAGGCCTAAGTACAGCTCCACAAACCGCCATATGAAGACAAGCCCCTCCCCACATTAGAAGGGTTCCCCTCCACCCGTAGGTATCTAGAAGAATTTGAGCCATAGGCGGAGCTACTATGATGGCAATAGGGATAGCCGACAAGGCCAGGCTGTTTGCAGTAGCGTAACGAGCTTGGAAGTACCTACCGATCAATGCAAGTGGTGGATTCTCCACCATTCCCAAACCGAGACCTGAAACGAACAAGAAGACAATTGTAGAACTTCTTGCAAAGTCTTGAGGAGGACATTTAGGAGTCGATGGGATTGGGGTAGATTGTCACACCTTGGACCTAAAGTGCGCAGGTAAATCATGTACCTTGAGTACAAATCAAACCAATTATCTCTTGATTCGCACTTTGTCACATTTATTTCAGTGCTTTTTTTGTACAGATTGAAAAGAAATGAAAGTTGCAGACTAAAACAAAATGTGAAAATTATATTTTGCATGCATCGAAACTAATTTCTAACTTCGCAGACAGCTAGAAGTTTAGGACCTAAAGGACGGTACAATCATGAATAATTTTCCAATTAAAATCGAAATCTGACAACGGTTAAAAGTGGACTTTATTTATGCATTCAACTCTCTGTGTTCCAAGGGTAATTACATCAGTTATCGATCACATATTTTCTCTCAACGAAGAAGTTTTGCTCTCATTACATCATTATCATGCTGTATTTAGACGTGATTTGTCTGACCTGTTACGATGGCCGACAGGAGTAGGTGAGCTGTTCCGACTGCCAGAGAGCTAGAGACGATACCGATACCAACCATCAAACCACCGGTCATGACCACAAGGCGGTGACCGCTCTTAGAACACAGCCATGCCGCGGGTAGACCTGTAAAGAGAAGGGATAGACATTATTGCCCCATGGTCACATCAAGTTAACAACTATACAATAAAATGGTGTGATATTCTTTTTTTTGGAGAATGTTTGTACCTGGGTGTCTGACTGTCGTTGTGCTGGCTGCAGGTTTGAATAAATACCAATTTCATTTATTCCGCTCGCCAGTCTTCCACTTGAAATTAGCACTTTTCAATTCTAGTATCGCTTACCGCCCCGCCCATTTTGTTTACTTATTCTTTCTTCTTCTCTTTGTTTTCCCTTTGGCTTTTTTTTTCTACCTATCATTCGCCCCGCCCCTCTTGTTTTTTTAAATTTTATTATTATTATATAGAAAAAAGAAAACAAAATATAATTGATTAATAGATTCTGGTTTTCCTGTGGTAGGATGGCTCTGTAGAGGTGCTAGTCACCTGTTCCATCTTGCCACTCACTGGCTTAATCTGTACGTATTCTGGCATAAACTCTTTTTTTAATGATTTATTGAAATTGTAAATTCTCTGTATTTTTTTTATCTGTGATTCTGTATATCTTGTAATATTTGTTTTTTATATCAGCCAGTGGAGAAGTGTAATAAAATAAAATTTAATTAAATAAAATAAACCGTGACAATACTTTCATATACTTTCATTTAAATGCTTTAATTGAACTTGGATGCACTTTTTTTAACAAGATTTATTCCAGACAATATTTAACTTGATAAATGAATTGTAGGCCTTTGCATGTAACTTGAAAACGTTCTTCATATGTCAGACTTTCCCCATCATAACAAGATAGCTTTTGATTCCGAAACTTGATCATGAACCTTAATTTTGACGAATATTACAAGTTCAACCCAGCCTTTATATTCTTAGAAAAAAAATCAGTTATACGTTTTATCTTGCCTGCCATTTTGAAGTATGAAAACTTAACATTATATGAAAGTTAACCGTCTACCTTTCGCTACAACTGTATGGTCATTAGGCTTCAAAAGTGGTTCTGATGCTTTCAATATTCGATGTTAAGTGGAAAACTCACCAGTAAAGTCGGATATGGTAAACATGACACTGATCAGCCAGCCAACAACCCAAGTATCCAGCTGCATATCGTCTCGAATGCTGGGCAGGAGTACGGCAAAGACCTTGACCGTTGATGACCGAAGGAACGTGGCAATGAAAGTGCTTCCCACCACTAACCAGCCCCACCCACCATCCTTGTGAGCAATCCTTTCTGTGTTCATTTTCGTAGACAGGCAAATTCTCAGATCACATAGGTTTGGTGTTCAAAAGCCTCTCCCACCAGCACTCAAGGGAATTCTTCAGAAAGAGTAAAAGGTAGAAATGTTAGTTACAGATTGCAAAGTTCTTCAAGTTCACTGGATAAATTATAATCTACTTACAAGATGTGTTCCCCGTGCTTTTTTTTTCAGTTTCACTTCCAGTTTCACCTCGAGAAAATAGAATATTTTGCTCAATTTGCTTTTGCCCAAGACATATACAAATTATTCACTTTTGAATGAGACATCGAACGAAAAACATCCACTGACGTTTAGTTATTAATATTCAAAACATACAAATTGAAAATTCATTTGGAGAACAAATCAAAATTTTGAAGAGCACGGAGTGCATATCTTTAACTCTAATTGTAAAAAAAGGAAAATTAAATTGTCCGATATTCCAATTGTTCTGTCAGTATCGTGCGGTATTCAATTTTAGTCTCATAGTCATACGTATGGATTGACGAACATGCAATCTATATAAAACATTAAAAATCAAGTTGATTTTTGTTGGTAAGATTAATCATCAAACCAAAGTTTTAACCACAAACTCACCCAATGTTAGTGTCGGATGGTAACTCAAACGATCTCGTCAGGATAGTATGGTAACAGTGGTCGAACTGTAAACTGTTCCATGGGAAGGTTTATCCACACAACTCAATGAATGACGAACGGTTTATATATGTTAGAGAATACTTCGCTCGTACCCCCGCCCTGTAAACAGGACGTTGGGATACTCTGATGAATTCGCGCTCTGATTGGTTGGATTTCGCGTGACCTGTGACCTGCGCGTCATCACGCTCATGACTCTGCAAGGTTTAAAACGGCCGTTAACTATTTTATTCCAGTTTAGAGATGTTTTTTTTGTTGAAAAGCGTAATAATGTAGGAAATTCTGTAAAAATTATCTGTGTTGTAAATTTACTTGCTCAGGCTCCGTTTCGAATCACGAACGGTCGGATTGCATTATGCGACTCGAAATTTTCCACATTCCACGCTCGAAAAAGTCCACATGGTCCGCAATGAAACAGAAATCACATCCGGTATGGAATGTGCGCATTTCGATGGGAAGTTTTCGGATAACATTTGCGCACATTGTCTAACTGCGGTCTTGAACAGCTGCAGTCAGATGCTTTATACATAGGACTCAGGCCACTTCCTTCACAAGATTCTGTTAAGCTCATCAGCCTATCCCAGGGTTCAAATATAGCACGGCGGGGGTACGAGCGAAAGAGGAAACTTGTATTATTTGATTAAAAGATGGCATCAGGTGCAGTGTACCAGAGCATGAAGTAATTAGCAGGTCATTGGGGAGAATGTGTGGGCGGTTTGAAGGTTAACGTCCAGCCGGAACCGCTTAGTATTGGTCCCTTTGCACCCAGACGAATCACAGATCACTTGGTTATTTGCAATTGATGTAAGATGTTCCACCTCAAACGGAACTCATCATGTTGCACTTGCGTAATGCGGCGACGGGGGATGTTGGGGTTTTCAACTCGTGAATGATCTAGGAATGCATTTCTTTCTTTTAGTATAACTTTGCACATTGAGGAGCGCATTTTTAATATCGTAAGAAACACCTGTGCCGAGGAAAGTTTTCGCGAAGAGCGCTCATTGGCTGTGTAATTGATTGGTGTTAAATATTCATGAGAAGCCGTGTTTGCCTTGGATACGCCACTCCCACCGTACACAACACATCTTCGAGCTAGACACTGGTACGCGGCAAGTGTGCAATGTACCGTGCAGAAACGCGTGAACCAGCACAGCCAGTTAGTAGTAGTGCACGCATGTAGTAGGGAAGTACGGCGGTAGTTTGCGAGTGTGTAAATTCTAAGATTCTTTATCAAATTCAAGCCTCAAAATGGAAGTTGTGACAGCAGTTTTAGAAAATCTGAAGGAAAAGGGAGGTGATCTCAACCGATATCCCGGTCTGATGGACAATGGTGAACCAGTAGCGGCCAAATCAGCATTTAGTTACGTTCCAACAGTTCGAGGTGATCCGAAGGAACATTCAGTATTCAATAGCACGCAAAAGGTAAACAAATTCGTTCACTTCCTAAACTAAAGAATGATCTTGCTTCTATATCTACCTTTGTTTTTTAACCGTTTACGTGATGTTCAACATTAATAATTGTTATCTTATATACAGTGTCATTTTCAAAGAATAATACATGTTTTTGCGGCTGCCTTTTGTATTTAAACTCAAGTTGTATGCTTTTTATAGCTCCATGTCCCATGATAGTTGGAGTTACCCAGCCCTGAGTTTTATCATTGGGTTGTCATCTAGGGCTGGAGCGCATTTTTCTCGTAACTTGTAGTATTTGCAAAATAAATTTGGAAAATGTTCAATTTTGTCCCCGTTACACACTAATTGCAACTGCAACTCACCCCAAACTTGCCTGGAATAACCATTACACAGGTCCTTGAAGTAAAAAACGATCCACGATGAAGATTCAGCCTACAATTGCAGTGAAAACAGGAGGAATAACCGCTAACTTGACAACCTTGCTGGATTGGCCAGGACCGCTATTGGTTTGTGCACAAAAAAAATTGTGTACAATGAATGGCGGTCGATTAACAGGCACAGAGAGCGATCGCTGTCAACTACTCGTTTTTGCCGGCTGCGCTGGCTGTTGGCGCATGACGTCACGCGGAAGCGTAACACCCGATGACTGTTTCATGCACTAGTATAAGGTTTACCACTCGCATCACAGCTTTGGTACTGGAACCGCAACCAATAGTGCATGAAACAGTCATCGGGTGTTACGCTTCCGCGTGACGTCATGCGCCAACAGCCAGCGCAGCCGGCAAAACGAGTAGTTGACAGCGATCGCTCTCTGTGCCTGTTAATCGACCGCCATTCATTGTACACAATTTTTTTTGTGCACAAACCAATAGCGGTCCTGGCCAATCCAGCAAGGTTGTCAAGTTAGCGGTTATTCCTCCTGTTTTCACTGCAATTGTAGGCTGAATCTTCATCGTGGATCGTTTTTTACTTCAAGGACCTGTGTAATGGTTATTCCAGGCAAGTTTGGGGTGAGTTGCAGTTGCAATTAGTGTGTAACGGGGACAAAATTGAACATTTTCCAAATTTTTTTTGCAAATACTACAAGTTACGAGAAAAATGCGCTCCAGCCCTAGATGACAACCCAATGATAAAACTCAGGGCTGGGTAACTCCAGCTAGCTCCATGAATGATTGATACAAAATGATAGCCCCACTTGTGTGGCCTCCATATTGTAGTCTGGTTCCCAGACCAAAAGATTCTGACTAGGCCTATTCCAGATGAATCTTAGGTCAGGTAGCCTCCGGTAATACATTGTATTACATTTTACGTCACGTGACTAAAACGGGAGGAATTCTTCCTTTTTCCGAAAATGTCCGAAGTTTGCCGAGTTCATTTCGTCGACAATCGGATAGCGCCGAGTATTTCCGAGTTTAATATAGGATTAATTAACTTCTAATTGCTTATTAAAAACTTTTTAAAATGAGTGGATAATTAATATTCATTGCTTTCATTATAAAGAAAACTTGAAATTGAACGACGATTTTGTGCATCAAAATAGGCCTATACTCGGATCGTAGAGGCGAACTTTTTGCTGTGTCATGTGCTATTTTGAATTTGACGACCGTTACGGAGATTTTCCAAAACTCAGTCTTCATTCGGCTCCGCCTGCTAACAGTGCTATTTGGGTGCCTAATTTTGAAGAGTCCAGATCAACATTAGTCAATGTTATCTTACAGAAATATCAAACTGTATGATCATAACTGTATGATATTACGAAGCAAATAATTTACTTACAAATTTGATCAGAACATTAAAAGCTATCAGTGATAAAGCGAAATCGGAAACGAAGCCGAGCTTTGAAAAAGGGCCGTCAATGTCGTCATGTTTAGTTTTAGCCATGGAAGCTGCCTGACCTACAATTTAGACGTGAGCGTCGGGAATAATTGTCAGGTCTAGGGACCAGACTCTCCATATTGCTGTGCTGTACGTACAGCACAGTAAATTTGTTTTTAATAAAAAAAAAAAAAATTAATGAAAATTCCACAAAAGATCAATTTTTAAAGGTGTTTATTTTTGTTGGACTGGGCATCAAAAGAAGCTTTATGCAGTGGCATATGCTGATAATTACGGTCCTTTTTGGCATTGGATGCTTGATCAATTAAAAAAAAGCTTTTCAAATTTATTTCACAAAGAAATTAGACTTTGAGTTTAAACTAATTATCTGAGAGTTAAAAAGCAATAAGCTTTTTTAATGAACATTCCACAAAAGATCAATTTTTAAAGGTTTTTATATTTGTTGGACTGAGCATCAAATAAGGGAACAAATATATTGCATGGCAGGTATTTACAATTTATGCAAATTAGGCATATTTCCACCACTTTAATTGTTATGACTATTAGTATGTCATTCTAGGGACCTTATGGAAACGCACTATGGTGATAAAAACTCTGTTGCAATTTGTGTCACGTCAAACCTTAATTTGCCTGGACGATGAACAGCCATATAGTTTATGTATGGAATTAACAGACCTGGAATTCCATGTGTTAATCAAAAGTGGTGAAGTAATGTTGTACATCTCAAGTTGTCCTTTATGTTGTGCCTTTGACAGTGATTCCTTTTGGTTAATTGTCGTGATATAAATTATGAGAAATGCTATAGTGCAGGAATCTTTAATCAGATGTACTTTTGTAGGATACCACTTTTCTCCACATATACCCCAATGATGGTCAGTCAGTACAAACAGGCACGGATCCAGAGAGGGGGGGGGGGGGTTCAAAACACCCAAGGCCAGCTCTGACTCAATTTTATTTCCATAGAAATATATACACAATTATGTGAACCCCCCCCCTCCCTGCTGTGTCAACCCCTCCCCCCCCCAAGAAAAAAAATAAAAAATGTCCCCCTGTGCACAACATTTGGACCGAGCCATTTGGGGTACGGGGGTATTTGTAATGTAGTGTTTATGATTGTCTGGTTTGAACAGTTCCCCCTTTGCAAGTATGGTACAAGCCAGCCCCCCCCCCCCCCCCCCCCCCCTTAAATGATTTTACGGAGGCCAAGTGTCTGGGGGAAAGGCAATTTTACAACTTTTAAAAATCACTTAAATGTTTAATGTTTCTAGCCATTTCACAAAGGCTGACGCACTTCGGTGCTTCTAAGGTTTCAACATCATTAATCATTCGTGCTATTTATGTTTAACTAAAAGGAAGATCGTGTGCCTTTTTTATCATTCTGATTTTGTTTAAACTTTTTGGAAAATTTGCAAACGGACTTAGAATTTTGTTATGTGGACGTGCAAACGTCACATCCTTAACAAAAACCTGATCAAAGGAAACTATTTTGATAATCATAAATATTTTAGATTATTTCTCGTAAATTTTGCATTTAAATATTATATTTCATTTTCATGTTTGTTTTACAGCCCAGACCACATTCCACCTACGACAGATTGTTTCATAAGCAAGAGGGATATAACAACAAGTTACATCGATGTGACAGAGAGCATGCAAAGTCCAAGGGTTTGACCGTTAATGATGAGGTAATTAAATGTTGCATGCTTTAGTTTTATCGTACGCTGGTGTTATCTTTCAATGGAGATGGAGTATACCGAAGCAATGGAAAGGGCAAAGATAAATTAGCCTAGAACTCTAAAAGTAGAGTAGATCATTCGTCATTTGTGCATTTGTTTGGTTTAAAGCAACAAAAGTTCTCAAATTCTAAGGCGGGTGCTTAACAACTAACACCTGATGAAGTTTTAGCTCTGTGAATGCTGCAGTATATTCTGAGAAAACAATATTCTGGGATCTCCATTTCAATTCAAATGTTGACATCAGCATCCGGAACACGTTCTCATTCAGCCGATTGCAGCTATACGATGTCACGCACTGAACCGATGAATATTAGCAACCGTGTGCGAGTGTGCATCATGTCAACGCTTGTGCACATCCATTCATGGATTTGCCTAATAACCAACTAGTAACGGAAATTTCAAAAAAATGTGTCACTTGGATCATCTTTGGAAACAACCTTCTTTTACCGTTTTCTTCAAAATGACAGCATGCCAGAAGGAATCATTTCACAGGGATGTTAGTACCATTAGGCCTACTATCTTTAAACAAATTAGGCTTTTAAACACTAATTTGGTCAGTTACTTTTTGGATAGCTGCAAATGATCTACTCTTTAATAGCACTAGGGCATTGAAAATTGTCTTAAAACAAGAAAATAAGTGAAATATCAATTATTAACAGAACGAGGCAGTAGATGTATTTATGTTGTTTCAGGGCACCTGTAGATCATTCTCAAATGCACATGGATGGTTTAATGAGATGCATGCAGTGGTGTATCACTATCGGTTGGGGCAAGGTCGGACTCCATAACACAATTTTTTGGGGGCAAAATTTTTTTGGTTCCCTGAAAAAGTGTGTCTACAAATTTTCCGCCCCTAATTTAATATGAAAAGGGGAGGGGGGGGGGGGGCAGTAGGACTCTTCATGGCATTGGTAGGACTCTTCATGGCATTGTTAAGGAGCAGATGCACAATTAAACAGGCGGTTCTGGGAGATTGAACCTCGTGTGTCGTCACAAGCGTCTGGCAGGCCAGCAGTGCCAACAACAGAGCCCCTCTGCAAGGCCTAATCTCCTGCTAATCCCCCATTGCCCACCGGTGACGTCGAAGGCGTTGAATTTACATGTAAATGGAATCTACCGATCAATTGAGGGTGAGAGGAACGCGGGCTTGACTTGATATGTTGACACTAAATGTACATGTATATGTTTCTCTCTTCTTATTCACGTTAATCAGCAGATAGTTTTCTGTTCATTTCATTGAAATAAAGGCTCTAAGATTCCACGCCCAGTGACGCAACCTTTGGAATAGTATTTGAATTTTCGATTAAAACACAATCTGTTCACGTCTTCAAACTTTGATTGAGACAAAACTCCATTTAATCATTACTTTAACGTGCAAACATTAACATAAATAAGTAACAACCAGGTCATAGACTCTGTCCGGGTTCAAGTTGACATTTCCAAACCTCACCATAGAAGGTCGGTCCTATAGAGCGCTACTAAGTAAGATGCTGACGTCCGTCCGGCTGAAGAGTTCATTGGACGGAGAGAGCCTGCCACCAAATGCACAAAGCGGTTTGAGCAAAGAGGAGGTTCGGGAAAAAGAATCCGGTCTTCAACAATGCCATGCAAGAACCGAATGCCTTCTGGGATGGCCAGACATTCGATGGTTTTCCCATCAGCAGTTCACACCACCCCTGCAAAAGCGAATCACACCCATTCAGCGACTACGAGAAAATTCACCCAATAGTCGCCAATGGTTCTAGGACCAAGTGCTTGGTGAACAATGAACTGTACAACGAAGTGCTCTTTGCGGTCCAGCATGCAACCAGACGTCCAAGAGAATTGTCCCTAACAAAATGCGAGAAACCCAACTGTTTGTTTTGTGCATCTCACCCTGTCCGCGCAGTCAAAGCTGTGGCTGCAACTCGCAAGAATCGCGGCATCATGCTCGTTCCTGAAGAATAAAAAACACACGCTGGGCACTTCCAAACGTAGCTTGAGTTGGCGGCTTCACCAGATGACATGGGCGGGGCGGACAAAATACTTTCCACATTACATGTTCTCATCAAAGGAAGACAAAAAGCGGCACTTCAACATAGAAGTATTTCATTTCTAGACTTTTGGAACCATCAGCTCAATTTTTTTTAGCTGTTTCGGTGTACACACCGAAACAGCTCTTGTTTTTTTTTTTTTTTTTTCTCTTTTTTTTTTTTTTCTTCCACTTTTTTTCCCATAGGATAACACGTGTTTTCGTTCTACAACGCACTTTTGGACTTTTTTCAAATCCGATCGACTTCAAACCTGGCACACACTTAGACCACCATCTGAAGATGTGCGCCGAAACTTTTCGTCACGCTGACGTCATCACGTGATTTGTTATAGATTTTTGAATATTTAATTTTTCTCATAGACTTTGTACACAGAAATTTAAAAAAAAATGTCAATTTTCAGAGGGCATTTTCGACACTTTGCCAGTAATTCATTTACACCAATCTCGAAAAAGGCCCAAACCGGAAGTGGCTTATTATTTAAAAGTGGTAATAGATATGATCTTGCTTTTAACGGTGTTAGTCTCTTGGCTGATAGTATTCTTCAAAATCATCTACCGATGACGTCATGCAATCTTCGAGCGCCCTCTAGCGACAGGTTGAATATTTTCAAAAATGTATGTTGAATAGATGTCTGTGGCGAAGTTTGTCGGAATCGCCTAAATATTGGTGTATATGATGACCTTGACCCACTTAAGACGTGTGCAAAGTTTAAGGTGTATGACGTCATCAGACCGGAAGTTATAATAAAAAGACCCTTTTTCCTTAAAAAATTCCTGAAAAATCAACCATGGCAGTTTTTGTATTAGTTTTTACTTTAATTGTCTATTTAAAGGTAGGTCTAAAATATTTCAAAGCTTCAAGGCAATAAGCAAACTCGGACATGCCCTGCGCACGCTTAAAACTTCAGGTTGACAATAACTCTGCTTTTAAACATGCACAGTCCACAATGTACATGTACATGCACGTACGTTGTACATATCGTATGTCAGTCAGCCCGCGCGCAGCGCACGTGCAGCTGAGGTCAATCCTGTCCACAGTGACCGTTTTAGCCGATTTCCGGCTATTACTTTGACAGATTTCATGTTCATGCATAGTCAGGGACGTAGGATAGACACTTTTTGTATAGAATACGCATGTACATGTTCATTCGACCTGGATGAAACTCCTTTACGGCAGTCATTTATAAAACGGTCGAAACAGCTCAGTGTTTGTCCACAAACACATTTCTAGTTTTATATTATTTTTCTTAAACGTAAAAGGTACACAAAGAATTGAAACTTTATGTTTTGCTGTCGGTGTATAAATGGCCTGGATATCTCACGCGAATAGCTAGCTGACAAATGTATTCGTAAACATAAAGTCAATATATTTGTGCATTTCGAAAGAAATAGAATTGTTTGCAAATAAGATAAGTAATATGCGTTTACTTTTAAAAGAGACCTTGTTGATAAAAGAAAAACACTTTGGGATAATATAAAGGAATTTTAAGACAAATACATTCTTACCCTTTTACAATTTCATAAGTGTGTTTTTATCTCTTCAAAGCAAATTTATGGATAATACAGTAGTTGTTATATCTCGTCGGCTTTTATCTTTTTAGATTTGTCTTTCTCATATTTTTTTTGTAACACTATATTAATTGTTTCAACGGAATGGACTTTATGTAAATGTTTATGCTTTATCATAAATATTCCAGCAATTCGGCGTATGGCTGCAACAGAATATATGAATTAAACCATTCAATTCCAAATGTAATTCAACTCTTATCTCTATCTAGTTGCAAATATGGTGCTTTTAGTTAATAAATATTTAACGTCATAAAACCCCACAAGCGTGACCACTAATCCTGCAATCCCCTAATTATACAGGGTCGACTATTGACGAAGCCTTTTGTGCACCAAAGTGTCCCAATCAACTTGAACCTGCTTTTTTTGTTCGCAATAACCTGGGTGGACTGAGCTGAAGTTGACCCCGCACTGGAGGAGAATATTCATGAATGCATTGTTGGTATGCATTGACGTCCAACCCCGAAAATCCTCAGTTTACCGTGCGGTAAAAACTAAAGTAAAGTCTGTCACGAGCCAATGTGGCCCATCAGGCCGGTGTTTATCTCCGGTTTCCTTGGCATGAAACGACTGAGAATATTTCTACTCCCCCTGAATGGGATGCCAGTCCATCGCAGGATTACTCCCAAGCTAATGCCGGTACCCATTTATACTCCTGGGTGGACAGGGGCAAGTGGGGGTGAAGTGCCTTGCCCAAGGACACAATATATGGCCAGCGGCTGGATTCGAACCCTGAACCCTCTGATCACGAGTCACGAACCCTAACCATTAGGCCACACACTCACCCAGACTTACCGCCCGGTACCGCACAGTTTATTGCGATTAACACAGGAGAACCGCCTGTTTAATTGTGAATCTGCCCCTAATGCTATACACAGTGGCTGCCTTTTTTTAGACATTACGTTTAAATCAAAAACAAAAAAAATCGGGTTTGTATTTTAAGGGGGCCATGGGGCAAATTAGGGGAACTATGTGTGGTCCACCCCCTCCAACAGTAACATTTGGCCATTCTAAGAGAGAAAAATGATGGCATTGCAATGCTACCTCACAACCAGCACAAGTAATAATACCCCCTCCATCTTTTAACTTTTTTCTACGAACAAAAAAAAAGAGCAATATTCGGCAGCTACATCACTGTACCATGAATATTGAAACACAAAGATAAGGTCAACCAGGGATTTTTTCTTTGTGCTGACATGCAGTGAATGCAGAAAATAATTAGGTCACCAAACACGGTTTCTTGTTCTGCAAATATTTAGTTCTTGAAGGAAAATGAGTTCAAGATAACGTTTCTCTCCATGGAAAAAAATGTCGGCTGAAATTGTGTGACAGATGTCAGCCTTTGTCGGTTGATATAGTGTTGCATGTGTTTGTGTTGTTATGCTGGTGAAATGATCAGCATTTATTATCATTTTGAGTCTTGATATGGAAGATATTATGTGATCCATCATCTGCTATTAACACGTCACTCCAGCAGTATTACACGCTATAATGACTTGCTTTAAATGATCTCCATTTCCTAACGGTTCCAGATGGACAATATTAAAGGCGTTTAAGATCATTTGCTTTTTGTGCATTTTGTTTGTTCCAATTAATAACACCACTCAAATTCCAAGAAAAGAATATTCAAAACCTAACCTGTTGAAGTTTCAGCTCAGTGGATATTACACTTTTCCAGAAAACAGTGAAAAGCCATGCACAACCTTTTCATCACAAAACACGATTTCGTCTATAGCACTCTTTATTTCCAAAGTCAGTTGACGGATCATTGGAAATCACCTACATTTCTTGTTTTCTTCTAAATGACAGCAAGCCATTCAAAATAATTTCACAGGGCATTCATGCAGTACCAGTACGATCTTTAATCAAAGTAAACTTTTGATATGCTGCAGGTTACTTTTGGGGTAAATGCAAATGATTCTATATGCTTTTTAAGATGTAATCATTTAAATTCTATACTAATAACCTGGTATATTTTGTGGAATGTAGTACCAACTTTGGTTTTTAGTGCAAATGTAAAAAAAAAATAGTAATAATAATAAGAATAACAAATAAATTTTAAAAATGGATAACATAGTTAGGCCAAAAAAAGTCTTCGCATTCTGGTCTAGAACTTAATTGCCCCAAAAGTGGAGCGGTGACACATTTTTTTTTGTTTTACTCGTTTTTTCTTCAAATGTCGGCTGATGACTGCAAATGGTGCCCGACTAAATTTAGTGCAAAATGTGAGAAAACCCAGAGAGGCCACATAAAGCTCATACTCGATTGTAACCCCATCTAAAAACACATCAAAATTGTGCAGCAGCAGGATTCCAGTCAAACCAGTGAGTTTGGCGGTTTTGAGACATAATACATTGAATTTTTTTTTAAATTTTGCCGACGCGCACGCAGACCAGAAACCAGAGCCTTATGTTTTCTTCTTTTTTTCCCCTTCTCAGGAAAAGGAGAAGATTATTCCAACGTTATCTTCCACTGTATACGGACACCGGTTGCAGAATTTCAACGATCCACCGGGCAGGGACCACGTGCGTATCGCTCACGTTCAGACAGAGTTCTACAGTCGGACAGGTATAAATATATCAACAGAGGAGAACTGAAGAATAGGAGGATTCCAACGGTTACCAGGGATCCAGTAACACTGATGGGTAAATGGATAATGAAGAGAGGGTCGTTGGATATGGACAACTACACCCTCTATAAAAGTGATGGCATTCAGTGACCTGTGACATTTGACGTTGTGCCGTCACGCTCCAGTGTATCGTAACGGTTGGTAACAGGGTGACCGTTTTAGCCGAATTTCGGCTAAATTTGACAGAATTTTAGTAAAAAACGAGTTTGACAGAAAATATGGAAGAATGAATTTTTTTGGCAGATTTCAGGCAGAAATCTCCAAAAATGGTTATATAACAGAAAAACATAGCAAATTTGAAAAAAAAATGATACATTTGTTTAAAAAAGCTTCAATCTGTTCAAGCAAACCCTTTTCTTGCATAATGGGACGGGTTGCCTCTATCTACTGGGGTTCACTTGGAACTGGACTTCATGACATCTGTGACTATAGGTTGTTTATACATGCAATGTAATTTGAACCTTAATTAAGGCAATACTACAACATCTGCATGTGATTTATAGTACATTTCGAGTGATTCTGGGGAATTTGGCAGATTTTTAAAGTGCATGTAGCAGAATTTTGGCATGACCTTACAGTCATCCTGGTTGGTTAAGGCAGGCATAGCATGGATGAATCTGGACACATGACAAATGTGCATCACGAGGCCCCCTTCAATGGAGAAACCATTGTGCACACTATTATACAAAGCAATTAACTGCCCTGTGATGGATTATCTAACTATAGCTAGCACAATGCTGTCACCATTGAATGAGGCCTAACCTTCCTGATCGTGGTATCGTGACCAGCTCTGGTCTATATTGTTTTGTAGATTCTTTTGTAATTACATGCATGTGTACAGTGAGCAGTTTCTTTTGATAAGCATCGCACAATGCAAGCAAGTTTGATTTTTTTTTGCATTACAAATTTTGTAGAATTTTGTTAATCAGATGTATTTGAATTTGAACTGAATAGCATGTCTAGGTATTTTACATTGCTTTGTATATTTTTTTTTAATTCTAGGCCTTTAAAAATGATAAAATTGTGAATCTTTTATTATCGTTCTTGTTGATGTACACTGTTAAAACCTAATATGTACATGTATATTTCTTCCCGCAATGAAAATAATTACTTGGCCAATGAATCATGCAGTTTAGACAACTTGGTTGTACTCCTCAAGCAGGAATTCGCGAGTATGGCGAATGGTAATCCCCAAGAAAAAAATGCGTCATTTGAAGAAATGTGGTTATAAGGAGAATTTGTAAAAATGGTTGAAACCTGTAGTATGCACCCATCATAATCTCCTCTCACCGAGAACTACACCATCCGTTACATGCATGTCAAGTTTTTGTCAGTGATAAATTTGACCACTTTCTCACATTGGAAAAATAAGTGCTTTTGTACAGGCGATGATGCCCCCAGGGTGGGGATTTGGTCTCGCTGATAGTGACAATCCCCACCATTAGGATAAAGAATTCCTAGTGGAGGGGGAATTGATAGGTGCATAGGTACAGTCATTTCCATATTAAAGGGAATATACATCATTTGCTTTTGCTGTAATTTTCAGAAATGGATGGAATTGGGGGGTTGGAAATATATAGCAAATATAGTTACACTGACTGTTTTGAGGTTTGGGTTCAAAAATGCTATAAAAACCAAGAAAAACAATCATTTTCATGTAGTCTGGTTCCCTGACTCCATTTAAGAAGAAACAGAGCAGTTTACATACATTGGGGAATTGTAAGGTCAGGGAACCAGTCTAGCTGGCTTGTACCCGTTCATAGGTGTGTAATCGATTGCAAACAAGTGCGATGGTCAACTGGGGCCAGTATTTGAAAAAAAGCCAGTTTTTTCCAACGCTGATCGGCCGATCAGCGTTGGAAATTGATACAAAAATACCACTTTTCTTGAAAATGACAGTATACCAGGTGCCATGATTTTACAGGATGCTTTACACTGTCATTCACTAACAGTCCAGCAAGGTATTTCAAAATGATTTGGTAGTTTTATTTTTTGATGTTTGCAAATGTTGTATTTTCCCTTTAAGAGTCAGTTATGGAACAATTTTTGTTTTTACCAAGAAGTATGATAAATTTTTTTCATCAAACTTTGAAATTCACCATTGTGTAATTACTAAGACCATATTGTGGAAGTGTAAAATTATATTTTTATGTAAGTTTCATAATTTGTATATAGCATCATGAGAATAGGCCAAGAAATGTCAGCATAGAGATAGTGAATTGAAAAGGAATTAAAAGGAAAAGGTAAAAGAAGAATGCCAATGTTTGTAAATGACTCAAATCCTTAATCTCTGTTTTTTTTTATTTATTTTTTTTTATGTCAAGTTTTAATCAAAATGCAAGGTTGATCCCTTACAAATTGACTTTTTGAAAGTCAGTACCAAATTGAATAAAGATTTACTGAATTTAATAAAATTCAAGGTTTATTATACCCCCATATAATTTAGATTTTTTGAAAAAAGAATAACTTTTTGCCCTATCGCATTTAAAACCCCAAGGATAAAGCCTTACAAGTTAAATATGTTTTGAAAAAAGAAATTTTGCCTAATGGTAGTAAAAATGCAAGGGCAACCCCTTACAAATAATATTTTTGCGAAAAATCAAATTTTGCCCAATTTTAATAAAAATGCTTTTTAAAGTGTTTTTTTTTTAATAAAAATACTTTTTAAAGTTTTTTTTCTGAAAATTCTAATTTTGCCCAGTTTTAATAAAAACCCAAGCTTAAACCGTTAAATTTTGAACTTTTGAGTAAAAACAAAAGAAAAGTTTCCCAATCTCATAAAAAAAATGCCACGTATCCCCTAAAAAATTGGGATTTTTGAGAAAAAATCATCTACTGACATATTTTAATAAAAATGCAAGGTTAAACCCCTTAAAATTTGTAATTTTTTGAGAAAAAGTGAAATTTTGCCTCCGTTTTACAAAAAGGCAAGGTTGTACTTACAATGTAATTTTTTCTGGAAAAAAAATCAATTGTGCCCAATTTGAATAGAACCCAAGGTCAACCCTTTACAATTTTTAATTGAAACACAATTTTGTCCGATTTCAATAGAAATGCAATTTCAACCCCTACACAATTTTAAAGTTGCAACAAAAAATGGTATCTTGCCCAATATTTAATAAAGAGGCATGGTTAACACCTTATTAAAATTTCGACTTTTTGAGAAAAATAGCATTTTGTCGGAATAAAAAAGGCACGTTTTTTTTTGGTTGGAAAATCAAGTTTTGTTCAATCTATTTAAAAAAATACAAGGTGTTAATCCCTTAAAAGTTTGACCTTTTTTTGATTTCCCCCCCCCCTCCCATTTTAAAACAACCCAAGGTTAACCCCCAGACTATTTAATATTTTGAGAGAAAAAACTATGAAAATATGCCATTATTTTATTAAAGGTTAACCCTAAAAAAAAATATTTTGAGTATTGAATTTTCCTGATTTAATTAAATGCAAGGTTAACCCCCGTACAATTTTGATGTTTTTGAGAAAAATCATATTTTCCCAAATTTTAAATAAAATGCACATTAACCCTTACAATTTTGAAATTTTGAGAAAAATTGAATTTAGCCTAAAATTTCGTACGAATCTGAGTTCATAAGCCCTATTGGGCTCATCATGAAGCTTAATAAACAACTCGGTAAATTTTACATGCATGTGCAAGTAATAATGTACATTTTGGAAAAAATATGACTCTTCCTTCTGGTAGATTATTTTGTTTTTCCAAGTCTAAATTCCCTTAGAAATATTCAAGAGGACTACATGATCAAACCACCTGTCTTTTTAACAAGATTTCTGAACTTTCTTTTTATTTGCAGTTGAAATTAAAAACTGAATGGAACGTAACAAAATCCAGAATTTGAGTATTACAAATGGATGCAGCACTTTTACTTTTTCTCGCACAGCCATCAACAAAACGCATATATCACTTACATTCTTCTTCACATAAAAAAAACAACAAAACAAAACAAAGCTTTGAACTTATTAATTATGTACACTTGTTAATTAATATGGCAAGTTATATATGACGTATATTACGTTAAATGAAAAATTTACAGACTGATATACAGGATCAAGATATACTGGAAGTCAAAGTGGTTGGAAAGAATGTTACTACATGTACATGTATTTGTAAAATGTGTCATGAAGGGTTTTGGAGGATATCTTTTTCAGAAAGCCATCTTCGGTTTTAAAATGTTCGGATAAAAAAAAACATTACTGAGATCACTCCATTAATTCTTAGACAATAACAGACGTGCAGTAACACATTTTTTGGACCACATAATAACCAAGATTCTAGCATTCACCAAATTAAATGAAGTCATTTACTCCTCAAAGAGTTTTGCACACTCAGAATAGAGACTTCACATATACTTCCATCTTTTCTTTCAAATCAAAATATGTCCACAACCAATCAAAATATAAATAAATATAAAACAGAAACCACACACTCTTCTGTGGTTTTCAGAATTTGTTGTGAAATAAAGTAGGTACTGTATACATTGTACTGTAATGAAAATCTAGGTCAGCTTGTGGCCGTTTCAGGAGCAAACAGAAACGTCTTGGAGAGCACTTTGTGGACTAATGGGTTGCCAAACACTGACCGACACAAACATCTCCTTGAACTCTTGGTATACATGTTATGTACAACACAAGTCATTTGATAACGATACTGTACCGAACAACCAATAGACTGTTTGCACTGCAGCCATCTTTGAGGTGTGTGCTTTTGATCAACAGGGGTACCCATGAGCAGACCTCTTGGGCATTCATTGTTAATGAATTAACATAACAAAACACACTGTCAAGATGGCCGCTAAATGCAATCCATCTATTGGCAATTCTATGGAAGAAAACGTATTGTCCATAACACAGTCATTTAACCATGATACCTGGTTAATAATTCAGAGATATGATCCACAACACGTAGTCTGTAATCTCCTTGACCATTACTGGATGACAGATGTATAAGATTGGAAAAATACATTATCAGGTATATTCACTTAGCTCTTAAAAGCTCTGCCATGGACATTACATTTTCTTCCGTAATGATGAAATTGCCATTCATAAGATAGAACTGCCCATATACACAATCTATTTTTGTTGACTCAATGATCATTTGAGTTCAATCCTAATGTTTTACTTTCATTTGGTTATACACTGTACATATAAATGCTTCACTTTTTTTTAAAACAACAAACGTCGGCCAAAGGCAATATCTCCTAACCTCAATTTTCTGCTATTACTGCGATGGTCTTGTGCTTTCATCACCTCCGTTATTAAATTTCAGATCACTTTCTTTAGGTCAGGATGTGACCACGCTGATGGATGTAGCACAAATAAGTGCTCAGGACAGATTAATGCTTGCTGCTGAAATCATGAAGGGACCGCCTCGGTAGTGGTATTTAAGAGTCAGTAGATGATAGACTACTCCAAGCGCTCACAATATTATTAATTATCCCACGAGCGCAAGTGGAACACAGAATGATGTACATGTAGTGAATGTCCCATATGTCTGAGGCTGAACGGAGTGGCATATGGAAGACAGGTGCACTACAATTTGTTTGTGTTTCACCAGTGCAAGTGGGATAACAAATTTATCTTCAAGCAAAGCTGACACAGAATAAAGATGGAACACGCACTCTGCACGCAAACTCTTCAGCAGTGATCTTATTACAGGTGCGTGCAGCAAGAATGGCGCGTGCATCTTAGAATAGTGCGATACGCAGAGTGTGATATGGAGCCTGGTATATGGCATAACACCACACTGTTGTCGTCATGAATCGACCAATCAGGACCGAGGTTTCAAGTTTGCTTGGATATGATAATTTCAATGAGATGTATAGATTGAAAAGAAAATCCTCCCGAAGTCTGGAGTGGCTTTAAGAAGGCAAACCTAAGAACTATTTGAATTCACTTTTGCTTGTTTAGACAACTGATGATGAAACGCATACAGATTTGTTATATATGAAAAACTCACTTCATATTGAACAGAATACAAAACCTCATGTACATGTATTCTCTGCTAAGCACATCCTCTACCCTGAGGGCGCTCTTTACATCTGTCAGCAAATACTATCAACAATGAATCAATTTCTTTGAAAAAAAAAAAAAAAAAAAATGTCCGAATCCTATCTCTTTTTTCAAAAGTACCACAATGTAGGGTCGCTTACTCGGTGCTGGATGTGTTTAAGTAGTGAAATACTTCCTGCAAAATATCATCGGGCAATTTTAAATTTGATGACAAGCTTAAACAGATGAAACAACTTCCACATACACTTTAATCCTGCAGTTTGATATTACTTGTACACACTTCGTACAAAACACCTTTTTAAGTGACCAACACCAGGCAAAACATTACCTTTTTTCATAAATATGCATAAAGTGCAGTTCCACTACGACTTACATAGACCCTTTGCAATCAGCTGCCATGTTGTAGGTGTCTTTTGTTAACTTAATTCATCAACACTGAGTACACAAGAGGTCCACCCATGCGTACCCTTGGGGAGCAAAAGCAAACACCTCAAACATGACTGCTATGCAAAGGATCTATTGCTCCAGCTGTCTGCAAACTCTCATAGTTCTATCAACACTTCAAGTACCGTAAACTGTACACAACATCAGTCTCTAGATCACGCATGCTTTGAGCCAGTCTTGTAGTCAAGTCCATCACAAGTCTATCACAACTCTGGTCAGGTCAGCTGACGAGTCCAGTCACAAGTAACAGGAACAAAGAACTTTTGTCACACTTCACTGAAATAACTTGGGACCGGAGGACTCCAGTAGTTACAGTGTTCGACCCATATGCCATAATACATCGGTTTAAACCCTAGCAAGGAGCACGGTGCTTATGTCCTGGGGCAGGACACTTTACCACAATTGCCGCTCTCCACCCAGGAGTATAAATTGGTACCTGTGAGGGAAGAGACCAAATTGAGCTGCTCTTAGCTGCAGGAAAGTGGTCTTGTGGCCTGTTGAACACGGTAATAATTGTTGAGTACTTTATGACCTGGGGCCAATTTCATAGAGCTGCTTAAGCACAAAATTTGCTTAAGCACAAAAACGTCTTGCTTAATAAAATCAGGTTACCAGCCAAAACTCTATGCAATTGTTATGCTAGGTAAACAACAGCTAAATACCAGTCACAAGCAATGTGCATCACATGGAGTTTTGGCCGGTAACCTAATTTTACTAAGCAATGTTTTTTTCGTGCTTAAGCAAATTTTCTGCTTAAGCAGCTCTATGAAATTGGGCCCAGGCTGCCTTTGATGGAAAGCAGTAGATAAGCACCGTACATCATTATTATTACAGAGCCTGTGAGGACTTGTGATTGACGAGACTACATCACTTTCAGCACCTATGTACATACATGTACATTACAAAATATATCCTTAGTTTTGCATTCTGGCATGAAACATTAGCCTACATGTCCCAGGATCAAATGCTTCATGTCAAAGTCCACCAGCCCGTAATTGTGCAATGTCCTCATGCGTGAAGACGCTAGAACCAACCTCTCGCTTCCAGACTGTATCGGGATCCGAAGGTCCTTCGCTGTCTTCCGACTCCTCCAAAAGACACCACGAGTCTGAATGAGCTACGGATGCGCAATCCTCGTCTCCTCTGGAACGCTTCAACCGATAAGCATCGTCTTCCGATTCATCCTCCTCATGTTCGTGGGAGGATTTCCTCTTTAGGTTGAGTTTCCGTGCCTGATTTGTGGGAGTCTTTGATGGACGACTTTCTGATGCAGCTAGGCTGGGATGATACTTCAACGAGTGCATGGTGGGCTGTGGATCTGTGACGACAGCAATGGAGGACCAAATATTTAGTAAAAATAAAATAATTTGAAAGTGAACTTAACATTTTCCAAAATACAATTGCTCTTTTGGATAGCTGTAATATATGCGAACATGTTTCACCAATAAGTTAATAGAGCCGTGGCCATCACTGGAATAATTTACAAACAAATGACCTAAGCCTGTCCTTGAATCTTTCAAAATTCAAATTTTTAGTTCAAAACAAAATTTGGATATAATGCCTCAGTAAGGTAATGGATCTGTTGAGTGACACGAGTGTCCGAGTGAAATCTTTTTGTTTGATCTTCTCCTTGAACTTTGTCGACTGCAGTAAGGCCAAAAAAAGAGTCTCCGGTTTCTGGTATGCGCGGGCGTCGCCGTAGCCATGCGCGTCGGCAAAATGAAAAATTGTTTTTCCAATGCAAGATGAAGTCTCAAAACCGCCAAACTCACTGGTTTGACTGGAATCCTGCTGCTGCACAATTTTAACGTGTTTTTAGATGGGGTGACGATCGAGTATAAGCTTTATGTGGCCTCTCTGGACTCCCATATATTTGCACTGAATTTAGTCGGGCACCATTTGCAGTCATCAACCGACATTTGAAGAAAAAAAAAAAACAGTAAAAAAAAAAAAAAAAAAAGGTGCGTCGCCGCACCACTTTTGGGGCAGGCTCCATACCAGAAACCAGAGACTTTTTTTGGAGGGGGGCCTAAAGTGACAATTCTAAACAATAATCTTGTGTATTTCTTGCAAACAAATCGTGATTGAAAAACACAGTTTTTTTATCCCGTCACAAGAATCATTAAACATTGAGAAAGCCACTTTTTTCCTGATTGTAAATAATGCATCATTATGTTATCACTATAATTATACTAATGCTGAAGCAAATCCCTACAGTGTGAGGTAAAAGAAATCAACTTGATAAGGTAACCAACCTGACGAAAGTGAAGGTACATCTTCGTCATCTGAATCACTGAGTAAGCAGATGACATCATCCGAATATTCATCATCATCATCACCATCTCGACAAGATCCGGTATCTTGTCTCTCCTCCTTTACACCATCATCTGAGTCCTGACCAAAGACTCCACCACTATCCTCATTCTGAAAGACATCCTCAACTCCATCTTCCCCGGAAAAACTCACTGAAGAAGCAGTCTCATCACCAACAGCACCTCCTGGTACTGCATCAATTCTGTGGCTACCCAGACTATCCTCTAAACTTCTCTCGCTGAAAAATCTATCACGTCGACTCGTCTCGTTCACGTCACTTTCATCCTCAGAAGTACACAAACTTTGTCCTAGTGTCTCGTCAGTTTGGCTACCATCAGAGATGTTTTGCTCTGTGAGGTTCTTCTCCTGGGAAAATCTGTCCCACTGGGTGCTCCTCTCAGTAACAGAATCAACTGAACAATTATCCCATGGAGTTTTATTGGCTGAAAAACTGTGCCTTTGATCACTTTCTTCTCCAGACTTTTCATGTTGTTTCAAGTCTTCTGTCATTTCTTCACTCAAGATGTTTTCTCCTAAATCATCCAAATTCCTATTTCCAGGGACGTCTTCTCTCAACATATCAGTTTCTGGGACACTTTCCAGGTTTTCATATTCTTCAAAACTGTCCTGGACAATGTCATCCTCTGAGGTTTTCTCCTTCCGACTTTTTCTTTTCCATGTTTCATCGGCAGAACTATCTCCAGATGTATTGTTATCTTGGAGGTCTGTCGCGAGGTCGACATCAAGCTGAGCTGAGTCATCAGTGAAAATGTCTCTGTGATCATCCTGAATGTTGGACTGTGTACCTTTAGGTGCTTCCTCATCACAGGTATCGGGGCTTGGTAGACCGTCTTCTTGTGTGAGGATGTCATCTCCTTCATCATCTTCCAGAATACTGCCTTCCTTTGTCTGTGCTTCCAAAATTACTGCCTCATCCTGCATGCCAGACTGTGTATCTTTGGGGGTTTCATCTTCACATGTATCAGGGCTTGGTGGACCGTCTTCTGGAATGTAGTCCAGGATGTCATCTCCTTCGTCATCTTCCAGAAGACTGTCTTTGTTTGTCTGTGCTTCCAAAATTACTGCGTTGTCCTGCATGCTAGACTGTGTATCTTTGGGGGTTTCATCTTCGTTGGTATCAGAGTCAAGTAGGCTGCCTTCTGGAATGTAGTCCAGGATGTCATCTCCTTCGTCATCTTCTAGAAGACTGCCTTCGTTCGTCTGTGCTTCCAAAATTACTGCCTGGTCCTGCCTGCTAGACTGTGTATCTTTGGGGGTTTCAACTTTGTGGGTATCAAAGTCGAGTAGGCTGTCATCTGGAATGTAGTCCAGGATGTCATCTCCTTCGTCATCTTCCAGAAGACTGTCTTCCTTTGTCTGTGCTTCCAAAGTTACTGCCTGGTCCTGCATGCTAGACTGTGTATCTTTGGGGGTTTCATCTTCGTTGGTATCAGAGTCAAGTAGGCTGCCTTCTGGAATGTAGTCCAGGATGTCATCTCCTTCGTCATCTTCCAGAAGACTGTCTTCCTTTGTCTGTGCTTCCAAAATTACTGCCTGGTCCTGCCTGCTAGACTGTGTATCTTTGGGGGTTTCAACTTTGTGGGTATCAAAGTCGAGTAGGCTGTCATCTGGAATGTAGTCCAGGATGTCATCTCCTTCGTCATCTTCTAGAAGACTGCCATCGTTCATCTGTGCTTCCAAAATTACTGCCTCGTCCTGCCTGCTAGACTGTGTATCTTGGGGGGTTTCATCTTTGTGGGTATCATGGTCGAGTAGGCTGTCTTCTGGAATGTAGTCCAGGATGTCATCTTCATCATCTTCCAGAACACTGTCTTCCTTTGCATTCACTGACAAAATTTCAACATCATCCTTCATGCTAGACTTTGCATCTTTGGAGGTTTCACTTCCACAGGCATCAGGGCCTCTTGGGCGGTCTTCTTGGGTGTTGTCCATAATTTCATTAGTTTCTTCGTCATTTGCCAGAAGAATGTCTTCACTCATCTGCTCTTCCACAATTCCAGAATGACTATCTTTGAAACATGTGGTTTCAGAGATTCTATTGTCTGGAGCATCGGGGGTGATTTTATCTTGATTGCTTTTCTCGTCTTCTTGGGTGTTGCCCAAGATGTCATTTTCTCCTTTATCACCTTCAAGAAGACTGCCCTCCTTCGTCTGCTTTTCCAAGATTCCAGCCACAGACAGTGTGTCTTTAGATTGACCATCTTCATAGTTCCTTGTTTCAGAGATAATATTGTCCGGAGAATCAGAAAAGATATTTCCTTGATTGCTATTCTCACTTCCAAAGCTACCTTCAACTGACATTTCATCAATGTCACTCAGGTCTTCCAAATTCCAATCTTCCGCATTATCTAAGTTTCTGGCATCTGACGTGGTGTCGTCAGCTTTTGAAGAATGGCTATTATCTTCAAAATCAAGAAGGCAAGTTTCTTGATGCCTACTTTCACTGACATTGTCCTGGGGAAGATTATCAACAACCTCCGCCTCTGATGAAATTAGGGCATTTGCTTGGGGTTCTGAATCCACATCTTTGCAAGTTTCTGATAGCTGACTTTCCCCATCCTTCGCTTTTGGCTTAGACTTGGTGCTTTCTTCAGGCTGAATTTCAGATGGTGTGTAGGGTTTCCAAGTGTTATGCTGGGCCTTTTTGTCATGGAGAGGCGTGTCATGCTCCAGAGATTCTGATTCTTTGTTACTGCTTTCATTATTGATGTGAGGATGTTTAGGATCACTGCCTTGTGATGAACCCTCAGATGAATTACCCGCATCTCTCACTGGAAGGGGAGATTCCACTCTGAGTTGAGGCGAGCTGCAAACTTCTTGAAGCTTGTCATCTGGGCTGGTTCGATATTTCTGATGAGTTTCCGTTGTCATTTCTTCATCTCGATCTTCTGAAGTCTTTGTTTCTTTGTCCTCTTGTTCATTGTCAGAATGACTGAGAACTCGGGATGGAGATTCCTCCATTCCTGTTTCATCTTCAGAGTCTGAATCTTTGTTTTTGGCCATTGTTTCATTCAACCGTCGGTAGTGTAGAGCCATCATAGTCAGGGGAATGTCTCTCCGGTTTGATTCATCCTTGTCTTCATCAATCTCATCTGCCACACCATCCATATCACTCTGCTGCTCATCTGCGTCCTCATCATCACTTGAGGAATCATCTAGATTATCCGAGAGAGCATCTTTAGAATCACTTTCCTCACCAGCATCTACCATTCCATCGTCTGGTGCCCTGTTACTGTCCTCTTTGTCATCACTTTGAATGTCATCATCTTTGGTTTCACTGTCATCTTCATCATCGTCACTGGATATTATGACAATGTCATCAAGATCCTTCGTATTGTGAACAGCGTCTGTTTTTGAGTTGGTTTTGTGACCCTCCTCTAAATCGCCAGTGGACACTGTGGACGCAGGCTTGTTAACAGTCTTCTTCTTCTTTCTGGTCATGGGCAACATCATGAGTCCCTGTCCAAAGTCAAGTCCCATTCCTCTCAGGCTACGCCTCCCTGGTACTTTGACAGACATGAACCTCTGAGAAGCTTTGGAAGGACTATTTTTAGATGTCTTGTTGAAATTCACTTTCATGCCATGTTGCAAAAGCTTGGGATGAGATGGACTCCTCATAATACTCTCTTTCAGCCTGCCAGGGTGAGATTTTTTCCTTGTCCATAATTCGCCAGAATCTTTTGGACTTGGCTCGACCCATTCCCCCTCACAACCTTCTGCTGTTTTCAGGGTACTTCGGTATTTGCTGCGAGCACCTTGGTTGCTTCTCCGATCAACGACTTCAATGTCAGGAGACTTGTGCCTCTTATGCTTTTTATGCTTCTTATGCTTCTTGTTTTTTTCGTTCTTCCTTCTTTGTGGTGATGGGCTTCTCTTGCGTTTACCCTTTCTAATGACTGATTCACGGTGCAAGATCCCTGTTGTGCAGATATGTTCCTCAAGGCTACCATCGTACGTTGAGGTCGGTTTGTTCCACATCTTGAAGGGAGGGACAAGATAGTCCACCCACTCTTTGGCTTGTTGGCTTGTCATCCTTGTCTGAAGGATACCAAGTTTTCTTGTATCATCTAGACTTGTGATTGCCACTTGAGGCTCTGCGTGCTTAGCCAAGTGACTGCAAAAATCTTGCTGGTCTTCTACATTCCTGGCATTCCCAAGTAATAGTACTCTGCAGACGGCACATGCACTGGAATACCCCGAAGCAGAGAGCGTGAAGAAAGCAGCGAGCAGAGCAGTCGGGATGTGAACGATGGGTAGGACTTTGTTAGATGGAGGGTGTACAGTACAGTCGATGTGATGAAGCCGCAAGAGCATTAGCTGAGGAAAGGCCTCTTTGCAGCGAGCACACTCATATTGCACCCGATCATCCACTTTGATAAGGTCCGCTGCTTGAAATACTTTAGTGTCTTTGAACTGAGACTCAAGGAGGTGGATGCTAACAGGTGGCTCTTGCAAATGAGCTAAACATTCGGCCTTCTTGGCAGGGTCTTCTCTGGTCTTTGTGATTTTCAACGGCACCACTTGTTGGACATTACCATCAGCCTTGGGTCTATCATGCCCAGGGGCAATAGACTTTATCTGCCCCAGCGAAGTCTTCACGTTATCGAAGGGTGATTGCAGTTTCCCTTGACTTGAATGAGAAGCACCCGATTTAGTCAAACCTGTCGAAGAACCTTGCTTCATCCCATCAGATCCACCAGCTGGCGGTTGCACAATACACACTGCATGCTTCACAGTAGAATCCTTATCAACAGGAAGGTGTACCATAAACTTCTTGGGAGCATTAGTCTTATTGATCGGAACTTTTACCAGGTAGAAGTAGTCATCGTCTTTCTTCTCATCACTCAAGACCGAATAGATGTTGCCGTCTGATCTTGCCTTTGGTACACGTATCACGTATGATGCCATTGTTTCACCCTCCGAAAATGTTCGCTGTACAGTAATTTTTGAAGCTACATCAGTGCTAGTCACTGGACCTGATGACTGTGTGGTTACAGTCTGAGCTTTGCAAGTTGTTGTAAGTGGAACAAAGCTCTGATTACCATACACACCTAAGGATGGACTTGAGATCGAAGTCCTAATTATTGTTGAAGTTGATGGTATGTACATTTTACGTGTGTTTGTCGGATTGACTAAAGGTGAGCTTACAACAGACTTTGACAGTGTATTTGGGAGAGCTGAAACGGCGAAGTTAGCTTTTGAAAGTGGGGCAACCTTTGTTGAAGCATTAGCCATAGAAGACTTGCAGATAGCATTTAACAATGCTCTGGCAGCGCTCATATCAACCTGGGCGTTGCTCGCCGAGCCTTGACCAGTTGAATTTGAAACAACCCGAAGAATAGTCTTCTGGCTGGCTGGCTGGGATGGTCCAAGTTTCGGAATACTCTGTGATAACTTGGTGGATGGTCCTACTCTCTGAGGATATGGGAGATGAGAGACACCTACTGTACTGGGAGTCACTGGGTGTCTCAGGATAGAGTTTTGTACACTCTTCTGAGCTGCAGCCCGTATTGTGTTGGCATACACCAATTTCTGCCTGACAGTAGTTGCTGCTGTACTCTGTATTGCACCTGGGAAGACTGGGTAGAACCTTTGAGAGCTGCTTGGACTGCTGTTTGTAACCCCTAGCCCAGTTGTGGTTATTGGCTTCTGATGACGTATAATAATAAAGTTGTTCTGGCTGCTAGGGTTTGACTGGGTGGAAGCTGAGCCTGGCACTGGTTTATTTACAGCAGGTGGTATAACTGATCTCATCACTGCATTTGTTGTGGAGGTACTGGTGGAGCTAATGGTTCGGGTTGCGTTGACGGAGAATGTTTTGACTGATGAAGAGTTTAGGGACTGTGATGTACATGTAACAGAGGATGTCTTGACCAGACTTCTTACAGATGTGTTGACTGATGAGGTCACTGTGAGACGTTGTATTGGTGTGTTGACTGATGAGGTCACTGTTACATGTCGTATAGGTGTAATGACTGATGAAGCAGTCACTGTTGGACTTCTTATAGATGTGTTGACTGATGAAGAAGTCACTGTTGGACTTCTTATAGATGTGTTGACTGATGAAGAAGTCACTGTTGGACTTCTTATAGATGTGTTGACTGATGAAGAAGTCACTGTTGGACTTCTTAAAGATGTCTGCTTCCGTCTCGTCATCATCGATGGAGTGCTCTGACCTTGCTTATCTACATCTATGTTAGCAACCCTCTTAATAAGGTAATGTTGCTTTGAAACAGGTGTTGTTTTCTGTTTACAGGCTTCACCCGGTTGACTGGATCGTGCACTTGTTACAGTCTTCTCCGGAGTCTTTGGGGATTCTGGAGGGACTGAGGAAGATGAAGGTAGCTTTATAATCTCCCTTGTTTCGTGGTTCTTAATGTACCATTTCAGCGGTGTCTCGTGGTCATTGATTATGTGCTCTTTGATCTTTTGCCAAGTTCCTGTGAAGGAACACAGTTTACACTTCATATCCTCCTTCCTGTGAATCATGATCAAGTTGTGGACACGTCTCACGTGCAATTTCAGCGAGTTCAGAGATCTGCTGCGTTCACTACATATGTGGCATGCCCACTCTGTTTTTTTCACAGTGGTTGCACTGGCAGCTCTTGAAACTGGATTCCTTTTTGAAGCTGAGCGAGTGGTACGTGTATAGTTGGATTCTGCTGTAACTTTCTGCAGTTCACTGACTGAATTATCCCCTGCTTCATCCTCATCTGAGCTGCCAAGACTAATGACTTCTGGATCTTCATCGATTATGATCACATCATCATCCTCTTCGTTTTCCTCTTGGTGGCTTTCTTTTTCAGGGGTTTGTGAGGTGGAGTTCTTAGTCGGTATATCCTCTGAACTTATGGGGCATTTATCCGTGTCGTTGTTTGAGCCATCAACAACTGCAGGATTAGCATCTGCTGTTTTGTTCACCATGTTTTGACTGAAACTGGTTTCTTCGGAATCGCTGAGGGCAATCGGTGTATCCGCTTCTCGTGAAACATCTCCTCCTTGGTTGCTCCTTGCAACATCTTCTGTTGTGTCCTGTTCACTATGTTCATCTTGATTCTTAGATACATCTGTGCACTCCTGACACTCTGAATCACTTAAATCATCACTGATCTCTATTACGTCTGCCTGGCATTTCACCTTACTCAACTTGTCTTTGCTCGATGCACTGATGCCATCTTTATTTCTTTCAAGTTCTGACTTGTTCTTGGCGGTACCTCTCTCGGTGAGAATGCAGTCCGCTTTAGCCATACTTATGTTTGGACTGTGTTTTTGGTCTTTTGCTGATGAGGTCATTGTTTCTTCTCTCACATCAGAAGAGTCTGTGCATGGTGAATTTTCATTTGCCTCACAGGAAACACTTTCATTAGCCAAGACACCACTCGTATCTTGAGAAAGCGCTGCATTGAATCTGTCATCATCGAGAGTTGCTCCAGACTTAAGTCTGACATCTGATGGTGAATCAGTGTTTTGTAAATCATCAACAAGTAGACTTCCACCTGGTTCAGTTTCACATTTGTCATCAGAATTGTTCGTTGTGGAATCTGGTTCAGTCCCCTCCGATGCCTCATTCTGGCAAGTTCTATCTGGTGTCGGGGGGTTTTCTATTTTCACCATGATGGGCGCAACCCCTTTTCCTTTGTCCTCTGCATCAAACTCTATGTCAGATAATAAAATGACAGATTCCTCTGATGCTGAAGAACCACCATCATCACTCCACAAGTTACCATTATCTTTAGAATGTTTGGAACTGAGCACGTCTGAGCCAGACGCTTGATCAAGAGGCACATCTTGCTCTGCCTCAAGAGGCACATCTTGCGCTGCCTCCTTAAGAATACCCTGAATGCCTTCATCACAATGTTTGTTTGTGTTAAACTCAATGAGCGTATTGTCTGCAAAATGGCTGTCAATTTTCTTTGGATTAAGTGCAGATTCCTGCTGGACTTCAGAGCTTGAATTCTCAGATACTTCTTGAGTTTGATGAACGTCAAGCATTTTCATTGAGACAGAGGAGTTAGAATTCTGTGCAAATGGTGTATTTTCTTCTTCCTCTAACTGCAAACGTTCTTGCCTGCACTCTTGACTATTCTCATCTTCATTGTTTGTGTCCAACTGCATCATTGAATTGTCCGTTACTGCTTCCAAATTGGACTGGGGAATTGGGGTAGGTTCAAGATCAGTTGAAAGTGATGAAGTGCTGTCTTTGTTTTGAGTCTCGGGACCTTGTTTCTGTTGCCTTGGGGATACAACAATGTCCTGGAAACTTTGCTTATGACTGACAGATGACAAGGGGCTACGATATTCAAAGTCTGTCATTCCAGGCATTTGTCCGTCATCTTGTGAACTGCTAGGGTCAGAGCACCACTGTTCTGCAATGCTGCTGATTCTGGTCAGGTCTGCACATAATTCTGGTGATTTGATGTCGCTGTCATCGTCACTGAAACTTGGGGGGTCACACTGAAGGGAAAAGGTATCGTCGATTCTGATCTCTTTCGTCTCTCCAACACCCTCATCTGACAGGTTTGATTCCATGCTGATGAAGTCTTGGTCTGTTTGCCCTGCACATGTTGCATAACCAGATGAATGGCGGAGTTCTGGTGTAGGTACTGATACGTTGCTTGACGCTTGATGCAGTGAGCTTAACGGGTCACTTTGCATAGGAATGCTTTGTTCAGTTTCTGTGGGATTGCCTCCCACGGATGATGCAGCATATGAATTCTCCTGAGATGGAATACACGCGGGTGAACTGTTTTGGGTGTTCTCTCCTGTAGATTTCTTAGCGTACAAAGCAAGTTGTGAAAAGGGATTAACAGGTGTGACTCTAGTGTTTTGAGCAATGCATGCTTTGTTGCTCTCCACGAAAGGGGGTGTTGAAAACAGGAGTTTATCAGCAAGATTTGACTCGTCTTGCCCAGGTATGGCCTCGTTAGGGTTGTCAAATGATCTGCTGTCGTGTGCTGATTGAGACAACAAAATATCACCAGACCACGATGATTCATCTCCGCAATTCCCAGGCTCCTTCCGGTTATTGTTCTCCAGGCATGTAGCCGAGATTTCCTCACTACTGACATTACCGAGATTTTCGACATTTAGAAGACTTGGTAAACCTCCCAGCGGATCACTGGATGCTTGTTCATTACCTTCCCAGGGCAGTTTGAAGAAATCAGAGAGTTCGGTGTAAGAAGAAGCCAAACTCTCTGGGGGCTGCTTGAAGAGATCCAGAGCCTCTCCTTCATTCTTTGAGTCACTGAGGTACGGTGAAGATTCCCCAGATTGAAATGTGAGTGCCTGAGAAAGTCCCTCGGCAACTGGTGCGGAGAATTGGGGCAAGGTACCATCTACAGGCCAGCTGTTGCCTCCACCATCCATCTCCTTGCCACAAAAGATCTTGAACAAGCAGTAACACCAGCACTGAGTGTGTTTCCTGCCAACAAAATAAAAATAAACAAAAATAGACCCATGAACAACAGCTAAATGACAGAATGAGCCGAAGTTATATGGTTAAGTAGCTGAATCTTTTTTGCATGTATCATTTGGATATTTTTTTCGTGTATGATTTGAAGTTTAACAAAATAATAAAATCATTTAATTTCACAGTATGAAAGCAGAAGCTGCATATTGAACACATGTTTTTTTGTTCATTTTTGTACGTCCTGGCGAGCGCAAGTAATTTGCATCTTTTCGTCACAACTTGTACAGAGAAAATATATGTCAGTACAGGTCACATACTGTCTTCATACACGGCTCATGTATGTAATTATTTCGAAAACTTCTTTGCCTTTCTAAATGGTGCTTAAAATACATGTATCACATATATAACAATATTTACAACAAGCCAATTAATGGCAAGATAATTTTCCAGCTTGTTCAGGTATTGACTCAAACAGACGGACTTTGTCCAATATTAATCACCGCTGTGATTGGTCAAAAAGTCAAAAGGCAGGGCTAAACGGATAGGTCTATTCACGATCGAAGTGTCACATTTTAGTGAGTGAGAAGTGCTACGTTATCCTAACGATGGATCATGCCACACACTTAGCAACTGATCCAGCTACTGGTACTGTTTGTGTATATGAAGCAAAATACATTGTTTGAAAAATTGGTCAATAAATGCAGCACCTCAAGATGGTCAACTGTTTCGCTGCGGACTGTAATCACACAAATAAGGCCAAAAAAAGTAGTTCTGCTTCTGGTTACCCTACCTACCCTATTTTGACAGCCCCTACCCTAATTTTTTGGGGGGAAAATGAGGGGAAAAACCCAAAACCATCAATTACTACCTTTTACCCTTGACCACATGCAGACACATATGATCATACACACACAAAAATTAGCCAAAACAAAATTTCCCTACCTACCTAACCTATTTTCAAATGCCATGTAATTGCAAGCAGAACTATTTTTGGGGGGCCTAAGTCACACCAGTAGATGTTTTCTTCAAGTTTCCTAAACAAACAAAACAAAAACTCAGAAAATACACGAGTACATAGTGAGTGATCCCGTTGCTGTGCCAACGACTGGTTCTGGCAGATCTTAAGTAATCACTTTGATAGTGAATTGCTGGCCCCACATGGTTTGCAATTTGATTAAAATTGGCTGACTCACCTTCAACTAGACCAAAAGGCCGCGGTCAAAGTTGTCGGCCGGCTCCATCAGAACTGAGAATTTCGTGGTCTTCAAAGCCATCTGCAACATCAGAACATTGGAGAAACTATCAATTGGAGAGGTGAATTTACATGGTGGTGATTGATAGGATTGATAGCCGAGTGTTATTGTTTGGACTGGAGATAAAATTTTATCGCTCTGTTTAATCAACAGATTACCTGGAAGGTCAGGTTCAGTTAAGATCATGCTGACAATATGATCAGAATTTTTTTTTTATCTGAAAGAGAAATCTGCGTTTGCACTAGAAATTTGCATTAATTTGCATTAATAAAATAACATAACTAGGTGAAATTAAAAAAACAACAAGTTTAGCATCCTGACTTTTTGAAAAAAAGGAAGGAGGCCCTTTTTTTTCCCCTTCCAAAATGGCCGCCCAACCGGACTATTTTTTTTCAAGATGGCTGCCACTTTTTGTTTAAAATGGACTCAGGAATGACAACCAGCTTTATAATGGCTAGATGCAACAGACAAAGAGGCCAAAATGATGTCACTTTTTAAATTTTATCATTTTTTCATACATAAAGAAAAAAAAGTGGCCTCCATAAAGGAAGCGGGTGGGGAGGCTAAACATGGTGGTTTTTTTTTTTATTTGGCCCAAGTAAAAAAACAAGTAGTTTCTAGTCTGGCCTTTTTAAAAAAAGGAGGCAGACACTTTTTTTAAACTCTCCCCCCCCCCCCCAAGATGGCAGACTTTTCAAGATAGCGGATGGATTCTTCAATTTTTTTGACTATTTTGTTGATACAACATTGTGTCAATAAAACACAATTTTTTTCTCAATAAAATTATGTTTTAAATTTCATAATTAGTTACACATTTTTAAAATCGTACTGTTCCAATTTGACCTTTATTGTTCCAATCTGATGACGACGCAAAAGTCTTTCAATTTCACTTTTTCAATAGCATTTTACTTGAATTGATCAACATTAGCATTAACATTTAACAAAACTTATTAACATCAACAAATTGCTAATAATTTTCATTGACATTCATGACATTTCATTGATTCTTTTTTTTTGGTTCTTTGCTTTGTTTGTAGCAAATAATGCTTTTGCTTTATATAAAAGTAGTATAAATGGTGATTCTTTTATTGACAGTAACAAAAAGGACCCCCCCCCCCCACACCCACAATTTGACACTGTCTTGTATCCATATTAGCCACACAGTTTAACACCACAGATAATGCAGAAAAAATGGCACCATGCTTAAAAAACATTATGCGTAGCGCCCTCATGAGACAGACGGGCGTTCGTCATTAAATGTCAAAACAAACCCGACAAAGGTCAAGGAGCATTGCGAGAAAATTTAAGCGCAATATTTCTACCCCAGTTGTTGGTACTTGAATAAACATGTACACTCACCGATGATGCCCATGTATTTTTACTGATACAGTGAGATTTTCATGAAATTTGACAGTCGTTCGCAACAAAGACCGCGCAGTTCTTGTGCACGTACAAAGCACTATCGTCGTCTAATGATATGTACCAGGGAAGCGTTTGTGACGTCACCCTTTTATCGCGTATGGGGTATCTTTTGCGGTTACCAGCGAAGTGAGGACGAGGCCAATATGGCCGACCGTGTACAAAATAATCGTGCAGACGTATGAATGCACAGTACATGTACATACAGCTGGCTATGTCAAAGCTAAGCTTAACCAATTAAAGGTTTAGGTTCAAAGCTACAACACATACATTTTTCTTTGTTAGGTTGCGAATTGGTAGAAAATCAAGTCGCACATGATTTTTTGTTTTTATAATAGGCCTTTAGATACGGTAAACGTATAGGTAGCGTGCCACTAGATATCCAAACTGTTTTCCTTCCTCCATATGACATATGTCAATATTGTGCACACAAATATTAACACACAAAAAATTAAAAAGCATCTACATTTTGAACATGACAGACCTAGGCTATATACCCCTAAATTCATTTTTTTTTTTCATATGGCGGTTTCGTGCCATATAGCCCTGCATATATAAGCAGAGGTCACCCGCAACGCCGGCATGATGATTACCCACCCGGACTTATATAGCTATTACCAGCCCGTGTGTTTCACGGTACGGTTAAAACGTACATGTCTATAGTATATATGTACTCAAGAACTGGCATATAGCTATAGGGCACGTAAACCAGAAACGTACCTATTATTTAATAGGATGATCGGCAATTAAACTTGAACTTGCTCATCGATCCGAAGGCGCGATCCATGGCAGATAGATTCGGAATTCTTATACATGTAGTCGGCCCTAAAGAAGATATGTGGAAGGGGTGACTCCTGAACCTCTTTTGAAAGGGGTTCCTAATTTGCATAACGTAAATAGCTGCCCGTGAAATATATTTATTCCCATAATTGGGTTAATTTGGTGTATTTTCGATATTATTTTTGAAAAGTCTATTTTGGGGATTCTACTTACATATCCTTACATAAATAACATTTTCTTAAGCGGTGACTGGATAATTATGAGGACATACGAAAGGTCCAATTACCTAGCTACCATTCATAAATACCTAAGACAGTTTACGCATTCCTATTGGTCGAGTGCCCGTCACGTGGCCGGTCTTAAACGGATGATAAAGACATGGCTAGCTGGTCTTAAACACTTTTCCAGTGTCACAATAAAATGTAGACTCCTAAAAATCCAGTGCCTCTTATCGTTTCATTGGTTGAACGTTCACAATCCTCACGTAGGCATGCGCAACACTATCAGGGAGTCAGAGTTTTAAAGTTCTAAATTCAAAACGCAACGCGCCAGGTGCGTTCTGCGCGACATCGCGCAGAACATGATACGCGCGCGTCAATCTCCATAAAAGGGTTGTTTACATCTTACTCGCCAGCTGAACACTCCATTATTTTGCAAGAGGGATGTTTCGAAAAGCATTAAGTGAATTTGTTGAACAAAATCGGGATGTTTTGAACGAATTATATGATTTTTTCTTACCGAAAAGGTATTTATGAATGGGAATAAATATGTGCTCCGTCGGTATTTATCACTCTGTTTAAGACCACTTAGAGTCTGGGTGCTGATAATTACCCTCGCCTCCGGCTCGGGTAATTATCAGCACCCAGACTCTAAGTGGTGTTAAACAGAGTGATAAAAACCTCCGAAGCACACATTTATTCCCTTATTATACCCTCACAGTTGGCGCATGCATGCCTTTCCTCTGAGTATCACCCTTTCAGTATCCATGGAGCCTATAGGCGTGGTCTCATAGACTACCTTTCCCCCGTAGTCTTGCCAAACCTCAGTATTGATGAGCGTTTATCCAAATAAACTATATGGAAAATCGCGTGAACAATGATAACATAATGACAATTGGCCCAGAAAACAAAACAAAACTTAGGGGGAAAAAGAGGTGTCCGTAAATTGGGCTAAAAATAAGGCGAAGGGTTGCCCAAACCAACGTGGGGGACTTTAACAAGTTCAAGGAAATCCCCAAATTTATCTGTAAGAAAACTTTTGACCGTAGACTTCATTGTTATAAACAACCATAATTTTAGGCATTTCTTTGAACTCGTTAGTTCCCCCACGTCATTAGGTAACCCTTCGCTTAAGTTTTAACCTAATTTATATGGACATCTGCTGCACGGGCCCCTTTTTGTTTTCTTGGCTAAAAATTATGAAGATGTTATCTTTGTTCACATGATTTTCCCGTATATAGATTTATTAGGGTAACTGAAGTAACTTTGTGAAGGTTAAGCTCATCAATTATAATACTGAGGTTTGGCAAGACTGTACTTGTGATATCTGGGAAAAAGGTAAATGCGCACCACTTTATGGTATAATGGTACCCATTTTGGATCTTAAATTATGTCCTCATAATAAGTCACTTTATGCTTAAGATCTAGAAAATATTATTCAAGTAGGCCTAAGGATGTAAGTATAGAACCCCCAAAATATACTTTTAGTGTTTGTTTTAATATACACAAAAAGTATGGGAATAAATATATCACACGCCGGTTATTTTCTCTAGGGCTATGACTTTATTAGTCTGCCAAGTTTGGTGCTTTGACCAGTCGGTCACGATTCCGTACTCTGACTACAAGTAGTTTTTAAAAAGGGAGCTCGCAGGCCCAGCTACTTTTAATGACCATTAATCATCTCAATTTTGGTGGTATGGCTATTGCGATCCTGCACTATGGACGGATCAGTTTGCATATAATTGTATAATAAATCGGCCACATGCGCGATCACATGCAGATAGTATCACTAGGACACCTTAGTATACGTTATAGCATGTCGCTACAAAAAATACATCTGATGTCAGAAAACTGATGTCAGAAGGCCAATTAACACCTAGGCGCGGCTCAACGACAGCCTGCATGCCATAGTACACGGGCGGCACGGCGGGCAGGTGGCGGGTGCGGTGGGACGTACTTGTCACGTACGTACGTACATGTACATGTACTCCATGCGTGTGCATGTACATGTACACGATGTACGTACGCACGTACGTACACCATTGATCTCCGGCTCCTAGTCTGCGTATATGATATGGAGATCAATGGTACACATGTTCAAGATGATGGCGAGTTATTTTAGTTTGTGAAATACCAACAGAGGGCGCTATTCAGCTGTATTGTGAATTTTTGTGCTCGCGCTCGCGATCGGCGGCGGTGAATGTTTTGACTCTTCAGGGTTGAGTTCTTTGCTCTTAAACTTGAGTTTGAGGGAAGATCGCCATGAGTCTCAGGACTGCTGATGCCCGAGCGAGGTAGGGAATTAATTTTGTAAGCATGATTGTATAAATTAGGATCTTGGTTGACTAAGTTCGCGCATTTTCTGTTGGTCCTGCCCAGCGCGTCTGTCTGCGGGAAACAGGTCAACTCGTACGCGAACCAACTCGTACGCGAGACAACTCGTACGCGGATTGGTCAACTCGTACGCGAGACAACTCGTACGCCAGCCAACCCGTACGCAAGACAACTCGTACGCGGACCAACTCGTACGCGAATCAACTCGTACGCCAGGCAACTCGTACGCGGACCGAAATAAGCAAATTTAAATTGAACGATGTTTACGATCACCAAAAGTTTACCCCAAAACACACGCCAAAGTTATCGATTTATCACAGTACACAGTACGATTGATTGTATGACTAATAACTATGATTGTAGCCATATGTATTTTCAACAGTTTAAATTCCATAAATGCAACGATGTCAAGTTCAAAAGTTTCAATGATACAAAAAAACATGATCCGTTTTAATTGCGACCGATGTGTAACTGCAATGCTGCGGCATGCGCTTCCAACCACGCAGCTAGTGTGGAGAATTTGTCAAGACGTACAACGATTTGATTTACACATAGCGCGGGGCCACTATAGCAATGTATTGTTGGAAGTCTACAAATGCAGCGGACATTATACGATTTAAATTCTCACTACGTGGCAATATCTTGTCGTATAGCGTACGGTGTGAGCCAGGATCAGACATCGACAGTGTGCAAGTGGTCCGGGAAAACAAATCATAACTTTTTTGTTATGAGCAAAAAAAGCTGATTTAAAACTGAACTAATTGGGCCCACTCAGTAACACAAAATTATCCCCTTAACTTAAGAAAAAAATAATGTGCCGGACAACTGACCGACCCTAATTTCCTACACTCCCGAACCAACGGTTTCAGTCTAGTCTATACTCACGCGTACGAGTTGGCTCGCGCACGAGTAGGTCCGCGTACGAGTTATCACGCGTACGAGTTGGCCCGCATACGAGTTTGTCCGTGTACGAGTTGTCCTGCGTACGAGTTGGTCGCGCACGAGTTGGCTCGCGTACGAGCTGACCTGTATTCTGTCTGCGCTGCATGGTTAGCTGTAGACCCGTGAACGTGCCTTTTAAGGAAATGGGTCAACTCGTACCCGAGTTAACTCGTACCCGAGTCAACTCGTACCCCAAAATTGACACCCAAGTCAAGTCGTACCTGAGTTAGGTCGTACCCGAGTCAAGTCGTACCCCAGTCAACTCGTACCCAAGTCAAGTCGTACCCGAGTTGACTCGTACCCGAGTCAACTCGCACCCGGTACCGCAGCTCAAAATAGTTGCCTATTTTCGAAAAGAAAATCAGTGAAACGAACGGAAGATCGGAGGGATGAGGCCGGTTGTCCGTGCACGGTGACATTGTTTGTGCCGAGCCTGTGCGCGCACTCGCTGGTCAACGTGGTCGTACCGTGCACAGTGACATCGTTTTTGCCGGGCCCGTGCGCGCACTCGCCGGTCCACGTGGTCGTCCGTGCACGGTGACATCGTTTTTGCCGGGCCTGTGCGCGCACTCATCGGCCAACGTGGTCGTACCGTGCACGGTGACATCGTTTTTGCCGGGCCTGTGCGCGCACTCATCGGCCAAAGTATGCATGCTTTTGTCAATTCATTTTATTTTTATATTACAGATGATCCTGTCGTTTTCCGATGAACCATTTTCTGCTGCTCAAACCGATCGATCGGATGGTCTGTCACACAGTTCATGATGAATCGAATCGGATGTCAAGTTTCGAGGACGAAACCGGATTAGCTCAGTTTTGTTTAAGATAATAAAACTTTCTCTTGCACTTGAATTACAATTTGCTTATGTCAAACAATCTTTCACACCCAAGGATCAACTAACAAATTGGTCCCCTAAAACTTATAGAAAGAGCATCTCTGAATGAAACGAGCCACCATTTTCCTTTATCGTGTTTACTTCCTTGATGCCGCAAATGTAAACAAATAATTAAAAATCCTACATTTCTGTTACCAAAATAATATTCTAATTGAACTTATCGCAGAAACTTTATTTAAGCTGCACAAGATTTTTTTTACATTTACCGAACTAATTGTACAAAAAATGACCAACATATTAAAGAATCATTATAAATTAAATAACGATGTCCGTGTGACTCTTTTAAGTTTCCTGTAATATATTTTCTCTTCAGATTTGTACTTTCAGAGCCCCCAATCTTCCCAAAGAGATTTGTGCCATGTGCAGTTTTTATTCAATAAATGATGCCAAAAATGGAGTGAGTGAACGTTGAAAAATATTACTTTTACATTACAAAATTCATTTTTTAATAGCAGCTTTCTTTAAAAAAAAAAAGGTCTTAAATACTAAATTCGTAAAAAGAAAACTATGCCCTTAAAACACGTTCGACCGAACAAAAAAAAGACGTAGCAGTTCGCACAGTCACTCCGCAATCTCAGTGATCCAGGGTCTCTGAAAAAAGAAAGAAAAAACATCATTACTAAGAGAAAATACTACACAAATTTTAAAATAACACATCTGATGATCTGGATGAAAAGTGAAATTTACCGTTTATCAGCGAGGGCTCCGTCGACAGTACATTTTCCCTTTTTATCCAGATTGTGATCAACATTTGATACCACCGCCTTCAACTAATACTTGAACTTTATTTGTATTTCTGGCGGCGTAACTACTATTTCTCAGTCGCCATTTTTGAGGGTAAAATTGGAAGTTTTGTTAACCATCCATCCGTACTTCCAAACTAAAAAAGGAGGGGAGTACGAGTTGACCTGGGTGCGAGTTGACCCAGGTACGAGTTGACTCGGGTACGAGTTAACCTGGGTACGAGTTAACTCGGGTACGAGTTAACTTGGGTACGAGTTGACTCGGGTACGAGTTGACTCGAGTACGAGTTGACTCGGGTACGAGTTAACTCGGGTACGAGTTGACCCAAAATCGCTTGTAAACTTGTATACAACGCCACGTTCACGGGTCTAGGTTAGCTGGAGTTTATATTGTTGATGTACCCGAACGTGGCACGGCCCCCAACGTGGCGCACTTTGATTTTTCGCCTGTAGCGCCTACCTAGACTAGAGCAAAAGTTTTAACTATAAACTAAGCCTAAATGTGAAAATCAAAATTTGACAAAGTTCTACATGTTTTTGTACATGGTGGAAGTGGGGCCTTTATTTACGGAGGCAGGGCCTAGTCCAGTAAATTGGCAAGTCCTCAGCCTTAAATTTTATCATTGGGTTGTTGACAACCCAATGATAAAATTGAGGGCTGAGGTAACTCCAGCTAGTTCTACCTTAACCTCCATCATGTCCATGGTCTGTCATTCAACAATTTATGCAATTTTGTCCGGCTTTACTTCGTCTTTGTAAACTTGAGTGTTATTGTCCTTTCATGCGTGAATTTTGCTATTTTGCTGACGGGGGTAAGGCCAATCAACATTGATTTTTTAGGTTTTCATCACCTTCCCACCTCGATTTTCACTCCCCTACCTGATTTTTTAATTATATTTTATGTGGTTTTTTTTAAGTGTGTACTTTTCTCAAAAAAAGTGTAAAATTTTCCAGACAAGTTTCTCACCAAATCCACAGGCACGGTTGCACTGATCTGCACGCAAACATTGTGCACGAAATACTGAGCACATCGCGATAATTCATATTACTAAATGCATACGTTATCGTATAGTTGGAATGCAGTATCCAGCATGTCCAGACGCCACTTCAGTGGTTGTGTACAAAGTCTATGGAGAGTCAAGAAAATTCTCTAAGTATTTCCTAACAAAATTGGAAATGTTTCTGAGTCCCAGATTCATGTATGTTCATCATTTTTGCAATGACTGACCTTCATTGAGTTGATATGAAGAAAAAAAGTGGCATCAGGTTGCAATGTTCTCTCCTGTAACTTCACTGAACAGACTTTAATCCTAGCCAACAAAATAATGCATCATTCAGACTTAGACCCAGTAACTGGGGCGCTAGAACAGTGTCGCTAGACGAACATGTACAACTCCTTTTTTTTCCAAATTTTGATTTTGGTCGATCATAGGCCTACAGTACGACCGACCTATTCAGTATTAAAAAAAAGGAGTTCTAGCGCCCACGGCCCCAGTACTTACTGGGTCTAATTCAGACGCATTTTTTTTCATTTGCAGATTCACTCATGTTTCCTTGCTCCATGATTAAAAACAACAATGTAATTTAACAATTGTCAATATACAGTAAGCCTCAGGAAACTAACGCTACTTGTAAAACAATTATTGTAAGGTGCCCAGGAACAAATATAACAAGTTATTCAATATTTATACATGGATGATATTTCAAATTCTTTTTATTTGCAGGGAAAACCAAGCCAAATTTATCCAGCAGCGTATCAACAATGTGGAGAAGCATTTTGCTGACTTGTGCCAACAGTTTTCGGCGTATTCACGAAAGGTTGCCCGTGTACGTGACAAGGGAGATGTGTTGGCTAAGAGCGTTCTTACCTATGCCGGGAGCGAGGCATCGTCCACCAAGTCAGGCCTGACAGGCTTTGCCGAGAAACTGTCTTCAGTGTCAGACTACAGACAAGCGATGGTATGAAACATTTAAAATTGCGACAAGGAACAAGCTGTTAACTTTTTAGTTTCGAATTCAGGCATGCGTACTTCACCACTGTTTAATTTCATGCAAAGAGCCTTCAGAAAAAGATTGATTGATCCACGGATCAGCTGATTTTCTCTTCTTTTTTTCGTCTTTTATTTTTAATTCAGATTGAAAAACACTGCAGAGAGAGTCTTGCAAAACCTGGGATTTCCTCTGTTTTGTGACGTCCCAGTTGTGCATGCCCGAACCTTGTTTTAATTAATACTCGTCAAGATATTTTCTCCTCTTTTGACAATTATCTGTCCCACTTCCTGTATCCCACATAAAGACCATCTTGTTTATGCAGCTGTAAATGTGGACAACTTCTTGTTACATTTATTTCAATGTTTACTGTTTTTCTCAAGGTGGATAGGCTTTCTCAACGGGTTGTTCATCCACTTACACTCTACGGCCAGAACTTCAAGCATACAAGGGTAAGTAATAGGGTCATGTGATGCACTGAGGATTCATGGTGAAATCTCCTTTTTCCCCACCTGCCTTGATTGGCAACCATGCATAGCCTTTCACTCTGACAATTGACACAACAAGAACCACAATTAAAAAGTGTTGCAATTCTCTAAATAGACCCTTTCATAAAATTGGTCACTGCTCAGTCAACCGTGAATGTAATGACATGACCAGGGTGTCATTTTAAAGAGGAGATTCAACCCTAACAGAAGATATCGCCCTATGATTCACAGGCGCCCTACTTCTGTTCCAATTAGCAATAAATCTCTGTTTTGGTTTTTTTGATCCACCCTGTATATGAAAGATTAAACTGCTTAGTTAGTTCAGTGCCCAGTCCGCAGTACCAGTTAAGTATCGTGGCATCAAAGGCTTGTATCCTGTTTGAAGTAGGGAAGTTAGTTTGCGGGTACGCCATGGACAAATCTACTTTGTTAGGAGGTTTTGGCTCTGAAGAGAACTGGTGGTTAGAGTAAGGTCCACAATGTAAAGCTTCAACTGACACTTATCCTGTTTTAAGTCAATTGTTTCGTTCAATTAAGAGCCGGAGCAAGTGCAGGAATTTATTACTTTTGTCATATATGTATTTCAGGAAGACATGAAGGCGACATTTGCAGCCAGGACAAAAGAAATCAACGAACAGAAAAAACTGGAGAACATCAGGAAGAAAAACCCCAACAATCGGCAGCAAATCGTATCCTTGTATCAAATTTGAACGATTTTGGGTGAAGCAGGACAGTATGGGGTGAGAGTGGTGAGTGGGGTCAGTTGGTGGGGAGGTGGTCAGGGAGGCATCATCAAATTGGAAAGTTTTTTGGGTGAAGCAGGATGGTATGGGGTGAGAGTGGTGAGTGGGGTCAGTTGGTAGGGAGGTGGTCAGGGAGGCATCATCAAATTGGAAAGGTTTTTGGGTGAAGCAGGATGGTATGGGGTGAGAGTGGTGAGTGGGGTCAGTTGGTGGGGAGGTGGTCAGGGAGGCATCATCAAATTGGAAAGGTTTTTGGGTGAAGCAGGACGGTATGGGGTGAGAGTGGTCAGGGAGGCATCATCAAATTGGAAAGGTTTTTGGGTGAAGCAGGACAGTATGGGGTGAGAGTGGTGAGTGGGGTCAGTTGGTGGGGACGTGGTCAGGGAGGCATCATCAAATTGGAAAGGTTTTTGGGTGAAGCAGGACAGTATGGGGTGAGAGTGGTGAGTGGGGTCAGTTGGTGGGGAGGTGGTCAGGGAGGCATCGTGGTGAGAGTTTATTCGTTACCCAACAACTTTAGATAAAATCCTTTCTCAAATTTATTTTTGCAGAGATTCATCGTATTGGAACCAAAAAAAAAAGGCTTGACTTGTAAAACCTGGACTCTTTGACATATTTACGCCCTGTGGATGTGTATACCAGAAGGTCCCACAGTTGGGACAGCTTAAGTTGGGACAGACGGACTCAGCCTGGGATGGTACCAACTAACATGTTCTAGTTGGGCCGGCCCAACTGGGAAGCTGCAACTCCCCGGACACATGTAGCACGTTAGAGGGTGCTTACGAACCAATGCCATACGTGCTCGTCGGTCACTGCAAAAACTTCTGGAGAAACTAACTTGTATTTATTTACTTATACATGTATTGTATTTGCAACATGGATGAAGCGTTTCAAATAACTTGTTTGTCCTTAGCCTTGGTTTTGTCTCTAAAGGCACAAGCTGAATCCAAACTCCAACGAGCCAACGTGGATGCTTCACGAACCTCAAGGAACCTTGAAGATCAAATGGACTCGTTTGAGAGGAAAAGATTACAGGACCTTAAGGTAAAAATATAGAAACATCTAATAAAAACAAAAACAAGATTGAACTCTTTGCATTGGTAATGAAAGTAGCATGCAGACTAAAAAAAATAATTCACAAGAAATGTTTGCATCTGGACAGTTGCAATACATGTATGTTCGTTGCCGAAATTTATTTTCTTCAAATGTTAGTTTCAGAGAGTATTGTGCTTGATATTCTTCTGTTGCAAATCAAATAAAAACAATTCATAAGATGAATTTGCGTCGGAGTGATGCAAATCAATATTAGGTTTTGCCCTTCACCGACGTATAAACACTGTATACTCGGTGTGCTACCTCCCGAGTGAAAGTTGGAAAAACAGTTTTAAAGATGTAACGTTTTACATTACAGAGTATCTTGTCTGAGTTTGTGAAGATTGAGATGCTGTTTCATTCTAAAGCCTTGGAGGTTTACACTGAGGCGTGGCAGCATCTACACGCAATCAGTGATGAGGATGACCTGGAGGTATGAACTGCAAAACAATCAAACATGTACAGTATCCATGAGCATCCAAAGTGGCTGTGGCTGGCTGCAACATGGTCTATGACAAGTGGCTTCATCCGCTTCCATAAGCCCATGTGTGATTGAAAGCCATAGTCAAGTGATCAGGACTCAGCCACAGATTTGGAGGGGGGGGGGACTGGTCAGCTGCCTAATGTTTAGAAAAAGGTATCTGTGGTTCAATAGAGAAGAAATCTTTTTGGAAATTTGGAAAGGGGAACGTGGGGAGCGAGTGAGAAATGATTTTTAAAATTGGGAGTTGGCGAATGGGTTCCCAGCTACTCTGGAAATCAGGGAAACATTGAAAATGAGATTCCATTTTTGCAGTCGCGGAAAACTAAGGGAATTTGGGGAAAAATGCCAAAAATATCAAGGAAAAGTCAAGAAATTTGACAGTGACCCAGAAGGGAACAGTTTTGTCCAGTTTGACGTATGTGCGTCTTTGCCATGTGTCCAAGTTTTGTCCACTAACTGACTGGCTTTTTATTGCCTATGCAGTATAAATATTACAATGTACATGTGCCCACCTCTCCAGACAATAACAATTGGCTGTGCTACATGTACTTGAAAAAAATTCTCATGGAGTTTTGAAATTTCTGAGGGAAGTATCAGGGAAACTCAGGGAATTTTGTTTTCGTAAAGTGCAGGGAAACCTGTGAGGGGGGCGAATTTTTTTTCCCCAAACTACATCCGCATACATGGTTGCTTTTATGATACGTACGCAGGTATATAATTATTTTTCCCCCACGTTTTTGCGAGCGGTAGCTCGGTCGATACAGGGTCGTGATTTTGCACTGCGAGGTTGCGGGTTCAAATCACCGTTTTGTACCCGAATTTCTTTTCTTTTCTAACCTGAGGCTTTGGAGGATTTTTTTTAAAAACGGAAATAAAGTCCGAATTTCATTACGTTCAAATTCATTTTTTTCCTTCTAATTTTATATTTTCTTCTCTTGTTTTTAGAAAAGTAAAGTCTAAAACGTCATAGTGTGCACCTATATGCGGATGTCGTTTGGGAGAAAAAAAATTCGCGTGAGGAGGATGGCATTACAAAATGCAGATCACTTGTTGCATGGGGTCGTCAAAAGTTTTTATATTTATGCATCTCCCATCTTGGCAGTAAATGTTGTCTCCATCCTACCAAGTATATATGCCATATATTTTATGTACATCAGTGCATGAATCGTGTAAAAAGACTTCAAGCTTTTCTCACCTTGTTTGATCCAGGAATTCCGTAACAGTCTCCGTCCTTTCAACGCCACCACCGGCAGTACCAGCTCTAACTTGGCCAACTCGCGGACTTCTCTGAACTCGACGGACCGCAGCAACAAGCCTACGGCCGCCTCCTTCACTTCGTCTTCAAGACAGAAACACGGCAAGGATAGGCTAGATACGAGCCGCATCGTTGATATGGAGGAAGATGATGAAGACGAAGATGATGAAGAGGATGATGATGAGTACGATGATGAAGATGATGAAAGTCAGTAAGTTTAATAAAATGCTATTTATTTATTTGTTTGCTGAATTGTTTTGCTGTGTAGATATATGTACTGTAGACTGTTTGCTGTCAGTCAGTTTTTAATCATTGGGGGAGGGATAAAGCTTTTTTGAAAGAGGTATGTTCATTGTATAAACTTCTAAGTAGATTTTGTGGGGGGAGGAGTTTCTGACTTGATGATGGTTAGACATGGAAGAATAAAACCATATCACATTGTATACATACATTGTTTACATTTTTCTCTTTAAGTTGAAGGTCTTTCAAAAAACTTTCCTGGAAAGGGACAAGGCTGGGGGGTGGGGAAAGGGACAAGGCTGGGGGTGGGGAGAGATATAAAACCATAAACCTCGCAGAAGAAAATTGAAAACACCTAAATGTGCTTTGTGTAGGATTTAATGGCATGTATGTTTAGTTTGAAGAGTGCAGTCATCACATGTGTGTAAATACATTTGTACACCAAAAAAAATACAGCAACCCAGCTTTACTGCCTTAAATTCATTTACTGGCTGAAATTGACGGGTTAGTAGATTTGAAGGAATGCTTACTTATTTTTAGTATTAAGTGTAATTAATGGACAGAAAAGTATTTTTAAAATTAGATATGTACTATGTGTTATTGTTTAGTATTAATCCCAAATTCAGGGTCCATTGGCAACTAGATTATTATTGGAAATCTTTTGACTGTACATTGTATTTTAAATATTCCCATTCAGTTCGTCATTTTTTTTGCACACATTTTGCCTTAGTAATCAGCATAACAAATATCCAAAGAAAAAAAGATTCATCGTTTTACATGTACCTGTGCATTGTGATACGTTCAGATATCTAAGTGTCCAAATGTGCCCATTGGATGTGTACAATGTGATTGCCACAATTGTACATTAATCCTTTTTAAGAATTACCAACTTTTAAATTTCGTAGTGAAAGTTTTATTTATAAATATTTCATGATGAACTTGCCAAAGTGAATTTAACCAAATCCCTAAGCCTTCATGAGCAGCCACCCATTTCAATTGTCACAAAACCGTCCTTAATGTAATTTAAGTGCCTTTAAAAATTGTTGAAGCAAAGTACTTAATATATTGCATGTCCGTGTGAAAATTAAAACAACCGAGTATTCTTAAATCTGAGAAATTTTGAAGGGTTTGTCTTTCCTTTGAGTCATTTGTGTTAACCTGGAAGATTTTAATTGCATTTCAGTAATTTTAAATAGATATCTCTCAAATAACGTCACTGCCTACAGATTGTCACGTGCATCAGCATTTTGTTGGTGTTGCGCATCGGCTGCGCAGTATTTCAAAGAAATTTTGAGCAATATGGGCGCATGTTTAGAACACGTTGCACACTGCGCGCACACGTACCTGATGGCGTTTAGTAAGCAGTTGTATTTTGCCCACAAAGATGACGTTATGAGAGGGGTCTATTATTTATCTGTGGTTCCTTATAGTGTCAGAATAGTTGAGATACATAAAAAAAAAACAATCCTGCCAAACCAACAAACATACGGACCAACGAATAAGGACAACATTTAAGGAAGTCTCTTCTATTAAAATTGCAAACCAGAAATTTAAATGTACTTAGAGTTTGTGACAAAAAGGCAACAAGTTGTTTTAATACCAGCAATCAAACTAAACACATGTAGAACTGATTAGTGTGACAGCATTGTGTGATGACCATCAAGTTTTGCTTCTAAATAGTTTGAACACTAAACAACAAAGAACTGTATTTTTTTTTAGTGACTTACAAATGTTAATAAAAATCACGTTTACTGGCTTACAATTCTTTATCTGAACAATACTGGGTGTCATATTTAACATACATGAACTTAGGTTTTTTTTCTTGGTACATAAACAGTAACACTAGTAAGTTTACAAAACTGAAATGAATAATATGACTCCTAAAGTATCTTACAGCTTTTGTGCTTTTGAAGAGGAAAATTAACAAAGAAGCATTAAACATGAAACAATGTTTACGTGTTGCTTTTGGCATGAACATGAACCAAATTTTGGTTCCTTTTTCAGCTCAACGATGAGGGGAAATGGTGCAGCACCTTCTATGCACACTTACCTTTTTTACAAATATTCAGAAGAAATTAACTGTTTTTCTGACAAATTTCTCCATTTTTTAAGGTAACAGCCTTTCTTTAACCCTGTCCATATTTAGCATGAGAAATGACAAGTTGAATTTAAAGAAAGTAAATACAAAGGCCTGAATCTATAACATAACTACCACTGGCAAGTTAACAAAAACATTTTTTTTCTTGTTACGTCTGCTGTGATACATAGTAAAATGCAACTACAAAATACAGTGAGATCTAAAACTCAAGATTAATTCATGGAGAAATAGCATCAAGACTGCATGCTCATCCTATCTTTTCCTGATTTAGGCGCTTGCAAAATGAAGAAATATTTACAGATAAAGTATGGGCCTTTTAAAGTACCCAGAATCTTGAAGAAGCTGTTGTTTAGTTTGTACCTTTTTATACCTTTCTTGCAACTTCTGAGGTTAAAAGCTGATCAGAATTTTCAACTGTTTTTAAAAGCATCAAACGTTAATTTCATTTGTTAATACTGTGCATGCGAAAACAAACCAGCATTTAGTTTCTTTTTGATTACACTTGATCTAAAACTACAAAGTACAAGAATGCAAACAATACAAGCTTAACAAAACAAGGATTAACTGCCTTTAAAAAGCTGGTACAAAACTTTTGAGTACATAAAAATAAAATAAAAACAAAACAGAAGTTGGGAGTTAACGAGAACATTTAAAGTTACCTACGCAATACAACTACCCGGCAAATACCACTAATTAATCATTTACATGTTTGTACATCTTGAGTGATCAGTCTGATTGTAATGTGCTGACATATATACACATTTTTGTCTTGTACTGCTTAACACAATAGCCAGTTCAGCACACAACATAACACATGTTAAACAATCACAATACACTGGATTTCTAACTCTATGTACTTTTCCCCCTCTGTCCTATGCATCAAGAAATTCTGCACTTTCTCTAGATGCAGTTCCAGACCAGAAACATTTTCTGGAAACAATGACAAGAACGTTTTTGAAATCTGTGCCAAATAAAAAAAATTAAAAATAAAACAAATATTCCTCTTATATTAAAACATTTTGGAACAATGCCAGTTTTAATTTACCTCCCTAAATCCAAGTATGGAACCCGTGTCCTGTTTTCTATCTTGGCAAGTATTCAAATTAATGTGGTTTTTTTTTTTAGAATCAAATACATGTAGGCCTACATCGAACCCTGATAAGAGCACTGTTAATACAACATCCTGCTTATAACAAACAACATTTTAGGTCCCAAGTCTTTGTTTTTCTTTGTTTTCCTTTGTTTTCCATTACTGATAATACAAGGTACCTAACAAGGTAATTTGTAAAGTCCCAAGAACCTTGTTATAAACAGGCATGCAACTTTTCCTCGGATCAGCTGATTTCCTCTTTTTTTACTTCCCATGTGTGCCATTGAAAATAGAAAAACACTGTACAAAGTGTGGGGAAAATTTGAATTTCCTCTTTTTTGGTGATTTCCCAGTTGCATGCCTGTATAAAGGTGTTCGACTGTATATATACATGTAGAGTACACACTTTTCAAAATCTTGTGTTTTTTTCCCTCCTGTATTTATGATCAGTTTGGTGGAAATAATAATTAATCAGGATCATCTGACTCCACTTTTCCAACACATAGGCTTCTCTAATCTAAGATTACAATCAGGAAAGTGCAATTTTATGCAGGCATGTAACTGGGAGTTTAGAAAGAGCAAGGACACTCCAGAGTCCCAATCACACAAGACTTTGTACAGTACATGTATTTTTCGATTTGTAATGACATTCATGAGAAGTAAAATACGAAGAAATCAGCGGATCGAAGGCAAAGTTGCATGCCTGTTTTTATCAAAGGCAAATGTAAATGTAGCCTTATTGTTATAAGCAGTTATTTTTTCCTAGGGTGTGTTACTTGCAAATATTTGTAAAAGCATAACCCATTAGTCCCTGTACTGCCCCAAACCACCCTGCTTGTTACTCCCTGTACCACCCCAAACTGCCCTGCCTGGTACTCCCAGTACCGCCCCAAACTGCCCCAGCGCTGCGTAGATTTTTGTATTCATCAAGGAATGTAATGTAATGCAATGCAGTACAAGTGCTAATGGGTTAATTTAGAATGAAGTCATATACTGACACTCTCTTCTTACAACCCATCCCCTTTTGGATCCACCCTCAAATCAAATGAAAAGAATTAAATGAAGATGGTGACTGAGAGCAACTTCTTCACTCCATAAGATGCTCATCTGATGCGTCCGTCGCCATGGTTTCAAGGACATCTGACAGAGACACCTCAAGAGTGATGGATCAGGGTGACGCCTCACATAGGTTGCCTGCGAGAATGTTTGTTAATAATAATAGTAACAATTGTATTTATTTTGTGCAGATACCATCAAAGTGTTCTAATGCGCATTACAATAGGCGTACATTGTTTAAGTGATTTTGCCGCAGCCTGTCAGAACTGAAGAGGAACAGCAGGGGCGAATGCACGTTTTGCTCGAGAGCTGGGTTTACCTTATCAAAGGGTCAATGGTGCCTGGTATTATTTTAATGTTTTTCCTGATATTTTCCCCTTTTTTTTTGGCAGCCCAAGAGGGGGTTTAAAGGGTCTATAACATGAATTTTACTTGGGAACATATTTTGTTCACCTTTCTACTCCTCTTAAATGCATAAACTCTTGACATCCCTGTTTCGTTAATTTTACAGAAAAGTGCAATTCTTTAAACATATAAAATTGTCCATGCGTTTCCTGACAACTGAGAGCGCTGTTGCTGTGATGCCATTTTTAATAGAAAGGCAATGTTCAATTAAAAGGGTTTTCTGTTCAAACTGTGAACCCCAAAAATTTGTGAGAAAGGTTTGCTCTTGGCTTACTGTCATGTATTGACATAACAAGGAATCACCAAAGAACCCTTGAAAATGGCAACATGAAAATTGTGAATAAGGTTAAATGGTACACAAAAGTGCATTTTCAAAGGTTGTACTAATAATAAATACACAACATGAGTCATTTTAACCCCATAAACCCTCCCAAGAGATCTGCCAATAGGCAGTGATTTCAGGGAAGCAATCCAAAACACTTTCATTTTCACTGCCTAGCAACTTGTCAGTTTTGTTTTCCGTGTGGTACATGATGCATGAACTTCCCATCAGTGACCAGCCTACTGGTTGAGTGTTTTAGTCTTATCTTGACGTGGACTGCCTAGGAAATTTATGACAAACAAAGTGAAAGTCAGCAGCGGCTTTCTTGTGTGTGCAGTACTTACATCAAATGCAGGCGAATAACTCTGCCTCCCAGAATACTCTTGTTCAGATCTGCTATCGCCCGGTTGGCATCTTCAGCAGTACGGAAGGCTACCCTGGCTTCTCCACTGAACCGCCCATGTTCGTTGGTCTTCAGCCTCACAGTCTCCGGCACAACATTGTGATTGCCGAAGAAATCAATTATAGCTGGTATGGGAATGTCAAATGGCAGGTTACTAGTTTCCACAACACATCCACGAGCTATAAGTACCTCAACAGGAGGGAGTCGTGGGCCTCTCATAGGCCCTGAGTTGTTTCTCATCCCAAACGGAGGTGCTTTGTTACCAAGGAGAGGTTGTCTTAAATCCATGGGTGGACGAATTCCAGGGGCATGAGGGAATGGTGGTCCTCGAGGGATGCTGAGAAGCCCAGGTCCTGCTTGCTGAGGTGGTTTGCCTTGAGCAAGGCAATTCTTCATGAACCCTTTTGTGATGACGCTCATGACGATGTTGCGATCCTGGATGCGGGCATTGGTCTTACTGGTTGCTTTATGAGCATCGGCAACAGTTGCCATCTCGACATAAGCCTGTCCATTTGGCCTGCCATCCGGTGTGATCAAGAAGTGTACCATCAGGGGTTGAATTTCCATATCCTGAAAGAAGTTGTGGATTTCTTCATCGGATGTGTTGTACGGCATGTTGCGCATGCTGATGCAAGACTTTTCATCAAGACCGGGCGACCTTCGTTCCTCCACACCTCTTGGATTTTGAGCCAGCAGTTTTGGAACAGGCTCGGGAATTTCTTTGATAAGACCTCTAGCGGGTGCATCCCTTGGAGGTGCATCTCTTGGGGGTGCATCTTTTGGGGCTGTATCCCTTTGCGGTACATCCCTTGGAGATTTCCCTGTTTTATTTGGGTGGGACTGTAAATCCTGCTGAGACCTTGGCGTAACATCTTTTGAGGTGTTCTCTGGGCGTTTTAATTCAGTAGCTTTTGGGGTTTGCTTGGATCCGAGTCCTGGTCGTCTGTTATCTTGATCTTTAGACTCAGTGTCTCGCTTCTGTGAACTTGAATCTCCTGCATAACGACTATGGGAATCTGATGATCGTGAGCTGGCATCTTTAGGTGGGTCTCTGCTCTTGGAGGCAGATCGCTGAGAGTCGCCTGATCTTGACTCCCGGTCACTGGTTCTTTGGCTATCTCTATTATGTCTAGATGATTGCCGAGAATCTTGATCCCTTGAACTTCTTGAGCTGGATTCTCTTGCATTGCGATCTTTAGACCCAGAAGTTTTGACGTCTTTCGAGGATGATCCTCTTGATCCTGTGCTCTTTTCTTTTGTGCTGGATGATGATCTACTGCCTGCTTGTCTATCTTGGATGCGCTTCGTATTTTCAACAATGCGTACATTCATGACTTCTTTGAATATTGGCTTTATTTCGACCATATTTCTTCCAATATAACTTTCATTTTTTCTTAATGCCTTCTCAAATGTCACATTATCTGGGAATTCGACATAACCAATACCAGTTGAACGACCATCATCGCCCTGTACAATGTATATTTTATCATTGGCAGCATCTAAACCATAGAAAAAGTCTTTGATGTGTTGGATGTCTGCATGGTGTGGTAGGCCCCGCAACTCAACACAGGTGGAACGAATAGGTGAGCGGGATCGAGATCTACGACTGTGTTTTGGAACCTCCAATGGATACTCAGCAGGTGGGACAGAAAATTTTTGTGAACTATCCCAGTCTTCCTTCCGACATGGTTTTACCTCAATGTATCTTTTCCCCATGTATTTCATGCTGAGCTTGCAGGCTTTTGATGCATCTTCCTCACTGACAAACTTGATGTAGGCATTGCCATTTGGTTTGTTACGAGAGCTATCCAAAGTCAAACGGATGCCATTCTCAGCAATACGCAAGCCATCAAAAAATGTAACTATGTCTTCTGCAGTTACATCAAATGGCATGCCTGTAACACGCACAAAAGCAGGAGCACTGGATTTTTTTCTGGAATCAGAATGTTTAGCAGAGACGTTTCCGTGTGTTGAAGGACCCTCAAGAAGATGGCGTGCTCCGGGACCTCTTCTCATATCACTGTCCCTTGCTTTTTCTTCATGCATTCCTGGACTACTTGAGCCCAAATGACTTTCATGACGGAAACTCGGAACTTCTCTTGATCCCATGTAGTCGCCTGGCATCATCCTGTTATTTGGACCATGCTGATCTCTGTGTGACCTTTCAGGAATCAAGGGGTCCTCTCTAGCCATCTCTCCTGGGCTCATCCGACTGTCTGATCTTATGCCAACATCTGGACCAAATTCTGTGGGACCTCTTGGACTCGGCCGACCTTCTACCTCAAGTAGTCCTTTATCACCTAAAAGGGCAGGTCTTCTATCTCTTTTCTCCCACTGGTCTCCTTCATACCCCATTGTCCCTCTTGGATCAAAATGGTCACTTGGACGATCTTTCAGTTCTCTTCTATCACGGGGATCCCTCAAACTCCATAGATCTGGTTGTTCCACATCATCTTGAGGACCCCGATCAGATGGTGGTCCAAATCTTCCTTCTGGACCAAAGCGAGAGCCAATTCCTTTAGGGCCATCTGGACCCATACGTTTACCTGGACCAAAATCTTCCTCCATTCCAAACCGATTACTTGGAACAAATTGGTCTTCCATACGTCCGCCTGGGCCCCTGCGATCAATGTGTTCACCCATGGGATCATTCAAACTCATTCGATCAACCGGACCAAAATGTTCACCTGGACCAAAAGGCTCATCGGGACCAAAGCGATCACCTGGACCAAAGCGATCACCTGGACCAAAGCGATCTCTCGGACCAATGGGCTCACTGCGATCATCCTGTCTCCTATGATTTTTTGGTCCCATGCGATCTTCATGACCCATACGATCTCCAGGACACATGCGATCTCCAGGACCCATGTGATCTCCAGGACCCATGCGATTTCCAGGACCCATGCGATCTCCAGAACCCATGCGATCTCCAGGAACCATGCGATTTCCAGGACCCATGTGCTCAACAGAACCTCTGCGATTCCCTGGATCAGCATGATCCCTTGGACCCATACGATCTCCAAGACCACCATGTCCATCAGGACCCCTACGAACTCCTGGACCCATTTCATGCTCAGGACCCATACGATCTCTAGGACCCATGTGATCTCTAGGACCCATGCTTTCTCCAGGACCCATGCCTCCTCTAGGACCCATGCCATCTCTAGGACCCATGTCATCTCCAGGACCCATGCGATTACCCAGACCCATGCGGTCAAAAGGACCATCTGAACCCCTTTGCTGCCCTACAACTCTGCTTTCCTCTGGACCAAGATGGCTGGGACCCCTTCTCTCTCCTGGACGTCCTAGTCCATCTAAACCCATACGATCTCCAGGATGCCTGTGCTCCCCTGGTCCTCTGTGTTCATCAAAGCTCATATGATCTCCTCTTCCTCTGCGTTCATCTCTAGGACCTCTCTGTTCTCCTGGACTGCTGCGCTCTCCTCTCCCCATGCGTTCTGGTCCTCTTTGATCTCCTGGAACCATTCGGTCATCCATGTGCTGATTTCGATTCCTGTTACTAGCAGCAAATGGTTCATCTCCTTTCCTGTACCCTTCTGGACCCATTTGCTGTAGTACCGGTCCCCTCCTTCCTATATCTAGGCCACCCCGTTCGCTTGAGTGATCTCTTGTAGCACTAGGTGGCACTTTTGGATCATCAAAACCTTCATTCAGACCAAACGGATCCCCTTTAAATCTGCCCGTTTCCTCCGCCATTCCTGCTCCCTTTTGATCCCATTGTCCTTCAGGCTCAAAGCGGCTCCTACGCATAGACCCTCTTTCAGTTCCTCCTTTGGCAGCTCCACGTCCATTGTTACTTGGGAATCCTTCTGAATCCTTATGGGCCTTTGGAAATCCTGACTGGGGTTCTGCAAATGGCCTATCCCAATGTTTACCTTCATCAAACCTGCCTGGTACATTTGGCTTTCCAAAGTTCTCTTTTTCTGGATGCAATGGACCTTTTCCGAATAGAGCTGCTTGATCATGTTCTGATCCTCTTTTGAATCGCTTGCTCTGAGGGTCATCAAGCAAGCCTTCTCTACGATCACTGTGAGGCCCGAACGGCGGTCTCCCATCAGGTCTGCCCGGTTCATGTTCAAGAAGAGGTGGTCTTCTACCAGATGGAATTCGTGAATCCATATCACTTGGAATTTGACCAGGGTGATGCTTTGGAAATACGTCATGGCCTCTGAAGGAATGTCCCATTGACTGCTCCCCGAAATGTCTTTCTTTCCCAGCACCAAAAGGACCGACATTATGTGATCCAGGACCACCGGGTGGCCTGTTTTCCAGCTCACCCTCTCTCCTGAAATCTGGATACCCTTCATCACGTCTCCCAACTATCGGAGGGTCAGAGCTAAAACCAGGAGGTTGTCTCCCAAGAGCTGGGTCAGCATGTTGGTTGCTGTATGGAGGCATTCCAAGTAAAGATTTATCTCCACCTGGTCTCCGAGGAGGAAGGCCGGGAACTCGAGCATCTTCACTGGGCAGTAGAGGCTTTTTTCGACCTTTGGGTTCAAACTGGGCACTGGGATGCTGATTCTTCGGATCTTTGAACCCCTCATAATCTCTGTTTTGATCGAGAGAATCTCCCCCAGGGGTGATCAACGGCTGACTGGAAGGGCCTGGGCTCTGACCGGGGCTATCTTGCTGGAACGGATCTGACTTGGTTTGAGACACCGCTCTATTTCGAGCAATCACCTCCTGCATCTCATTTTTACTGCTCAGCATCAGGACAATCTTGTTACCACAGAGTGGCCTGTCCTGTATCTGCATTGCTCTACGGGCGTCCTCATCAGATGAGAATGCAATGAAAACGTCTCCATTTTCCCCACCGACTATGTGGACTCCTCCATCGGGGATGCTCAATCCGGTGAAGTAGCGCCGGATGTCCATGGACGTTGCCGACCATGGCAGTTGCTGTAATCGCAGAATGATCGTCATGATGAATCAATTGTCCGCACTCAGCCAGATCTTTAACTTCAACACCTGCATGCACCAAAATGGAAATGCCAATTCTCAATAAACACAAATGAAGGAATGAACTACCTTTTTCCAAGGGTAGCAGCGAGAGACACTTTGGCAATCAGACATCAGTGCAATACCAAGGTTGCTCGATCATCAGCAGTATAGAATTTCACATTCCACCCTTCCACTTTGGTAGACTATGGGGCTGTCCAGCACAGACATTTGTATTTGCAGGAAAGGCTCGTCAGATTTTGGCGACTGCATGCCAGAGCCCTTTTTTCCCCACAAGGGTTTATTTAATGAAAACATTTAATTTCTTTGAAACATTCCAGTGAACGGGAAAATGTTGGAGAAATGGTCAAAGTCAACGCTAAAGTGTCGGGTGGAAAGATGGAAGTTCTTGTTTTTGTTTGTGTATCCAAGCACATCACAATTCTATGAATGTTGCGCATGTTAAATCTCGAATTGTGGTAACTTTCGGAGCAGTCTTCATGTAACGGTTACACATGACAACGCCGGCTGTGGCATGACATGCCGAGCCGTGAAGACGATGCCCGCTCATGATCAACAACCATAGTGCTATGGCAACAACTGACAAGCCCGTTCCGCATTCAAACTGCACATGTGCACATCAAGATTTGACGAATTTCACTTCGGGATGAAAACAGCAGATAGGCCTTAATGTACGTGTTTTATGTGAAATTCTTATCCAAACAAAACGCAGATGTAAATATAGTTTAAGCCTAAAAATATTGTCAAATATGGTACATTCCTATTGTTAACGTATTTTTTGGTACTAACTTCAATACAAGAAAATTTCAATTTGTTGCTATCTTATTTTGATTTTGCAATTTGCAAGAACACAGCGGATTGTTTATTCTGAAGCGAAAGGCGTCGTACCTTCATGTGCGGACGCAGTTGTAAACAACTTTGGCGCACCCGGGGGGGGGGGGGGGGGGCTCTTTTGGGGTAATTTTAATTTTTTTAGTCCCACGATTTGACCTTGGTGATATGTATGTGGCCTATTTTCGAGTAGTTTAATAGGGACGTAAGTGGCGCCACCGTACGTCAAAATATTCAACCCCCCCCAAAAAAACCTCTTTTTTTCTGGGGCCAATTTTTTTGTGCCAATTTTTTTTGTGAGCCCCCCCCCCCCCGGCCAAATCCTGGGTGCACCACCAAATCCTGGGTATCGTACCAAGTCCAAGAGCCTGGTGGCACGTGGTGAGCTCTTGTGGCTTTCATTGGACCGATTTTTTTTGAACAGTGACGCGGTGTCAACTGTTCCACGTCACACAACACTTACATGCGGAAAGTACGTTTATTGATCGTGGCAGTTCAAGTTGCGTCCCGCGGGATGTTTTCGAGTTTCATCCTGCAAAATAGATTCCCTTTTTGAATTGCTTTTTCCCCCTAGCAACACAAAACTTGTTCACTGTTCAATGAGACGTCAACCCCGTTCTCGTGACTGAGTAAGGCTGTTCCTGCCACACAATTAGTATCGACAATGTACGAACCGGCAGCCAACCTTCTCGTAAAGCCAGTCTGTATGTGCCAAAACAAAACCATCACAGGAGTGCAAACATCAAAAAAAGGGGTGAAAAGAGGTTATTGGTTGGAATATAACATACAAATTGAAAATGTATTAGAAATACATGTATGTATTATTCGAAAGAAAAAAAAAATCGAATTTGTTGAAGAGCACGGGAAACGCAACTTTTACTACCCACAATGCTTTGCAAAGTTTAAATTTCCTCCAGAAAATTCAGTCGTAGTGTCCATGCTTGGGGTTCATGCATGGTATAAAATACTGCACTGGTTGATTGGATTTATTCAAGTTTGTCACAGGAACGAGGTCACAATTAAGGCTTCACTCACATTTCTCTGCAAAATTCGTTGAAGCACCCGAGGTTCAGAATTTTTAGTCAAAATTGAAAGCAACTTTGCGGGTATTTGAATTACTCAGCTCAAACACGTTCAAGATTTAATTGCACATGCAGGGCGAATCTAATATTGTCGGCTTCTTATAATTCGCCGGCAATGTTGTACATCATTTCAGGTATAATTTCCGAATTCAATGTTCGTTTGTTGTATGCAAAACAAAGGGTATTTCATCCCAGCGATCCCCGCCTTTCACCCTCCGGATGATATGTCGGGGGGGGGGGGGGGGCATCCGTTCCCCCTCCGTGTTATGCCACTAATCAGAGAATTACAACCCATTGATCGACCCGATCAATTGCTGGGAATATACTCGGACATCGTTCACATTTTTGCTATAGACAGGTGACAGGTTGATCAAACCGATGACACGATGATAAACTAAGACAAGAGGTCGTTTCCAAGTGTTGTGACGGCATGGATTTAAAATGCATGTTGTGATATTGCCCTTTTATAATCTTTGGAGAGTATTTGCATAAAGATAATCATGTCCATTCCTTCCCAACCGTGGTGACTCAAAGTGATGTTATGACCTTTCTCATTTTCAGATAAGCTGTGTAGCGAACCTCATAGATTAAAGACTGAACTGAAAGCACTCGGAGAGCGCAAACCTCCACCAATGCTAAACAATTCCGCGCCATAACAGCACAGCAAAAAGAAATACTCTCAAAAATGGTGAAGAATCATTTGAAACAAATCCTGGATCCAGACCCAAATCTGGATCACTTCCAAATCTAATCGATTTGTACTTGTTTGCTATAGGCCCTATTGGACCACCATTTTATGGGGATTGCAAAAGACCGTGCAATAATTTTCACGGCAATGACGTCACGCTTTGCTTCATGTCTGTTCACAGAATCGACCCGTATCATTCGACTTAATAGGTATAACTATCCCTGTATTCGAACAGTTGAAAAGTGATAAAATGTGAATCAAAACTTTAAGCCAAGGCATTGTCTACAAGTACAAGCAAGCAAACAAGGCTATTTGTGTAAAGCCAATGCTAATGAGTTGAAAGGTATCCCCGCATAAATTTCAAATTAATTGACATACGATCAGGTTTGAACAAAATAGCCTCCACAATGTTTCATCTGTAGTGTTTGACAGTAAAAGTCAGCACATGTCCGTTAAAGAGATTGAGGAAAATTAAACTTAATTTGAATTTTCGTAGATCAATCACATAGATCTACAACCTCCGCCAAACAAGTCCCCGCCATATTGTCAGTACATCCCAAAGAAATACTCGCACAAAATAATTAATGGCGATGAATCGTTTAAAAAAATCCTGCATCCAGACCCAGATCTGGATCACTTCCAAAATCTATAATCGATTTGTACTTGTACTAAATTAAGGACCACTCCTAAATGAGGAAAATCCGTTGATAGCTTTTTAAGTTATCCTGTTTACAGACACACCAACCAACAAACACCAACGCCGATGAAAACATAACCTCCTTTGCGGAGGTAAAATGCGAACTAAACTTATAGGCCTATGTCACGGAAAGGTCTCGGCGAATTTCGCCTGAGTACGACTGTACGAGTTGAAATGCGTTCTACTCGTGCGTTCACTAGGACCCAATGACGTAATGACTTTGTTTACATAATTATGCGGTGTTTTTTTTTTATATGGAACGCCACACGAAATGGGGACGCCAGACGAAATAGGGACCGTCTGCCACATAGGAAAGCGCATGTAGACAAAGCGTAACGTCATTAGGTCTCAGGCCTATTCGTTTCAATTTGAATGTATTCCCAATCGTCCCCCAATTACAAAGAATACGGGGAGTTTGCCTTCAGGGCAAAAAAACCCTCATTTTGAAGGCCCTATAGCATGTATTTTTGTACGTGATGACGTTAATAAGGCTGCGCCGTGGACGATATTTATGCTCTCTGGTAATATAACACTGTCTTGAGTCCAGTTGGGATGTCCTAAATATACGAATAGGCATTATAATCCAACAAAGATGTACATGTAAACGACGGTGACTACCCAATTATAACTTAACGACCAAATCACTGGGCACGCGATAAATTTTATAGCTTGTTATTGCAGTCATAGGGAAAACCTCGGCTTCCCAGGGCTGATACAGTATGGATATCAAGCTTCAAGTAGAACCGGTGACCAAGGTAAGCGTCTACCATCTGGCTCCCATAACCCAGGGATTATCAATAATCAATATCAATAATCTAATCTTAGCTCAGGTGGCCACCGATATCTCGTGACCAAAACCGGGCAAGATTCTGTCCGGTTGCAATTGGTTCCGAAAAGGCCCAAAGTTCCCTAAATACGTTTTTGCTGACACTAAGATAATATTTGCAATTGTTTCCGGCGGATTTTTTTTTCATTTTAAAAAAAATTTACCAACCGTATAGCCATTGACCGTTTTTACGAGTTTAAGTCCATGAATCGAGCATCGCATTTGCGAAATTCGGTGCTCGGCGTTATGTAGTATCATGGAGAAAGGAAAACAGACGACTACAGGACCTTTAGTTCATGAGTGTCGTTACTGTAATGGCTACCTGACTAGCCATCTATGAAGAAACGCGATGGGATCTTGTATAGTCAGTGTCATCACGAAGAGATAACAATGCAGTCCGACAAAAACGCTATTCACCATCGTGTCTTTTAACACGGAGTGTTGATTAAAATAACACCCAAACTGCTTATTATAATGCAACTAAAATGTAGCCTACCCAATATTTACAATTTTGATTGAAAGCAATCTCCAAGTGCTCATCCACGTCAAGTAATGCGACCATAATCGCTACAGCTGCATATACGGTTTAAACTCAAAGCCTTTGAATCTTTACAGGATCACGCTACCTGTATTAACCATACAGACCCTGCCGTCCTGCTAGAAAAAAAAAGGATTTCGTCTTCCGCTTGTAAAACAGCGCAACGCTGATAATGTTCACTCCACATCTATTATACCATACAGGGTGACCCCCCAAAGTTGTTCATTTCAATGGGGCATATTAATTATACGCTTGTGTGCAATCAAGTGAAAATGTCATGGAAACCCATTAGTGCAAACCAGAGTTGTGGGAATTATACATTGCATTGGAAATCGCTTAACCGGCAC